GGAAGTAATCACGGCACATTTAAACATCCTGACCCATGACCAGCCCCTCCCCACACCCCTTCGCCGCAGCGCAGGCGGTGCCAGTCAGACAAAGGCACTACCCGCCGACAAAGAACTACAGGCTACCAGGCGTCCTTGCCTTCGTGGGACTCATTTAAGAAAGATAAATCAAACTGTGCAAAAGACAGTGATGAGCTTGGTGGGATTACACACACACACACACACACACACACACACACACACAGGGTTTGCTGAATGAATGTAAAACAGACACTAACGCTGCCGACACACAGGTGCCAAGACAGAGCATTCCCCCAGGATCGCTCAGGACACCTCGCCAACCACCCCCCGCCTCCGCGCACCGGTCACCACTCTGCTGCTCCATGGCCAGGTGTGCGCACCGCACTGACCGTGTCCGGACACCTGAGACCCAGGGTAGAGACTAAGGCTGCGCTTCTCAAGCAGAAAGACCTCTGCCCTTGGGGGAGACCCGAGGGGAAGCTACAGCGTAATCACGGCACATCTTCTTAGAGTTATCAACTTTCCTCCATTTGAGTTATTTAAACCTTTTATTCTTTCTATAAAATGTAGGTAAACTTTAAAAAACAAGGGTACATTAAGAAACAGAATATAAGATGACAACGTTTTTAAGATAAAACATTAAGGTTTGAAGAAAAAATCATCAAAAGTGAGCTGAGAGAGCCACTCTGCACTCCACGCCCACCAGAGCTGAAGGTCCACCCTGGCCTTAGGGGGGACCCCCTCCAGCGCTGAAGGAGGAGAGGAGAGCCCTGGATTAAGGTGGGGGGGGGGGGATGTGCGCAGGTGGGCGGAGGCATCGGGGGAGAACGAGCTCAGGACTCGCTCTCAGCACCCTCTCCCGTTCAGAAACCGTTCCCACTGGGGCAGAACCACCCCGTCGTCCCAGAATTCAACGCTCCCACTTCTGCTGGCCCTTCTACAGGAGGATTCCAAGACACTTCACGTTCCTCAAGTTGAAGCAAGCCATCCTCCCTAAAATCCCTTCAGACCTCGGGTGCCGTAACTCCATCTCAGACTGGCACGGCGTCCAGTGTGAAGCGTGAAACCAGCTTCCTGGTGGTCGGTGGAATGTCCGCGAGCACGGAGTTACCAGCGGTCAGCTCCCCCCTCACCCCCCCTCCCCGAACCAGTGAGGCAGCTTCACGGCGCGGCCCACAGACCCCCCTACCTGTGGACAGACTCCCTCCACGGCGTCCACCACGATGATGCACCCGTCGCAAATGCGGACGGCCGTCGACACCTCAGAGGAGAAGTCCACGTGCCCCGGGGAGTCTATCAGGTTGATCAGGTACTCCTCGCTCCCTGCGTGGGGTGTGAGGGGGCACCCGTCAGCTGCGCGGGCGTGCAGTAAACACCCCTCCTCGGGCACCGCGGAATCGGAGTGTTTCTGAGAAACGGCTGCAAGCCGGAGACGGCCGAGGCTCAATCGGCTGCTGCCATCCCGGCGTGGGACTCCCCTGACAGAACTGCTGACTCCAAACAGCACCTGCACAGCGTGTCTGAAGACTCGATTCTCTACCTGCCCCCACCTACGAAGAGCCTCCTGGGAGCCAGGCACCGCGCTGAGGAAGCCCTTTCTACGTGCCACTCACACCTCGCTGGATCCCCACAACACCCCTGCTGGAGAAACGTGCGTTCCTGACCTCCTCCTCCTCCACACCAGGGGGGTGAGGCTGGAAGAAGCCAGGGCCCGGGAGGGCAGGCTGCTCCAACAGGCCGCAACAGGAGGGGCCTGGGTAGAAGGGGGTGGGGACCCAGAGGTCCCCCTAAAACCCACCCAGAGGTCCCCAGTTACGTCCAAGTCTGCACAGACTGACTCTCTCCGACGACAAATCACCTGGAGAGGCCAGAATGCAATTCACGGAATATAAAGCAAAGACGCCGAGGCATGCAATTCACGCGGGAAACGGAAGGAGGAGGACACGGAAGATCCGCACGATTTTTCTTTGAAAGACAGCTGGACCTACCTTCCGCATAATGCAGTGAGATGGCGCTGGATTTCATGGTGATGCCGCGGACCTGCTCGTCCTCCCTGCTGTCCATGTACCGCAACTGCGGGGACGCAACACACGCCCCTTACCTCCCCGTGAGCGCAAGTGGGCTTCAGGGGGTGAGGGGGCTGGAGAGTGCAGGTTGTCACGGGGAAGAGGGAGACAAACTCCAACACATCACCGACCACCTTCCGAATGTGTTCAAACACCTCCCCCACCACCCCCCAAAAGTCGCTCATTCAGATTCCAGCTGGGAACGACGGGCACTCCACGCACAACTCACAGAAGGCAGTTTTGGGGGGATTTCCTTCCGTTCGTCAAGAACACAGCCCTTCTTTCCCTCCTCACAGGCCCTCTAACGAAGGCTGAACAGAGACTCAAACCGTTCTCTAGAAGCAAGGGAAGCCTTTGCTCCTTTCCCCAAATGAGACTTTAAACACTTTTTTTTTTTTTTTTAAGAACGATAGGGTAGGAGATATTTCGAACACTGCCCTTTAGCCGACGGCTTTCATAAAGTGTTAACGCCCTCAGGTAAGGACTTATGGGGGCATCAGTGCAGAGGGCGGCCGTGCCTGACCGGAGAACCCTCCTGCTGCAGCCCCTCGGCCCCAAGCACCGCACTGACCGGCCTCTGCAGAACAGGCGGCTCCCTGCCCCGCCCCCTTCTCCGTCGAACTTGTGCAGCTTCCTAACGTTTATGTTTAGTCATTTCTTCCACTCAAAACCCGTGAGAGTAACTCACTGTCGCGGGACTGCGTGAAGGGGAGGCCCGTCTCCAGTTTTGTGCTGCAAGGGAGTCATCCCGGGGCCGCTCAGAGCACAGCCGGAATCGAAGACGCCTTCGCTGATTTTCACTGCGACGCCCAGGAGCCTCCCTCCCTCTGGCACCTGGCTTCGCCTCCAAGGTCCCTGCTAACCTGGCCCGTCCTCTCCGCCCGTGCGTGCTCTCGCCCCTCGGGGCACACGCAAACCTTCCGCTCCAAGCCAGCACGACTCCCAAGCCAGCCTTCTCCCACTTCGTCCGCCTTGTCTTCCCCGCCTGCTCCTCCAGCCACCCAACTGCCCCACCTGCGCAGACTCTCCTCCTCCGAGAAAACTCCCCCGGCGGGGCCAGGACGGCCCCTGACTCGCTGCACGCAGAGGGCCTCCGAGAACACAGCGGGGGGCTGGCTCACCGCGTGGCAGAGCGCCGACACTCCCTTACAAGCCTTCACCCGACGTCGCGACGTACCTTGCCCGCCAGGCGGCTGGAGATGATTCCATTGCTGGATATGAGGCAGTCCGCCAGGGTGGTTTTCCCTGTTAAAGTAACAGCATTGATGCCACGTCTGCAGATCCGACATCTGACCGTAAGCGCTGGTTCCCGTGCACGTGTGCTGAGCGCAGCGAGACACGGGGGCACCGTGAAGGGCGACTCCAGTGTGGGACTGCACACCCGCTGGAAGGACCCCACATCCCGGCCCCGAGGACCCGGCTGCAGCCCCGGCAGATCGCATCCGTCCGCCCGGAAAGTGGCCGGGCGACCTGTTTCCCAGCACAGAACTGTCTGCGTTGAGGCATAACTTACACGCAGTAAAATGCACAGACCCTCAGACTCCTTTTAAGCGACGAGACAAAGCACCACGCACACCAAAATGTGTCTGCCGAACAGCTTTTCCGTCGTCACTAAAACCTGCGCTACTCGGCTTTACCCGAGTTTCTATCGTCACTATTCCGTCAATCGCCCAGGATCGTTCACAGCGACAATGGCTAGGGAGGTAAGCCCTCCACCGCTCAAAATGACAAAACGTGGCCCAGAGATCTTTTTTTTTTGGTCCCCTCTGCTCAGTGCAGCGGGTCAAGGCTGCCGACTCCCCACGTTACAAAGGCGTCTCAAGCATCCTTCCCACTTGAACACTGGAAGTCCTCCCCACGCGTTCGGAGGGAGTCAGACTCGCTTCGCCGCCCGGCGTCCCTCCCCCCGCTGACACCCTCGGGAGACGCACGCAGCCCCTTAATTACGGACAGCAAGGCGTTTACAAAGGGTTTTCTCACCGTGGTCAACGTGAGCCAACACGCAGATATTTCTGATGTTGGCTGTGTTTTTCTGGAGCTGAACCATCTTATCCAAGCTGTTGAGCACCATGGTCACCGATTTTCCTGAGACTGGACATTAAAAAGCAGTCACACGCGGCACCTGGGCTGAAGGGCGGGGCATTCAAGTCATTTTTTTTTTTTAAACGCCGGGAGCTGACAGGACTGCTCGGGCGCCTCAGACTGGGCAGGGACGGCCGATCCCGGAAGGGCGACACCCCCGGGGCCCACGCCCAAACGGAGCAGAAACGCGAGCCCCGGATCGCGACGGCGCCCCGGGAGTCGGGTCCCCGCCCCGGAGGGCGCGGCGATGGGTCACGCGGCTCCGGGAGCCGGGTGCGCCGAGGTGACCCCGGGGGCCGTGCTCCCGAGAGGGGGCTCGCCGACGTCCCTCCCGCCCGCCTCCCGCCCCCCTCGCGCGCTTCCCGAGGTGCAGTCCCCGGCTCAGGAGCGCCCGCCGAGTCTGAGGAAAGTTTGGGGCCACGTGCTTGCGAACCCCGCGCGGCACTGGGGTCTTCCACTCCCCCCCCGCGCTCCCCAAGGCACACCTCAACGCCACACACCCCGCACCTCAGTCCCCGGGTCTCCGGTCCACTCGACAGCGGCTCGTCCCCGCCCCGCCCGCCCGCCGCGGCTCCCCAGGTCCCCACCCCGCCGCGAGCTGACCCGCCAGGTCGCCGAAGCCCCGCGCTGCCCGCACTCACGCGCCCGGCCGCCCGTCGCCCCTCTCAGACACCCGGCCCGGCTGCACGCGGCGCGTGTCGCAGGTGTTCACAGCTCCGCGCTGGTAGTGAACGCCGGCGCGCGGGGAGGGGCGGGGCTGGGGACGCACGACCTCTGACCCGTGCGTGCGAACGCCACCGGAAGCTGGCGCCGCGTCCGTCTCCCGGGAGGCCGCGTTGCCTTGACGACGGCTGACGCGTTGGCCCTAACTAGGGAAGCTGCTGAGTTCTGGAGAGCCGCAGAGTGGACCCTGCAGGCGGGAGAGTATGAAGAGCCGGTGCCTGTGTCAGATCTGCACTTGCGGGTGAGGCGCGGCCGCGGGGGGACTGGAGGCGGCGGCCGGAGCCTCGGGTGGTCCCCGAGAGGGCAGGGGACGCGGCCCAGCTCGCTCGGCACCGGGCACCGCCGACTGCTGTTATATGCGTTTCTGCTGCGTAGGCTCCCAGTCCAGGGTGCACACTGACCTGCCATCCGGCGGGGCGGGTAGATGTGAAGGTGTGGCTGGATTTAAGGCCGGTAAAGTAGTGCGATCGGATCCGACCGGGAGACTGAATGCCCCACAGTTTGTTTGTTTGTTTTAAGGAAGGAAAGGTCGAGAAAAAGGATACAACAGAATGTACAGTCCCTGAGTTTTAAACTCGTATTACGCTTCTTTCCATCTCCAGCTTTCTGTCCCAGTCTTACCCCATCCTGTTCCCACCCAGGCAGGGCTCCTTTGGGATCTGAGTGGCAGGAAAGGTAATAGTCGCCACCGTGACACCCAGGATTGGTTTGTGAGTCCTTAGCAACCTCCTAACCCTGTCGACAGTCTTCCTCTTCAGCTTCCTTGTTGACCCAGGGATTAGATCAATCTCGGTGAAATAAACACCATGAACGTGTCACTCCCTTCCTAATCCCCTCCAAAGGAGAATCACTGTGTGTTGATGGAAAGCAGTCCTCCTTGTAGTTTTACAATAAACGTTGTTTTTAATTAATAAGTAGATGCGCATTACAAGATAACTTAACACTTGGGGCATGAATCCAAAAGATGTGATGTGCAAAAATTGCTCCCATTTTTTTCTTATGTTTTTATCCAACCCAACACCCTTTCCCGTGCAGCCGTCAGGAACCTCTGTCTGCAGGGCTGTGGAGGTTGGCCCTTCTTCCAGCAGGGCACGGGCCAGGGAGCCGAGGCACTGCCAGTGTCAGCGTCCCCTCCGGACTGTGAACACTGGCCAGGTTCCCAGTGAACTGCTCTTCCCATGATCCTTCAGGAGTGGTGCCACCCTCGCTTTCAGGTTTATGTTTGAGGCACAAGGATCTTTGGCAACGCTGGGAGCCATGACTGTAGGTCCCTTTTAGCCATCTGGCCGCCTCCTGGGCCACTGATACCCAGTCCTGTGAAGATCACCCACTTTCCTACGAACCCCTCCCTCTCCTCCTTTCACCTTCCTCCTGTCGTTTTTGGGGGAGTCTTTTCCTCTTTTTTTTTTCAGTCCAAGACCATCTCTTTCCCCTTGGGAACCTAGGAAACACTATCTTTCAGCTCTAGAGAGATACCTGTTTTCATCTCTTCCATGGATTGTTTTTTTAAAAGACAGAAAAACGTGCTGAGTTCAGGCAGCTTCTATTCACGGCACCCTTCTGGAAGAATGCTTCCTTAAGGAATTTAAATTGAGTGTCCAGGGACAGTTAACACTCCAAACTGCGGACACCTACCATGAAAAAAGAGGACCCAGTAAAACAGATGGCACAATAGGCTGAAAATCGTGAGTGCACGTGAAATGCAAAAGATATGAGAGGAATTAAAGGTCATAGAAACTTCAGGAAAATGAAAAGCTACATGGTTCAAACATGAAATAAAGTTTAGACTGACTTTTAAGCATTAAAAATTGACAGTGTGAAAGAAAAGAATTTAATCTCGAAGCTAGGAACCGTGGACTCTGAAGGCTCTCAGGGTCGTGGTGTCGAACCCACGGAGCAGACAAAGCTCCCCCTGCACTCGCTGGTGGCCTGCCTTCACACAACATATCCCAGGCGCCGTAGTGCAACCACGGTGTACTAGGTTTACAACTTTCCGAAAAATGTTTTTGTCCTGATTATGAAATAAATAACATGAGGCATAGTATAAAAATCCAAGTAAAAAAAATCTGTAATATAGTGAAAATCCCTCCTAATCCTGTCCCCCGCACATAACAAATATGCTTTAAGGCTTTTTTTTACCTCCACACTCTTTAAAAAGAGAGAGCGAGAGAGCGTAGTGTACGTACCAGTCCACCACCTGCTTTTTCATTGTTTACCACCTCCCCACCTTCCAGCAGTTGTAAAGATCAACCTCATCCTCGTTCGCAGCTGCACGCTGGTAGCATGTGTTGGTCAGGGTTCTCAGGGATGGGCACTGTAATCTACTCTGGCTAGTTCAGGCAAAAAGGAATCTGTTAAGGAGTAGATGCAGCCCACAGAATTGTCGGGAGAACCAAAGAAACAGTTTCCGACCTAAGCTTGCAGGAAAAATTTCCCAAAAATCGTGCTGCAAAACTGAGCTGCCAAGGGAGCCCCTGGCTCTGCCCCAGCCAGGAAACTGCCTCAGAGCCACCCACCAGTGCCACGGTCAGGGAGCTGCCACAGCAGGGAGCCCCCCTGCACACCAGGATGCTCACTGCCCACTGCTGGCTGCACACTCTCTGTGCCTCGAGCCTTTCATGCGAGCAGACAGATGTCTCCAGGGCGCTCTCTGCAGGTCAGAGCCCCATGGGAGCCTGTCCATCTGGCAGGGGAGACCTGCACTGTGGAGCCAGCCTGCAGGGGGCCGGGGGAATTCGAGTGTTAGCTTTTCAGCGGCTGTAGTAGAAGATGCACCAAACTGCTGTCAGAGGGAAGCCAGGGTTTCCACCACATGAGGACACACCGTAACTTAGTCACTGTGTCCGTGGACACCACTGCAGAGAAAATAGAGAATGGGAGGATGGTCTTGGTTTTTTTTTTGTTTTGTTTTGTTTTGTTTTTGGTAAAGCTGCTCTTAAACTTAGAGATGCTGAGTGTATTGAAGGTCTCTGATTGCAATGTAATTATCATGCAGAATGTTTCCGAAAGTGAAAATAACCTTTCAGCTTATTTCTGTTTGCACAGGCGACATCGTTGTCCACACGAGACCACAAGGATTTATGAGAAGTCTGGCGTGTACTGCCCAACCACTGAATATTCGGAAAAGTACCCTACCTATGGCAGTGTTCTTCCAGCTCAGAGTCTTAAACCCAAGCAAGGATTTCAAGCATACCGTGGTAAAATGGAAGGAATGACGACATTTAAGTAAATATTGAGAAACTACTTGCTTTACTTTTCCCCCAACTCTTCTGCTCTGAATAAAGTTCTTTAACTCTTTAAATTGAACTCTTTCATGGATTTAAGTTGAACTAACCTAAGAAGCAAGAAACCAGTTGAGTCATGACTTGAGAAAAACAGAATAATGAGAATTAAGTTTGAATAACAGTGAAAAGGGAAATGAAGTGTTCTATTGATATTGTTTTACCTGCTAAAATCTCTTGTATTTACCTGTTTTCTCCTGTCAGCACGACCGGGGAAAGGCAGGAGATTCCTGTGTCTCCTCTGCTCTCTGCCTCGCTGAGTTGTTTCCACACTTTAGCCAAGATGAGCTTCTAACATGCAAATCGAATCCTTTTGCTTCACTGCTTAAAACACTCTTATACTTTCCCATTGTATTTATTCCTTTATTATTATTATTTTTTAGAAAAATCAAATGCTTTTTTTTTTCAAGTTGCAACCTCTCAATCTCAACGCAGTCACCACTCAGGAAAGCCTGTGACACCCGCCCCGTTTTCAGCTGGTGAAAGTCCCGTGTCCGCTCCCAAAGCGCATTTCTGTTACTCGCCATTGGGTCAGCCTCCGAGCTCCCTGAAAGCAGGAGCTACGTCCAGTCTCATCTCCACAGGCTGGGTCCAGAGCACTAGTCCAGTACCTACCCGCACAGACTAGGCACTCCATTATTTATTCAGCGGGTAATAAAACAACAACAACAACAACAAAACTCCTCCTAAGCCTAAACTTGCCATTTGGACCTAGCTTTTTTTAATCTCTTTGTACATTTGCCAACACTGTGGGTCCCTTCTTTCCTTCACCCCGTTACTGCGCACACTAGATTCCAGGCCCCGTCTCCGACATTAAGTAAAAGGCACCAGTAAGAGGTTCCTGCTTACCAGGAGCTCACGCTGGAGCGTTCTCTAATTTAGGGTTGAAACACATGCTCTACAGCGACTTCCACTTGTACCGTTATCCACTCTCATGTCGCTTCCAGCAGAGCTCATTCTGGGCGATGGCGGAGTGGGCGGGACAGCTGCCCCACAGCGTGGCTCTGGACTCGGCCCAGGTTTCAGGACGCGTCAGATGAACAACAGCGCACTGACCCTTGGCCACTTCTCTCTAGAAAGCTGCTCTGGGTCTGGAGGTGCTCTTTCTAACAGTTACCTGGCTTGACTAGAGAGACTCGGACTTCTAAGCTTCCTCTGTCCTCTCCCTGTCCTTCCAACTCCCCGTCTGTGTTTTAGCCCGTTGCCCCCTAGCTGGCATTCGGGAAGAGCCAAGAACAACTCACACGTCTGGAGAGGCAGAGGTATGTGACTCCTACTACTATTCACCCGCCGAATAACGTTTCCGAAGCGCCAGGCGTGATGCTGGGCACCGGGGACACGGGAACGAGCAAAAACAAAACGGTCACGAGCTCGCTGTGCTCTCAGAGCCCGCGTCCAGTGACGCTGGCCTTCAGACGCATCCCTCAAAATAAGTGCAAGAGGGCAACAATGGTAAAAATCTACGGAGGGATAGCACGGGGTCACTTAAGAGCCAGAATAAAAGAGGGTTGACTTTGTGAGGAAAATGCAAAGAATGAGCTAATGCATCAAGGACGAGAGACAATGAACTGGATTAAGTGCAGGAGGAAGTGCATCCGGGGCAGAGTGCAGCAGGAGGGGCCTGGAAGGAAGGACGAGGGTGCGGGCAGCCGGAGCAGCCAGAGCAAGGGGGGCCACGAGGGCCTTTCTTTTGTTTGTGTGTGTGGGGGGGGGTGGTTGAGGGGACATAAGGGGGTTAAGAAAAGAGACTGGGGAGATGAGAGCGAGGATGACCTGCCCACGATTACTTGGGAGAGGATGAGTGTGGGTGCAGGGTGAGAAAGGCCTGGGGAGAAGACCAGAGTGGGCGCAGGCGCGTGAGTGTGGGAAGCCACCGAACTGATGGTCTGGACGAGCTGTGATGAAAGCTTGCAGTGAGTGGTGTGGCCGTGGGGAGACGCTCAGGAGGCAGCACTTGACCGGAGCTGACGGTGAACCAGAGGCAGGAAGGGAGGGAGGCGTGCAGGGCAAGTCCGAGGTTTCTGGCCGTGCAGGTGAGGACAGACAACGCATTCACTAGCCCGGGGAACAGGCCGAAGGACCGCGTCTGTCGGGGGAAAATAGTGAGTTTGACGAGGGGCGTATTGACTTTGGAGATGCCACTGACTAATCAGGAGACCAGCATTGGGAATGCCGGCCTGGAGCTCAGAGACCAGGTCTGAGCTGAGGCAGAAATCTGAGTCGTGTCCATACAGGTGATAAGGAGACTTGCCCTCAGGGGTGAACACGGGGCGAGAAGAGGAGAGAGGAGATGAGGACAGGACCTCCTGGGAACCGAGGGGGAGTGGGCAGCAAGGCCGGTCACTGCTCGAGGGGTCCAGGAAGGCAGGGACGGAACCTGCCTGAGGGAGGTGATCGCGCAGAAGTCTGCGAACCCCCGAGCCACAGTGGGGGGGGGGGCACGGTGCTGGGACCCAGGCTGCGGCGGTCTCCGGGGGAGGGAAACGGGGGCAGCAAGTCACACTGTGGAGAGGAGGAAGTGTTCCGTGAGTCTGGTTTGGTTTTCCGGAGCTTATGGACGTATAGAGAAAATGTTGATTCGTTCAGGATGGCGTGAACAAATCCTAAAGTGAGTGACGCAGTCAGTAGAGTCCAGAGGGGAAAAAAAAGCAACTCTGAAGTTGTGGCTCACACACTGCTCTGTGCACCAAGCTCTGTGTCCGTGCGTGTCTGTCCTTGAAACAGCCCCGTGCGGTAGATGATGTTACTGTCCTGTTTTTTTATCTACGAGGAAGCTGGGGCCCAGGCAGGTTGGCTAAGATGTCCAAGGCCATGCACCTCACGGATGACAGAGTCAGATTTGGGCCCCGGCAGTGTGATCGCTCAGACTGTGCCCCTCACACCCACCACCCACCCACCAGACGGCCTTGGCGTCCGCAGGCCCAGCTCTGCCTCCCACATGCGGTCGCACGAGGCCTGGTGGAGCCGCGTCACCCTGGGGTCCCCTCACGCCGGGGGCTTCGGGGGGGAATCCAAGGAGGAGTCAGACTCACGTCCACACTAGGAATGTGATTTCCGCCCAAAGGCCAGAGCTGACTATTTGTAGAAAAGCAGGGAGACTGCATGACTTCCATAAGGAAAAGGAGGCATGCCTCCGCAGTTAGCCAGAGTCTTTAAGGAGATGAGTAAGGGTTTGCACAAAGTGGACCCAGGGGACACATTTAAAATGTTTTCAAATTCATTATGTTTTTCACCTGAGATATCCTTCCAGGATTTGGAAAAAAATTAATTACAGAACGATTTTACTTATGTAATGTCTAGTTAACTAGGGATCCATTATAATGATGTCTTGAACACTAGGATTTTTTGACCTATTTATTCCTTGAGGTATTTAGTCACTGGATAGGACATGAAAGAATTGAATTATTTCTTTCAAAGAGTTTGTCACCTGTCACCATTTTAATAGCTCCTTAAACCTTTCCAGTACAAACCTAGAAAACTCCACTACTGCACTGAAATAATTACAGGTACAAGAACCTGTGAGGCTATGTTTGAAATGTATATGTTTCAGATCAGACTACCGTCCGTATGAAATAGCCCAACAGCCTCGCCACGCGCCGGAAGAATACACGCCCAAACAGGGGCAGATGGACCTGGACACCACCTACAAGCAGGATTTCAGTTCTCACAAGGTGCAGCCCGTGGCAATAGTCCGGCCTTTGGAGAGACCACAGGTTACGAAAGGGAAGTTGGACACTGTCCCAACCTATAAAGGTAACTTGCCATTTCAAAAAGGATGTGACCAAAGCCCTGGCTGGCGTAGCTCAGTGGATTGAGCGCGGGCTGCGAACCAAAGTGTCACAGGTTCGATTCCCAGTCAGGGCACATGCCTGGGTTGCAGGCCATGACCCTCAGCAACCGGACATTGATGTTTCTCTCTCTCTCTCTCCCCCTCCCTTCCCTCTCTAAAAATAAATAAATAAAATCTTAAAAAAAAAAAAAAAAGATGCGACCACACAGCTAGAACTCACTCCCAGCTGTGACGCCTAACACCGCATGGTCGTTTTGCCGCGTTGTCAAACTCGTCCTTGTGGCTCAGGGAAAAAAAATGTTTCTCTTTGGTCAAAATAATGTTGTAGCGTGAACAGAAGACCGTGTGCCTGACTGAGAGTTACGGGGCCTGGCTTCCTGTCCAGAGCCCAGCCGCTTGCTCAGTTTTCTCCAGCTCCGAACACGTAAAAACCGAGGCTGCCGTCGGACAAGCACTGTGCCACACCTGTCCCCTCATTCCCCCTGTCGTTGGTGCCGGTCCCTTCCTTCCGCCCCATGCACCAGGCAGACTAGCAACCATTTCAAAGCCAACAGGAGGGCAGATGCTAATTCAACCTTATCCATAATGATATTACAGGTCAGTGATCTAATCATGGTAATTAAAACGCAGAGATTGTCATAGTACGTGAAGAGAAAAAAAAAGAACCTACTGCGTGCTGTCTACATAAAACCCATGTTAATTACAAAGATACAGCTAGGTTAAAAATGAGAACGGAAAAACGTATACCGCACACACTCTAGTTAAAGAAAGCTGTAGGATGGACTGTATCAATATCAGAAAATGCAGCCTTCGGAACAAGTCACGTGACTGAGGATCAAGAGGGACGTTAGCTAAGGTCTCGGGGACCTGTTCTCTCTCTCACCAGAGCTAGGTTCCCAGAATGCACTTGACCCACCTCACCTTTCCCCGCCAGGCGGTCTCACAGCCCAGGGACTGCCGCCCTGGGCCCAGGGGCCCGCTGTCACCCAGACCCCAGGAGCTGGAGGTGGGGGTGACCACGTGGTCCCAAGCTTGGCCATCCTAGCAGAAAAGTCTTCTGGGCGAGGAACTGTTCTCTTCAAATGAGGTGAAATAATAAACAGTTACATATTGGCCTTTCCCATGAACTTGCTAGTGGGCTTCAGACTCTAACACTCTATCTTGTGTACCTTCTTTATACGTTAACTTCTGCTATTTAGAAATATATATGTTGGGGCGACGTCAACTCAGTTTCTCAGCTTTCTCGTCTCGCAACAGAAAACCCAAGCAGCCCTCCCCTGAAGGGTGAGCGCTTGAGCTTTCCACCCGGGGTGCAGGGCAGCAGCCAGACGTGGAAGGAAGGCGTCTGACGCTGAATCTCCCACTGAGCTCTTCCGTGTCACTTCCAGGTCGCACGTACAATTTCTAACACCCCCAAAGGCACTCGGCTCAGGCCCCTGGCCTCCAGCCGGCCCTGCATCTTTTGGGAATGCTGCGAAGTCCACTTCCTGAGGAGGGAAATGGAAACCAGTGATCTTCTGGGGACACCGCGAGGCACCCTGCATCTCTGCTCAGGGAGGCCTGCGGGGTTCCCGTTGCACAAAGGAGCTGGAATTCCCTCTTCCTCAGAGCAAGCAGCAACTCCCACCTCACCTTTCTTGGCTCACACAGCCGGGCCCTCACTCTTACGTTAATCCTAGATTTTCGGGTTCACTCTAGCACTTTATGAGTTAGAGCAAAAATCCCAACCAGCTCCTGGGAACACAAACAGATCTCCTGAACTGTCTCCACCCAACACACAACCATTTCAGCTTCAAAAACTATCAGCACTCAGACCCGGGAGCTCCTTTCCCTGGCGGTGCGATCGGACGAATCTAGAGGAGGGAAGTTACCTGTGTTAAAGGTGGGGGGGCCCAGCATAGGAAGAGCAGGTGGAAATGGACCCCAAAGAGCAGAGCTGATGGGAATCAGAGGAACTCCGTGCTGGACTGGTGTTCACATTTCTAAAGGGAATGGGCGGGAGTTTGGCCAGGAGAAAATCAGGTCATGATATTGACAAGATCGTGGTCTCCCTTGGTATTTAAAAATGTCCTCCCTCTCTCTCTCTCCCTCTCTCTCTCTCCCTCTTTCTCTCTCTCTCTCTCTCTGTGTGTGTGTGTGTGTGTGTGTGTGTGTGTTTCAAGATGATTACAGAGCTTGGGACATTCGGAGAAGTGAACTTAGCAAACCAGAACACACTTACTCTCCCCCTACTGTGAAATTTGGAAATTCCACTACGTTTCAGGACGACTACGTGGCCCAGGAGATGCAGCCCAGGCAAACCTTCAAACCCGTCTCTGCAGTCAAACCTCCCACAGCCCCCTTTCACGGCGACACGAGCCACCGCCTGGATTACGTGCCTTACCAGCTCGAGTCCAAGGCTGCGCAGCCCAGAGCAGCCCACAGGCCCCCCGACCAGCCCTTCGAGGACCTCACCACGCACCGATGTGCCTTCCAGGGTCTCCTTGGCGAGAGTGCAAAAACCTGCAGGCCCGCACACACCTGGGCGACCCCCAAGGCTCCGTTTGAGGGAAGCACCGAGTTCCGGGACAGTTTTCAGCCCTGGGAGATCCCAGCCCCAGGAGTCAGGAAGGAGCCGGAGTACGCGCCCCCCGCGGGCGCCATGCAGCTGCGCAGCACCAGCCAGCTGGACTTCGTGCCCCACCGGGCGGCCCGCGTCGCCCCCATCAGGCCCGCGTCCCACAGGAGAAATCAGAAGTGTCCTTTCCAAGGGAAAAGCACCACGCAGGAGGATTTCCCCGCGTGGGAAGGTTGTCGCCGGGGCCTCGTGAAGCAGCAGCAGCAGATTCGCCGCTCCTCCGGGAGGTTCGAGGGCGTGAGCACCTTCCGAGCTCACTACGTGCCGCACACGCTGGTCCCGACGGAGAGCTGTAAGCCCGTCCACGCCCCCTTGCGGAGTTCCCGCCCCTTCGATGACGTGACCGTGTACGCCACGGAGTACGCGCCCAAGAAACCGGAGGTCTGCCCCGCCAGCCGCGCGTCCCCGCCAGGCTACGTCTACGAACACACGGACGCCCGGGGCCACCGATTCTTCCGCAGCGTCACGCCCCCTGGTGGAGGCCTCCCAGCCGGCAAGTCCTGCGGGCAGCGAGGCTAGCGCGGGGGTTGTCGGCTTCCCAAGGGCAAAGGCCAGTTGTTTAGAGTAGAAAGAAGTTTCTGAGAGCGCAAAACCAAATTATCTTGAAATTTCTAATCAAGAAAATCAGAAATTGTCTCATAGGAAATCAGGATCTTAAAATCCATTTTGTGCTAACACGGTAAGCAAGCCCGTACTTTGAAACGCGCTTCTGAAAGCTGCACGGCGTGCGTCCCCATGGGAATCGATCTCTAACGCACGCTTTAGCAGCTCGTCTCCAACGGACCGTCGCGTACACTTGTGTTTACAATCACGGCGACTGCACGTGGCCGGTAGGCCGGCTCTCACCCTCTACGCACGGGAGGGCTGTCTGTACGACCACGGAAAACGGCGCGTGGACGCCTCTCCCAGGACAACTTCCTCGAGACGTCAAGGCATCCGCACAGCGCGGCGCACGGAGTCGCATTCCGGCGGCCGCTGCTCACGGAGTTCGCGGCGCCCCCGCAGTGTGACAAGGGGAGGCCCGGTCAGCGGGAGCTCAGAGGACCTCAGTTCAGGTTCTGACGACATCCGACTCTACCGGTGCCACCCCGGGCCAGCGACTCCTGTCCTTGAGCCCGCGTGTCTGCCTTTGGGGAGGGAGCAGGGTCTGCCCTGCCCATCCCCCTCCCCCCAGACTGCGCTGTGCGTCGGATCTCGGGAGACGTCGTGATGGGCGGGGCGGGGGGAGGGGGGTCAGAGTGCAGAACCAGGGGCTGCCCCGGAGCCACGTCCTCTCTCCTCCTGCCTGCTTTCTCCTCTTCCAAATTCGGCAGGTCCGGGCTCGGTCATCCTCTCCCGCCCCCCCGCGAGCACTGGGGGGCACCCGGATCTGCGTCGGGCCTGCGAGTGGTGTGACTTCTGAGATGCCTTCCCCTCCCCTCCGCAGCCTCACGGCCCCCCGGGAAGTCGTTATGGAGAACGCAGAGCACGGATGGGGGGGTGGGGGGTGCGGGGAGCGCGACAAAGTCGTGGAGACAGACAGTGTTTCCCGGCCGGAGACGGCACTCGCTGGAGTCACTTCAGGAATGACTGACAGCAAACCTTCAGGGTCACCTGGGGGGGGCGGGCGGGGTCCTGCACCTGATCGTCATGCCCAGAGTCACCGTTCGGAAGGACCCGGCTCAGCCTGAGGCCGGACCCCTGACCTCCTTGTCCTCGTGAAGTAGAAGGAACACACTGTGTCTGTCGGGGCTGAAAACCTCCTACTGAACCAAACTCTCATTGCGTGTTTTTTGGATAAATGATTACATCGTGGGGAAAAAGAATGTATCCTACAGTTTAGTCATTTGTAGCTTTAAACTTGTTTTAAATTATGTACTTAATTGAGAATAAGTGCACTTGGTTAAAATGTTTTTGATTATTTCAAAGTAGTTTGTTTTAATTTGCTTGTGTAGGTAGTAGTTAAAATCATGATATGTGAGATTTTATATTTCTCTGCAACATGAATAAAGAAAGCATCAATACAGGAATAAATTTTCATGAAATCGTTTCTGTGCCCAGTCTTCCCTGGAAAATAGAGCTTTTAATAAAGTCTTTTCTAGGTTAAACTGTCCCTAATTTGATATTTTTACCTTATTTAAAAACATTATTGATTTACTTGAGAGAGAGATAGAGAGACATCAATTTGTTGTTCCACTCACTGACACATTCATTGGTGGATTCTTACATGTGCCCAGACCGGGAATTGAACCTGCAACCTTGGTTCATCGACATGATGCTCTAACCACCTGAGCTGCCCAGCCAAGGAAAGGCTTCAGCTTTTTACCTCTGCCCTCAATGGTGTGTTACACAGAGGTGCCCAGTTTCACCCCACGCCGCAGCCTCAGGACTCTCAGCCCCTCCCCTCTCTCCCCTCCCGACCTGCCCGCGACCACAGCAGCTGGAGAGGTGCTCCCGAGGGTGGCCGGGGCTGCTCCACCGTCGCCTCCGATATCCCCACTGGGAGCTCACTCATCTGCGGCCGCTGCAGGAGGCGACGAGGCTCTGGGGCCAGGAGAGGCTGACAGCCGGCACGCGTCACAGACGCGAGTCTGCACAGCGGGACCTGGGTCTTCCTCCCCAGACAGACTAGCGCATGACCGTGTACAGACGACTTACCGTCTCTGAGGCCTGTGTCATGACCTGCAAAACTCACTTCGAAGGACATGTATCCAGAATAGATCAAGAACTTTTGAAATGCAATAGCAGGGAAATATGGCTATAAGATGTAAACAGATGCTTCACCCAACAATACAGACAGCTGGTATTGCTAAGGCTGCTGTAGCCAGACACCGCGAACCGGGCGGCTGCATAAAGCCAGAAGCGCCCGTCTCGCAGTTCCGGTGGCGAGGGGTCGGAGACACAGGCGTCGGCGGCAGAGCTGAGAGAGGCAGGGTCTGCTCTGCCGCGCTCTCCCGGCTTCCAAGGCTGTGCCGCTGTCCTTGGTGCTCCTCGGCCCGCCGACCTCGGCCTTCACCTCCACGTGGTGTGCGCCCCGTCTGCACACATCTGGGTCTGAACTCACGAAAATGCCAGTCACACTGGTGTTCACGGACTTAGGACTTTCACGAACATCATCCCCCCCTCCCCCGACAGCCACATCTTAAATCACCGGCAAAGACCCCGTTTCCAAAGCTCGGCCGGGAGGGGACAGGAGGCAACCGGTAACAGATGGCAAAGCAGCACCTGGGAAGATACTCCACGTCAGGGGGACTTCTCTGAACTGGCAAAGAAGGAAATATCATCTCCCGATGATGCCCGCCGCTCTGTGGAACCTGTGTGGGCCTCCGTGGAAATTAAAAAAAAAAATAGGAGGAGGAGGAGGAAGAGGAGGAGGGAGGAGGGGAGGAAGAGCGGGAGGAGGGGAGGAGAACGGTGATGAATGCCCACGATGGAGACAGCTGAGATGCAAAGCTGCGTACCTCCCGCGTGGCTCGGCCACACCAGGGTGACGTGGTCTCAGAGCTACTGTAAAAAATGATTGATTTGTGTTTTCCACCAGTGACCTTGGCCACGCCAAGGCCGTGAGCGAAGAAGGCAAGTGAAGGGGCATCTCAAGTCCAAGACCAGGACTGTGGTCTGTTAGACTCGCTGCTAATCCCGAGAAACACGACACCCAGGGCTGCGAGGCGGCAGAGACGCATCTCCGGGTGCAACCCTCTCGCCGCAGCCCCCGAACTCCTCACCGTGGACGAAACACGAGGGCGCCCACTGTGCCGCCGGCCCTCGGGACCACCGCCCGCCTGGAGTCCCGCGTCAGGCTATCCGCTGGGCACTTCCTCCCGCCCCTTCTCCCCTCGACTTGCTTTCCACTCCGATCCACAGAACGTACATGAGGGCGTCGAGGGACTTGGAGGAGCCTCCGTGGGGCCCGCCCCGAACCTCGTCGTCGTCACCCACACTCCCGAGGACGAAGCACCGCCTGGGGCGTCCGACCCGTCGGGGGGTGGTCCCAGCGTCACAAGGAGGCAGCCAAGGTGGCAAGACCCACCGCTGCCGCCGAAACACGTCACGCGAATAAGCCACCTGCGTTGATGAGGACGCCACGGAATAATCAGAGTACGTTTATTTCTGAATTACTTAAGGACCACGAGCGAGAGGCGTTCCTCTGCCGCCGTAGAGACAGCAGTAAAACACAGTCCACGGGAACGTCCTCTGCGTGAGAACAGCAAGACAAGGACACTAGCGAATGAGGAACGGCAACTTCAAATACCAAGGCGAATCGGTTTAATAAGAAATTTTGTTAGTAAGAAAAATATATGTCCCACGTCTTTCTTACACACTGTACAAAATAAAATATTGCACCTCCAAGTCCTATGAAGTACATACAAAGAGTATCTTACAGAACGATCTCTCCCTTTTAATTTAAAAACCTTTCCCACAGTCGCGTGCGGGTCGATGAGCAGTGTCCGACCCACGCCCCCGTCCCATCCCGTCCCGGCCGCCAGCCCTCCACGTACAGTAGTGATCATCACAGTGTCAGCGAGGCTGAAGTGCGGGGGGAGGACCCGGTGGAGAGACCCAGCGAGCGGGCCCACAGACAGGCCACCAAACGCGCCGCTCGCTCACGAGCGACCAGGGACGAGGCCCCGCGCCCCCTGCCTCGCGTCCCTTCGCGGTCGTGAGTGCCGGCGGCTGGGACAGTGAACTGAAGAAGCAGGGACACTTATTTCGGGCCGTGGGACAGCGAAAGCCATACCTGGCGGAATGTTCGGGAAAGAGCCCCATAACAAACCCAGCTTCGGAACTGACAATTGACTGCCAGACCCAAAGTATCCTGCAGTGACACTGACTCCAAGCCCGGACCTCGTCACCGTCACCGACGCCAGCTCTGGCCCGTCTGGACCAACCCACGTCTGAGCGGACCCGGCCCTGCCCCCAGTCCCTCAGCCAACCCTAGCCTCAGCCCTAACTTCACTTCCAGTCCCACCGAACCCAATCCTCCGGAAAGGAAAACGCACCCTAACCACAGCCACCAAACCCGGCCTCGAACCCTCGTCCTCACGGTGACTTCCAGCCTAACTCTAATCTCGCTTTCGATTTGCTGGAGAAAAAAAAAAAAAAAAAAGAGTTCCAATTACAAAACAGTTACATACCATCAACGATTTTTTTTCCAACTGCCACGTTTCATATTTAGATTACCTCCTTATAACTGTTCCAGAGTAAAAGTCCTTAGGAATACCACTCTGTGCATAAATTAGGCGTGATAAGGCTTTGGTTTTCTGTGTGTGTGCAAGAAAGGAGCGCTCAGAAAAAGTTCCATTCACAGCTCTGACCGCGTCGCGTATACTTCACAATCAGTAGGAAACGCTAACCTTCCCTCTCCTTCGGTCCCCAAGGTGCCTCGCTGGGTCCCAGGCAGGTTCGCGCAGTTGTGAACACGGCAGCCACACTCTCGCTTGCGCCCGCGGGGTCTTCAAGAGCAAGAACGAGGTGGCCTCCCCGCCCCTGCCCGCTGCCCCCCATAATCCTGGGACCAGTCGGTGTTCCAAGCCTGGCCACAGTGACCGTGTCTTTTCTCACAGACTCAAGGATCCATAGAAACCCCACGAGTGCCAACACATGGGGAACCACCAGCCAGAGCTCCTCAAAACGTAAATGCCGTGTGAACATCCAGACACCGTAAGACTCGAGAGAACAGGAAGCCGCCGCTGGCGGCGTCTCCCAAGTCTCCGGTGCTCTGCGCTACTCTGGTCTGCACGCCCCGGGGAGCAGCAGGATGTGACCTCGCACACGCGTGGTCTCCGGTGACCGCCTGCTGCGAAGGAGCCGAGGCGGTCCCACGCGCCACGGCATGCCTGCTGGCGTGTTCGGGCTGGTCCGGGAACACGCCACATGACACGTCATGCACCGTGAAAAACCGCCGGTGGAAAACGACAAAAACTGTGATGGTGCGGGGACCGGACCGGGGGCGGGACGGCAGGGTCTGGAGTGTTTGAAGAAGCACACGCGTGCGGACCGGCTGCGCGGCGGAGAGCGCTCGGGCGTCTGTTTCTGTCGCGTCTTCGCACAGTGGGCGGGCGTCCCGGCCAGCCCCTCCCGGGGCTCACCCGGCCTGGCACGGCCCGCAGCACCTCTGCCGGTGCAGGGCCAGCGAGCACAGGCGGAGGTGCTTCACAGACGGGCAGGAGTCAGCTGTGTCTGTGCAGTTTCCTGCGAACGGGAGACAACGGGACAGAAACAGACCCGTGGGCGTTGAACCCGCGGCGCATGAGCGTCTACCCAGCTAAACACCGTCGGCCTTTACGGAAATCACACACACGGAGACCACGGAGCACGGGGAGGAGCGTGGGCTCTTTGCGCTGGTCGGAAGCGCCCTGCAGTCACTGCTGTACGAGACCGGGGGCTGAGCTTCCTGCTCCCCGGGGACCTCGCGGCCCTTCTGGCCCAGGCCGTCCCTCTCGGCGCCCAGAGCAGCACCGCTTAGCTTCTGCAGGGTCCCAGACCCTCCCCTGCTGTGACCCTCCCCCCAACGGAAGTTCGTATATGATCGAACTTCCCGCATGACGTCAGGGCATCTGCTACCTGCTCAGTCCCACCTACGGGTCCCAGTCGAAGGGGGGAGACCACCAGGCGCAGGACGGCGGCAGCCCACGCTCCTCGGAAGGCAGTGAGCAGTGCCCCCGCGCCCTGCTGACTCAACTGCCGCGTCTCTGAAGAGAGACACGCGCGTGTTGCTCGCCCGTCAAAGCAGCTCCTGTTCCCCGTCCCACACGCCGCGTGCACCCTGAGCGAGCCCTCAGACACGACACTGACGAGGCACCCACACGAGGGTCTGGTTCAGGCAGGGTTGGGGGGGGCAGTCGTGATACCTGGGAGGGGTACATACTGTCACAGGACGGCCCCCCGCAGTGCTGCCAGGACACCGGCTTCTTCCCGGGCGGACAGTACGTCTGGGCCACGGGCCTGCAGCTCCCGCTGTGCACGCAGTCCACTCTCCGGGACTGGAAGCCCCGGCCGCAGGCCGCCGTGCAGGGCCTCCACGGGCCGGCGTGCCAGCACGCGTCACAGGCCCCCAACGAGCAGTTCCTCCCGGACGTGGGGCTGACGGGGACAGAGCAAAAAAAAAAAGGAAAAAAGAAAATGGGAAAAGTGAGTGTCACTTCCTGCTGTGAATCAAGCTTTCACCTGAACACATTTTCAACGGATCACGGGTTTGACGATGAGGAGCGCCCAGTGTACCAGGAAGCGGGGTTGCGGCGCTGGCGGCTGACTGTCCTGCAGGGTAGCGGGGCTGCCGTGACCGTAACAGAGGCAGCGGACGGTGCGTTGCCGCTAACTTCCAACGTCACGGCATGCACCTTGAAAGACGCCTTTAGGCGAGGAAGCAAAGCGTGACTCACAAAACACACCGAATCTGTCAGCGCGCTTCAAGTCTTGTGTTTATAAGCACCTGGGGTGCACATGTTTCTGTTCCGGTGTGGATATGAATTTGCACGTGCGCCGTGCTGTCTGCTGCGAGATATGCTCTGTGGCGCACACTGGGGCTGCAGCACACCCTGAACTCAGGTCTGACAGAGACCGCTGGGGGGAGGAAGCGACCCCTGGTTCCTTCCCCTTCCCAAAGGAACAGGGAGCTGATGAACGTGCTCTGATTTTTTTAGGAGGTATTTTCACCCTGGAGCCACCCCACTTTGGGGGGGGGTGCCCTCGTTCCACAGGCCGGGGCTCCTGGACAGTATGCTCTCACTACCAAAGGATGTCCCCCCGACCCAAAGCTGACCGTCAGAGCACGCTCACTTGAGCTGGTTCAGTAACTGTCTCTCTCCCGAGAATCAGGAAGACTCGGGAGTCTGGGGTGGTGGGGGCCATATTTGGCCACACAGGTCAGAGAGGTGGGGAACAGGAAGAGACAGTGTTCAGAAAGAACAGAGAATGCAGCAGAAACATAGCTGCAAAAATGAGGGGCAAAAAGCCCCCCACGGCCAGCTCCTGCCTTGGTTACGGTCTTTTCTGAGGTCTGATGGCATCCCCCCTTCGGATTCCACAAGGAGAGCAGAGAGGACACTGGGAAGGTAGGAAGAGAAAATCGTGATAATCTGAAATTCTCTAAGGGGTGCAATGCCCAGATCAGCCAGGAGGGGGAGACGCCATCCAAGTGTTCACATAATACTGTCACAGCCAACCATATCTCAAATAATCAGATGGCCATAGCAATGGAATGAGGTGACATTAAGTGCAATTAAAAAGAATAAACTGCCCTGGCTGGTGTGGTTCAGTGGATTGAGCCCCAGCCTGCGAACCAAAGGGTCACCGGTTTGATTCCCAGTCAGGGCCCATGCCTGGGTTGTGGGCCAGGTCCCCAGCAGGGGGCGCACCAGAGGCAACCGCACACTGACGCTTCTCTCCCTCTCTTTCTCCCTCCCTTCCCCTCTGTCTAAAAATAAAAAATAAATAAGTAAATAAATAAACGGAGTCTGATGTATTAAGATGGGGAAAATGTCTATCACGTATTGGTCAGCAGGAAAAGCAAGTTTCTGAAACACGTGGCTGGTAGGTTAAAAAGCGAGCTCCACCTACGTAGGGCTTTGCGTCGCACACGCATCTTCCAGGAGGCAACGGAGAACATCTGGACGGCACACCGATCTGCGTGCCGCCCCACCCTCTCCGCGAGAGAGGGAACAAGCCCGTCTGCTGAGGGGGCGGGCGGTTGTTGCCGACATTTTCCATCTGAGGAGGACGGCTCTGGCTTGAACCCACTGTGTCGTGGGGGACAGGACACGCGGCCGACATGACGCTGCCGAACCTGACTGCAGGCTCAAGATGGCGACGGAGCCAAGGGTCAAGGTCGCCTCATGTTCTCCAGCAAGACTTGCGATGTGAAGGGGGAGCAGTGAGCAATGGGCTGGGCGTCTTCTGCGACCCAGGCCGCTTACTCCAACTGATCAGAACCTCACAACCACACGTGCACGTGACCCCCCACTTCACAGGCCAGGAGCAGAGCGCCGAAGGTCACCCGGTCAGAGAAAGAAGTCTAAATCGGCTCCATAGGGTGCCCGTGAGGCTCTCTCCTCACGGTCCACTGGGGCGCACGCCGCCGGGACAACGGCGACGCCAGACAGAAGGAGCCTGGGTCTCCAGGTGAGCCCACGCAGCAGAGCTCTTCACCCCAAATCACCGGCCAGCTCAGGCTCCCATGCGGAAGAGAAGCAGACTCCTAACTTGTGTAAGCCCCGGAGCAAGGTAAGTTTATTTCATTCTCTGCTAAACCCCTGCACCCACATCCTAACCAAGCAGAGGAGAGAAGCAGCTCACTGACAACATTAGAAGGTCAAATCTGTAAACCTAAAGGAGATATTATTAGCCTGGACCAACTTTGTGTATCGAGCAAGAAAACATCTGTCTATTCTCAAAGCCCCTCTTTTTGGCGAGCCTCTGGATGGTCAACATCCGCATAATGTGTAACCATCAGTAGCACACATTAATCCCTTCTGGTGTGATGCACACCATTGAGGATGGCTGCGAGAAACCGCGATTTACTAGGAACTGGCCATGAGGGGAGGTGGCTGACAGGCCATCCCGGGCCCTGACCCAGGCGGCGGGAGGGGCCACGCAGTGCTCTGGGGCGGGGCACTACCTGCTTCTTCCGTCGTCATCGCAGCTGGAGGAGTTGGAGCTGCTGTTCCGACAGACCTCAGGATGCTGCTGTATCCTCTCGGCACGGCCCAGGCACCGTTCAGGACACTGGAAGGGAAGCACAGCGGAGGGACGCAACCCTGTGAGCTCACGCCTGCCACCTACAGGCCAGAGCGAGGGAGACAGGCCGCACCACCCTGTGAGCTCACGCCTGCCACCTACAGGCCAGAGCGAGGGAGACAGGCCGCACCACCCTGTGAGCTCACGCCTGCCACCTACAGGTCAGTGCGAGGGAGCCAGGCTGCACCCAAACTGCCCCAACAGCACTGTGATGTTAGACTTGCAGCCTCCAGAACTTTGGGAAAAATAAATTCCTGTTGTTGAAGGCGCCCAGTCTGTGGTCTGTTGCTAAGGCCATCCTAGAAGACTGATCTAGCTCCCTACACAGTGCTTTAAGATTGTTTCCAAATACTTCTCTTGCAACATTAGTTAAGGCGGCCTTTGGGACAGGGTTCTGCACTTCACTGCCCAAGTCGCTCTTGCTCTTTGCTCCTTTCCGCGAAGCCCGCACCGCTCTGCCGCCCCACACCAGGCCACCCCGCAGCTCCTGTGGTCAAAGGCCCCAACCTCGGTGCACCTTCGTACGGAAAGCCAGAGAGACCCTGTGACTTCCAGATGTGGCCCCCGACATCAGACACACATTCGTTTTAGAGACACATCAGATTCCCCCCCTCCAAAAAATTAAAAAAAAAATGTATTAGATGATTTCACCTACATGCGGACTCTAATGAACAAAATAAACAGACACACAAAATAGACACGGACTCGTCGATACAGAGAACAGACTGACGGTTGTCAGGGACGGTTGGTAAAAAAAAAAAGAAAGTGAGGGATTGAGAAGTCCAATTGGTAGCTACAGAAGATGCAAATTTCAGCGCAGGGAATAGAGCCGATAATATGCAATAACTGTGTGTGTTGGGGGGGCCGGGGGGTAGTGGAAATACAGGGGGATCACTGTGTAAAGTGCAGGACTGTCTAACACCTGACACTAACACAGATGAACACAGACAGTCACGCGTCACTGAAAATTAAAAACGTGGAAGCCTGTTGGAGACGGGGCAATGGCAGCGGGCATGCTGTCCGACGCGAGCCCCGTGCGCTGTACCTGGCTCCCCGGTTCGACGACGCACGGGCGGCCGGCGCACGGTCTTCTCCCCGGAGGCCTGCCTTTGGGGTCGCACGCCGCCGCGGGCAGCGCCCGCACGGAGCCGCTGGCCTTGGTGCGCTTGCACGCCACGCGCCGCACACGGAATCCTTCGCCGCAGGACACGGAGCACTCGGACCACGGGCTGGCGAACCACCTGGGGGCGAAAACCACAGGAGCTCAGTGAGGACTGGGGGGGCCGGGCCAGCGCTGTGTCTCGGGGAGCACACGTGCCCGACCTCTGTGGGAGGGGCCCGCGGCTCAGGGGACGCGGGCCTCACTCTCAGACTTCCTCTCGCTCAGGCTCAGGGAGGCACGGAGTCACCAGGGAGAGAGGGCCGGTGTGGGGCTGCTGGGGCAGAGCCGTGGGCAAGTACAGGAGCCCCGTGTGGCCCCGGAGGGTGGAGCAGGGGCAAAGTCAGGTGGAAATGTCAGAAAGGTAGCTTCTGACGCATTGAAACCAAAGGGGAGAAAATACTATTTTTAAAGCCACTATGTACTGTTCGCTCAGCCAGAGGGTCACACGTCATCTTATGTAATCATCACGTTCTTCCCATTCTTATCAGGGGGACACCAGTGTCCACAGGGTTATTAAACAGCTTGGCCGTGGCCGTCGAAGTCACAAGCCGACAGAGCTGGGGTCTGTCTGACCCTCAGGTCACACCTGCGTGGTGGTAGGGGACTGAACGTGGAAGGGGACGGACACCCGCGAGGCACCGGGCGCCCTGTCCGGGAAGGCGTCTGAGCTGCACTGGGATCTTGGGGTGGGGGAAGGGGGTGAATGGGGGGAGGACCCCAACCGGAGGCCTCGAACCTGAGCTCCTCCAAGGGGACCACGGACGCGGATGGGGAGGAATGACGTCTTTGTCACGCAGCGCTAACGGCAGTGGGGCGTTTCCCTCGATCATGACGATGACAGCCACAAAACACAGGAGTATCAGCAAAACCTATGATTTCGTTGCCAACAGATATTTTCACGGGACGTCGAATCGAGGCAGGCGCCTCTACATATCCTTTATGTCCATCGCCACCATTTCAGAAGTAACGTTCCACTAAATTGTCACGTTCAGGGTGTTGCTAGAGAAGCGAATCCACGACAACACCACACATTTCTTTAGTGGTTCAGAATGGGATTCAACATCACTGGCTTTGTTTGGGATGAAAAACATTGTCTTTAACAGGTTTAAAAACCCGTGTTCTGAGAAGAGATCCCCAGGCTTGTGAAGACCCCTCCCTCCATGGAGAGGGGCCCAGGGGTCAACGACCTCTGTCATCTGTCCTGGGTATGACAGGGCAGGGGCGGCAGAGCATTAAACACACCTCCGTTTCCTCCTCCGTGAAACAGGGGCGGCAGTGCCTTCCTCGTGGGTTTGTGCTCAGTAAGTGCAACTAGGATTGTTGTTATTATTAACATTTTGTGGATTTGGGTGCCAGATACTTGGTCGGTGATCTGCTAGGGACCAGGCTATGGAATCATTCGCTCATTCCCTCCACGCGTATTTTTAGAGAGTGCAGACTGGGGTCGGCATCGTGCTGAGGGCCAGGGACAGAGCACAGAGCCAAACAGCCAGGGACTTGCTGTCACAGAAAATGACAGCCCAGTGGGAAGCCAAGACAGATTAATGGCAGTAAGAGCTTTGAAGAACGACGAGGAAACATAAAAAAATAGAGCACAGAGTCCTGGTTTAGGCTGGAGGGTGGAAGTCAGAGAAGGTTTCCCAGAAAAACAGATGCATAGACATAACTATGGGAAAAGAGAGGGAACAGTGTTCTGGGTAGAGGGAACAGAATGCGCAAGGAAATAACTATGGGAAAAGAGAGGGAACAGTGTTCTGGGTAGAGGGAACAGAATGTGCAAAGGCTCTGAGTCAGGAGGGAGAATGGCACATCTAAGGGACAAAAACAAACAAACAGAAAAACCAGTGCAGGTGGAGCTCTGATAACCAGGCTGGAGCAGAGAAGCGACGAGAAGCCTGAGGCCCCAGCACGGAGGCATCCTGAGTCTCTCACACGTTTATTCCACCTGGCAGCAAATCCTCGCTGAGCACTGGTGGTGTGCCAGGCAGTCCTCTTAGACACGAGGGGGTGAACTCATGACAAAATTGTGCTTGAAAAGGCAATTCCGCTCAGAGTGGAAAATGTCCTCGGGGCGGGGGGCGGGGGGAGGAGAACCAGGAGGCTCCCAGGACGATGCTGGCTCGGACCCCAGGGTGACCACAGACGCCTAGGGGAATGGATGGATGCAGGAGAACAAGGGGGCGTCTGGAAGGCTCTGGGGACCAGTCAGGTGGTGGGGGATTGGACATGAGTTTGACTTCAGGTGCTTTTAAAAATGTTTTGGTTTGTGTCATCTATTACATAGAAAGGTGGTCTGTGGCTTTACCTCCAGGGTTGGGGTCCGGGGAACTGCAGAGCACACTAGGAAACCCCCAAGCTCAGCCTGATGATGATGATCGTAAGGACCAGACAGCACCCCCGGGCGGCAGAAAGCCAGTTCCGGGGAGGGGCTACAGGCAGAGGCTCCGAAACCAGAGTGCAGGGCCTCAGGGAGTTTCTCGTCTGTCACACGGGGAACTGGCTACATCGGCCTGCCAGGTACTTGTGCCGCGATCCACAGAAGTCTCCTAGCAGAGTGCCTGGCACAGAGTTCGAATTACGGTGCTTTTTAAAATAAGCAAAAACCCAGCCCTGGCTGGTGCAGCTCAGGGGATTGAGCACCAGCCTATAAACCACAGGGTTGCCGGTTTGATTCCCAGTCAGGGCACAGGCCTGGGTTGCAGGCCAGGTCCCCAGTAGGGGGTGCACAAGAGGCAACCACACACTGATGAGTCTCTCCCTCTTTTTCTCCCTCCCTTCCTCTCTCTGTAAAAATAAATAAAATCTAAAAATATATATTAAAAAAAACAACAACAACAAGCGAATGCCCAGTACTGGTGAGACGGGAAGAGGGGCTCCACGTACCTGGAGGGGCAGTCCCGGACATGGCAGGGCTGGAACCCAGCGCGGGGCTGCGGGAGGTGGCCGCAGAGGTCCTCGCTCACCTCCCGCCCGCCAGCCATCACACACCGCGGCCTCTGCACGCGGCCTCCCGCGCGGCCACAGGTGGCCGAGCACGGCGTCCAGTTCCCAAGCTTCCAGAAAGGCTCTGCAGGAGGGAAGCGCAGTGTCACCGCAGCCCCCCCCACCCCGGGAGACAGGACGTCGGGCTGGGCCGGACGTGGCCCAGGGCCACCGCGGGCTGTTCGCTGCCCGGCTGCCTGCCCGTGTCTTTGCGTAGCGCGCAGGGAGCCGGCCGTCACGGAGGGCGAGGGGGTCCCTCAAACCTCATGTCCCCCCAGCGAACTGAGTGGAGTAACTGGTGTGAGTGGCGGCCGGGAGGGGACCCTCGGACCGCGGCCTGAGACAGGGCTCTCAGCCCGATCCGCCAGAAACAACCCAGGGACTGGGAGGAGGTGCATGGGAGCCTCCTCAGTTTCCTCCGGCAGAGCCAGGAGCACGGGGGAGGTCGGCCCCTCCAGGGTGTTCCGGCGGGGTCCGGCTTCTCCAACGTGGGTCAGGTGGCCCGGCCGGGTGGCTCAGCTGGTTGGAGCATCATCCCGCACACACCAAAGGGTTGCAGGTTCGATCCCCGATCAGGGTACATACAGGAGGCAATGAACTGATCCATGTTTCTCTCTCCCCCCCTCCCCCACTTCCTCTGTCTGTTAAATCAACAAACACAACCTCAGGTGAGGATTTTAAAAAAGTGGGTCAGGTGGAGACACGGAAGATGGCTCAGCAAGGGCGAGGGCTTGAGTGGGAAGGTCAAAGGGGCATGGCCACCCCTTCTCCCTCTGCACTGACGCAGACTCTGAACCTCAGGCCGATCCTGCCGCGGCACGGACGGTTCTCCCCGAGGACATCCTCCCTGAGGACATCCGGACAGGCAGGCATGGGAGTGGCCTTCCGGGAGCGGAAGCAGGTCGCCCGCCCTCCACAGTTACGGCTCCCGCACTCCCGGCCCACTGCCCACAGCCTCTCCCGCCCCTTTGACCCGCGGCAGGAAGATGAGCCGGGACGTGACGAGGGCGGATCTGTGTGCGACCACGGAAGAAGGCACCAGATTCTCCTGCCGTCATCACCGCCATTGGTGGCCTCCCTCCCGCCGCCAGGCGATTCAGTGCGTTCCCCAGTGGTCCCTCCCGACGTCTGCACTCCGGCCTGAGCTGCACATGGCAGCACTGGAAAAGCAGGGTGCTACGTGTTCTTCAGTGGGGCCTAGTGTTGCTGTTTCTTTCAAACAATGTTCACAAAAATACCCAGGTTTATGGGGAACCGTCCCGGTGACAGGTACAGAATTAGGCACGGTCCCCTCCATATTTTTCACTGAATCCCTGTGCTCGTCTCGTGAATGAGACGGTTTTTACTCACACCCCGTGTGTCGGTCTCAGGAGGTGGGGTTGTTGGGGGGCGCCCAGGCTCCATCCGCAGCTGGAACCCCGACGAGTGGGGCCGGGCCCCTGGGCGCCCCCCACCCTCCTTCCGCCACCGGAGGACGTGGCCCAGAGAGGCGGCCTCTGACCCGGGAAGCCAGCTCTCACCGGCCACGGGTCTGCTGGCGTCTCGATCCTGGACCTTCAGCCTCCAGACCCACGAGAAATAAATAAATGTCTGGTGTGTGCACAAGCCGCCCGGTGCACGGTCTTGTGCTGCAGCAGCCGAACGGACTGAGACTCATGAGGAATGAACGGGTAATACAGCGCCTGTACCAACGGCTGTGTCGTGTGCGAGAGGGAAGAAGAAACTCGGGCTCCCTCGGGAGTGGTGCCCGCCGGAGTGCGGCCGGTCGGGCCATCGCATGGGTGTCGTGATGTCTAGTTTTCATTTGAACCTGTCGCCTAACTTGCCCTACGGTGTGCTTGAGTGTGACACTGTTATATCCCAGAATGGCACGCTAATGATTTCGTAGTGAAAGATTTTGTGGTTACAAAGGAGTGCTTTGTGTGTGTGTGTGTGTGTGTGTGTGTGTGTGTGTGCTGGCCCCTGTAGGTTTTATAAATCACAGGAGGGGGGTTGCTGACGGACAGCCGGGCACTGCTCTCCCTGCATCCCGGGAGCCGGAGGCCTGGGAATGCTGCCTCTCCATCCCAGTCCGCGGAGTTATAGTCCGTGGGGTGCATTCTGTGAAGGAGGGGCGCTCGCTCCAGAGTTCAACGGTTGAGATGGTGCAGCCTCTGTTGTTCCTGCGTAGTCGGCACAATCCAGCACAGGCTCCAAAAGCGTGTCTGTGTGTCCCGGGTTCACCCGCTTTTGAGCTACAAGGACCCCAGACCCTCAGCACTGCTGACCACCCGTCGTTGCAGAATGGCTGGTCTTCTTAACGCCGCCTCTCTCGCTTGGCCTCCCGGAGCGCTCTGCAAGCTCGGAGCACTTAGGCTAGGTTCTCCGTGCCAAGCACGGAGCTATAACTCAGTTAGTGCGTGCGGAGAATTAAGTTTGTGAGAAGAAGAAGAAAAAAATGGGAAAGAATTGATTCCAGAACTCGTAGCCCATCTTCCCTCTCCCAACATTGGCGAGAACCTGGACGCAGGAACCCTCACACCTGTGTGAGCACACGCCGCGATGCCCGCTTGGGGGATGGGAGCTCTGTGGGCTTCCCAAGGAGTGAGTTCTCTATCGAAAACACGCCCACATAGAAGGAGCAAGTGGGATCACAGAAGACGGAGGGGCCAGGGGCCAGGGGCCAGAAGACGGAGGGCTGAGGGGAGAAGGAAGGAATGAGGCCGGGACCCCCCAGTGAGTGGGGGACAACATCCAGTTAGGCTGCAGGTGGGGTCTGGAGCGAGGCCGGTGTGTAGACGCAGGAGGTACAGGGGCCTGAACCTGGGCAGGAACGTGGACCTCCCAGAGCGGGCATTAGGCAGAAAGTTGCAGCTTTGTCGTTAATAGTTAAAACCACTCCCAGTCCCTTGCGTTTCCCCAACCCCAGAGGCAACTCCCCGGTCTGTCGGCCGGGAAGCACATGAAGGACCGCCAGAACAGCGGACGCTTACCCAGGAGGCTCAGGACCGAGGTCGCCGCCGCCTTCCCGAGCGCGTTGCTGGCCCTGCAGACGTAGGTTCCTTGGCTTCGCGGGGACACGCTCTGCAGCCACAGCGACCCGTCCACGAGCACGGAGACGTCGTCGCCCAGAGGCCCCCCTCTCCTCGCCCACCTCACCGTGGGCCGCGGGACACCTTGGGAAGAAAAACGAGTGTGACGAAGGCAGAGTCCTTTCAGAACGGACCGTAGGACCAGAACCACCGAGTGAGTGTGCCTCACATGGCCCAGCCAAGGGGCTGAATCACCTGTAAGGAGAAAAACGGCTATTTCTGTTTCTGTAGCTTCCTTACGACAGGACAGGTGGGGGGGTGGGGGGGGGTTCCCATTGCAGCAAAGTGCTCCAGTCCACTGAGCATCTGATTGGTTTACAGGTCAAAGAGGCGGAGCCAAAGCGGGTGGCACAGAAGGAAGAGGCATTTGACCTTGACGTGGGGAGGGAGGTCGGGAAAGAGGAGCTGGGGAAGCCAGGGTGACCCTGGAGACAGAAGTCCCCCCCCAGGGCTGGGCTGTCGCAAAGGCGTCTTTGGAAAACAAAGTGCCTAAAGTGGATCTTTACGCTGTTCTCCATGCACACGCAGTGAAGTGCTCCTCCTCCTTTGGGAGGGGTGTGAGCTGCTCAGGGGAACAGATTCTGTTCATTACCGCTCTTGTAGAAGAGGGTCCTTTCAGGGAACACGAAAAGCCGTGTGTCTGGGTCGCTGTTGTGAGGGGCGGAGACTGTGGGTAGCATCTCTGGAGACAGAGGGGAGCATGAGGAACTGAAGGAATGTCTCCCCCCAAAACGTGAGGAGAGGAAGGGGAGGAAGGTGGAGGGTAAGGAGAGCGGGGAGCAGGCGATGCAATAAAAGGAGATACGCTGGATGCCTTGATCCCTGACCCCTGAATCTTCGGTCTTGCTCTAAAAGTCTGCCACGGCCCTGGCCAGGTAGCTCAGCCAGTTAGAGCATCATCTCAATGCGCCAAGGTGGCGGGTTCAATCCCCAGTCAGGGCATATGCAAGAATCAACCAATAAGTGCATCAATAAGTGGAACAACAAATCGATGTTTCTCTCTTTCTACTTTCCTCTCTGTAAAAATCAATAAATAAAAAAATTTAATTCATAAAAAATTTGCAAAATGCTTGGTAATAATGGATGTCTTGCTATGAGTAGACACTAGTGCAGACAGTGAGTTTTGCCTCTTGGTTGATGGAGGGCAAAAGAGAGACAGAGCCAGAGGCGGAGGGCCCAGGCGGGGTCAGCCAGCCAGGACGGGCACCGGTGGGCACCCGCAGGCTTTGCAGGCTCCAAACTGGGGAACTGCAGGGGTCAGAGACAATCACACTTGAACCTGACCCTGACAATGGCAAGGCTGGGCCACTGGGTTCAGACAGACAGTCAGAGTCCTCCTGTACAAAGAACAACAGTGCACAGAACAAAGCCTGGTGAGTTTTCAGATGCACACAGAGAGGCCAAGGTCTCCCGGGCCGTGGAAAGAAGCATCTAGAAGCATTGTGACCAGGTGACCATCCCCAAAGCATCGGAGGGCCCAGGGGAAATCCAGACGGGACCTTTCAGACCGCTGCTCTCCCCGCTCTCCCCAAACTGCAAGTGTCTGCTCTGTGGAAACAGCTAGAAGACGTCAGAAGGCGTTCCACCGTATTTATGTAACCTCAGAGACAGGCCGTTTCCCCCAGGACACACGGCGCTGAAATATCCAACACACTCTCTTTCCACAGTGCGGAGGTTATTCTTGGAAGGCAACCGCAGTGGGAAAAACAAAGTTCGGGTCTGGAGGGACTAGGAAGCAGGCGTCACAGAACGTCTGCCCCTCCGGGGTGTCTTTAAAACAGTCACTGTTGCCCTGGCTGGCGTAGCTCAGTGCATTGAGCGCGGGCTGCAAACCAAAGTGTTGCAGGTTCGATTCCCAGTCAGGGCACATGCCTGGGTTGTAGGCCACGGCCCCCAGCAACCGCACATGGATGTTTCTCTCTCTCTCTCTCTTTCTCCCTCCCTTCCCTCTCTAAAAATAAATAAATAAAATCTTTAAAAAACACACACACACATCGGGATGTGGACGGACAAACAGTTCTGCACACAAGAAAAACCAGCCCGGGCTTGGCAACGGCGAACCGAACGCACGGACGGAATCTTCAAGCACCTGTGACAGCCCCCCCGACGGAGCCAGGGCCAGGGCAGGCGGTCGCTGAGGAGGCTCCCGCACGACACGCAGAAGCAGGAGAGAAGCAACCAGGGTGGCTGGGACAGGGGTGGTAGTAGCCTTTTGGAGTGGGGGAAGAGGTGTTCAATGTCCTTAAGACATAACTGTAGCTATTTCAAGAATTTTCTATGGTTTACGAAAGAGATCAACGGAGTAAAGGGGATAAATATCAAAAACCACAGATTGAGAAAATGAGGGAGCTTTCCCTTAGAACACAGTGGAAGCAGCAACACGTTCTGTTCATAAAACTGGTAAGAAGATCATTCTCACATTTTCTTTCCTTCTTTCCTTTTTTAATTTTTTTTTGGAAATCATTACCCAATGATTAGAGAGAGAGAGAAAGATCCTTGATCAGATAGAAACATTGATCAGTTGCTTCCCTTACATGCCCTGACTGGGAATCGAACCTGCAACCTTATGGTGTATGGGCCGACGCCCAACCAGCTGAGCCACCCGGCCAGGAGAGGTTTTCTTTTTAAGTATTCTGAAAACTATATGTGAAATTTTGTGGATAAATGTGTTTTTCTGGAGACATAGGCCTTTTTTTTTTTTTGGCGGGGCGGCCAAAGGGACTTGTGACAAGGATGTTAAATCACTAACCACTAAATTCCACCCTATATAACATAAACCGGTATTCACCGGACGGGGGGAAACAACTGTCAGAGAGATGAGGCTCCGTTTAGGAATCCACCCGCGTTCTCTTGCTGCACCACAAGAATGTCCTCCAAACCCTCCCCCGCAAGGGAAACTATTAAACGCAGTGCAGGGAGGTAATAATTCACTCTGACACGAGAAAAACACTTTAGAGCAAAAACAGAGATCAGCTGTACCTTCAGTGAGCTTAAGAACAAGAAACACAAGCAGCGCAGAACACGCAGAACGCACAGAACACACACACACACATACACACACACCCCACTCTCCCTGGGCATCAGTGAACAAAATGTGTTGCTCTTTACTGGTCCTTTTCCTCAGACGGAACTTCCCTTTCTCACCAGAAGGTGGCAGAGAGGGTGCAGTTAAAACTTTTTTCCCTCCCATCTTTAGAAGAAGCTGTTTTTGTTTTTTTTTTTTAAGAGCAAAACAAGTAACTCTTGCCACTTAGAACTGTTAACCTTTAGAAATACAGGTTTGTGGGTCTGATTATTGAACATAGTTATTAGAAATGCCCTCGCCAAGCCCTGGCTTACTGTGGCTCCATGGACTGAGTGCCGGCCTGCAAACCTAAAGGTCGCCAGTTCAATCCCCAGTCAGAGCACATGCATGGGTTGTGCGCCAGGACCCCCGTAGGGGGCGCGTGAGAGACAACTGATCAATGTTATCTCTTGCACATCAATGTTTCTCTCCCTCTCTTTCTCCCTCCCTTCCCTTCTCTCTAAACAGAAATAAATAAAATCTTAAAAAAAAAACAAAAAGAAATACCCTCTCCGAGTGGGTAGAGACCATCGCTCTGCGTGTCTATACCGCGCAGGTGAAACCAAACACAGGTGACTCCAGCAGAAACTGTGACCCCGTGTGAAAGGCACGACTGGATGAACTCATCGTAAGTAGCAGTGAGAAATGTCTGAAGGGCAACTGGAAAATTGCAGAGACATGCGAACGTACTACTGACTTTCTGACATCGCCTCCATGTGCAACATGGAAATGTGACTCCATACGGCAGCACTGGAGTCTGCGGATGGGACAGTGCTCTCATCTGTGGGACGAAAAGTCCTTTCTTCCACGAACATAGCACACTTCCCACTTCAGGGCGGGGCGGGGCGGGGCGGGGCGGGGCGGGGGGCGTCCTAGGCAAGCTAGCGACGGAACTGTCTGGAAAACACACATTTCCTGTCCCTCCAGCGACTTCCTCGCCTGTCTTCAAGAAGACAGCTCTCTGTGAAGGGCTGACTTAGCTCCAGCTTCTGCCTACCAGGAAAGACAGTGAGGTCACTACAGGTTTATTGAAAACGGCACAGAACTCGAAACAAGGCGGGTTTATTTTTAAAAGGGAAGGATGCCCGCTGTGTGTCTGAGGCCCGGTGCACAGGACATGCCTGCCAGGTCGGGCGGGGGGGGGTAGGGACAGAGCGGGGCGGTGTGTCAGGGGGAGAACAAACAGGACCATTTCTAGTAAGAGCTGAGCGTGGAGGAGGGAGGGAGGCGGAGCTTCAGGGCAGAAGGCCGTGGGGCTCGGGGGACAGGACAGAGACGGGCCACACGCTGATGCCGGAAGCTTCACTCCCAAAACCAATTTCCACTCAACCCACCCCTGACTCACCACAGCAAACACTACACCGCCCGGCCCTCCCCCCGCACGGCTCATCCCCCTCGGAGAGCCCGATTTTAAACGATCGTGAAAGTAAGAAATTTAGAAATAACGTTGAGGTTTCTCTTAATAGAAGTCAGATCTGTTTTGCAGAGTCCTCTGCAGGTGGAGGGCCGAGGGAGCTCCAGACATGTGTGGCTTTGGCAACGGAAAGTTCCGTTCCGCCTCCCTCCGTGCCGCGGCCAGAGAATGCTGGCCCCTTCGGCGACGGTGGGTGCGTCCTGCCAGAGAACTCGCATACTTGTGGGTGGAGTCAGTTGGGAGGCTGGAGGGAATTTTTTTTTTCCAAGCGTCCAAACACAGCAGGGACTTCCAAGGGGTGAAAAATAATACCTTGGGGGTTAGCAAATTTCCACTGTTTGTGGAGCCAAAGGAGCTGTTCTGGAAGCGGGGCTTGGAGCTGGCGCTGGAGGGCGGGGGCTGAGCCTGGAGCCTGGATGGATGTGTCCTCGGAGCCGTTCCTCCGTGGACCTTCACGGCGGGGCAGCAGCAGCAGAGGCTCCCCCAGTTCGGGGCTCTCTGGGTCGCGGCCCCGGCGAGACTCGCCCAAGCGGCTACCACTCCGGCTACCCCATTAGTACGCAGGGACCAGGGAAGTAAGAATTGTGCAGAGAGTTAACTCAAGGGCATATGCAAGGTCACCTTTAAAGAGTGGACCTTCTACCCTGGCCAGCTGGTGTGGCTCAGTGGATTGAGCGCCGGCCTGTGGACCGAAAGGTCACTGGTTCAATTCCCAGTCGAGGCACATGCCTGAGTTGCAGGCCAGGTCCCCAGCAGGGGGTGCAGGAGAGGCAACAACACATTGACGTTTCTCCTCTTTCTCCCTCCCTTCTCCTCTCTAAAAATAAAGAAACAAAATCTTTAAAAAAAAAAAAAAAGAGTGGGTCCTCCCATCGAGGAGTTCTCAGCGTCTATGAGAAACAGGCCGAAGCTATTACTCACGTAGCCCTGCCAGCGCCCGCCCGGGCACGCGTGTGCTGCACACGGACCTCAGCCTGGGGCAGGCGTGGGTCCAGGTGAAGACTTGAGGATCTATGGCCGAGAGGGCTGGAAAGGCCCGAGACGGAGGCAAGGCCCGACTGCAGGTGGTACTTCAATCGAGGACAGAGTGAGTCTGTCGGAGAGGAGGTTTCCCCGTGCTGTGCACGGAGCAGAAAGGGGCACGGAGGCACAGACGGGTGAGGCTCCCACGAGGACAGTCCAGCACAGAGCGTCTGGCCCAGGGGGGCCCGGACGCTGCCCACCGCCCGACGCGGCCCTGCCTGGCGCAGACTCCGTCCAGCCGGCGGTCGCGCGCACCGCTGTCCAACAGAGGAGCGCACAGCTCGGGCCGCGCCCTCACCCGCAGCCGCTGCCTGGAAGAGGCACCGGAAGGGGCTGCAGCCTCCCCCCCCCCCGCCTCCCGCAGAAGTGTGAACACGACGGCGTGCGAGGCAGCCACGGTCCTCGCCGGGAGGAACAGCGCAGCGTTCTGTGGGCCCTGCCCAGGTGGCTCAGCAGGTCCGAGTGTCCCCCTGTTCTCACCAAAAGGTTGTGGGTTTGATCCCCAATCGGAGCGCCCACGGGAGGCAACCCATTCATGTTTCTCCCTCTCCCCCTCTAGGCCCCTTCCTCCCTCTGTAAAATTAAAAAACAAATTTGTCTTACACACTGGTCTTGTGAGCTGGCGGGAGCTCACCCCCGAGAGACAGTCCCACTGTCACTGACCTCACGGGCAAGGCGGAGCGTTGAGACGGCCACGCCGAGGTCTCGGCGTCTCCCGGCAGCGACCCCACTCACCTCTCACGGGACAGCGGATGGTCACGTTTGCTCCCAGGGCCGCCCTCACGGTGCCCCCGACCGCGGCGGACAGAGGGCCGAGCTCCGCGCTGGTGACGTTTCCTTCCCGGGACAAGATGGCAGGCGCCTCTTCATCGGAAGGGAGAGAAAAACCAGGTCAGGGTCAGGGTCAGGGTCAGGGACGGCGTCGGCCCCTTGGTGGACCGGGCTGCGCTTGGCAACCGGTGTCGAGCTCTCTGAGAGCCGTGGATGGTCCTGGCTCTCTCTCTCTCTCTCTCTCTCTCTGCGCCTTGGTGGGAGGGACACGCACAGCCTGGGGGCGCGCAGGGGACAGACGGGAGGACGGACGGATGGACAGATGGATGGTTACGGTCAGAGAGACACCTATGAAGGTGCACTGACTGCAGCAACCATACAGGGGCTACAGGGGTATTTGGTTTTACGACCACATCCGTCTTCGGTACACAGGATACTCAGGAGGGCCCGGGAGTCAGGAAGGCCCAGGGCACAGGGGTGCAGCGCGGCCTCGGGGGAGCTCCAGGAGGACCCGGCCCGCCAGGGCATCTGACTCTCTCCCCAGAACGGCAAGCGGAGAAGGAGACCCCGCACCAAACTTGTGTGGCGAAAAGACTCGGGGACTCAGTTCAAGGACTTGAATGTGCCCGGGGTTCTGAGAACTAGACACCCTTCTCAGACTGATTCGTGAACTCCCTCTGGAAAGACACGGGGGGCCGGAGCTGGCAGTGGGGGAAAGAGCTGGAAAACACCCTCCAACCACCGAGCCCGCCGGGAGGCACTGTGGGTGTGGGCGGAGAAGGGTCTGGTTACCCAGGGCAGCTCAGCAGCCCAGCAGTTGCCAGAGCGCCCCTCCCCCATCCCGCCGTCAGCACCGGGAAGGAAGGGCCACAAGTCCTGAACTTGTTTGCACACCTGCACACAGAACACCTACGCGGTCGAGTAAGGACGGTTAGCTCCCTGGTAGGTTCCCGTCTATTCTGGGGAGGAGCATTCCAGAACAAGCGCGGCTGGATGACCACCTGTTCCATTCTCCGCTGGAGGGCCAGGGGTGGTGGAAAGCTACCCTGAGTTTTGAAAAGCTGGGAGCCGCTCTGGGGCCGGGAGAGGGCGGCAGGCAGCTCACAGCAGGTCCTCTGGCCCCCGTGGGACCCTGCACCAGCTTGCCCGGGAATCTGGGTTGTTCTAGGGCTGACTTCAGGGGGGATCTGTGAGTTGCAAGGGGGGACTTCTGTCCCTCGCAGGGATTTTAGGGCCTTGGGATCGATGTTTGCTGGAGACGAGGGGATGCTCAGAGGAGGGAGCCACCCAGCAGGGCCTAGGCCTGAGGGTCCCACCTCCATCCAGAACACATCCAGGGGCTGAAAGTCAGGCGCCGCAGATTCAACTGGCCCCACCTCCTCCACGTGCAGACTACAGAGCCCAACACGGACGTGTCCAAGTGCTGGGTTCGAATCCCCGACCTCGTCCCTCCGCTCATCCCAGCCCCTCAGGGCCACAGACACCAGAAGCCACAGAGCAGGGAGGGAGTGGGCGGAGGGCGCTCTTGCTTCATTTGCAAACCCAGAACACGAGCTGGCCACAAGGAGGCGCTGCCTGCAACCTTGCCACCTAAAAAAAAAAAAACGTTCCTTCCTATGGAAACCACACTGGACTATTCTAATGGCCTTGCTGGGAAGATACACACTGATGTACAGGTGCAACGCCCTGCACATGTGTGTGTGTGTGTAGGGGTTGGCGGGTGTGCCGCTGGGAGACTTACACCAATCTCAGAAGGAGGATTATTCTCTTTCCTTGACTGGTGGCTCTTTAAAAGGAAAAGCGCCACCCATGAAATGCTGCCTTGTTCTTGTTCATTCCCAACTCCTAGAAAGAGAGCTCTGGAAGAGCTGCTGTGTTCTCAGGGTGGCCGCCAGGCCAGCAGCATCGGCACAACCTGGGACCATGTTAAAAATGTAAATTCTCAGACGCCCTCCCAAACCTCCCGGGTCAGAGCCTCTGGGAGGGGTGGGGGTGGGGGTGGGGGCGTCTAGACAGACACCTGTGTTTCAAACCACCGCCAACAGGGGGCCCTGCTGCTCACTGAACTTGGAGAACTTCTGCACAGCCCGGAACCCGGGCAGCCCAGGTTCCGACAGTGGGCGTAAGGAAGTACCTGCGAACAGCACCGGGGAACGCTCCGCGTCGGAACCCAGCCGATTGGCCACCGAGCACCCGTAGAGGCCTCCTTCCCTCTTCGTGGGGTCCCGTATCTGCAGTTTCCCGGGTCCGGACACGGTTACTCTGCAGGGCAGTCAGGAAGGGGAGGCGGTCACGTGATGCGCTCCGTGGCGGAGGGAGCTGCCGGGCCCGGTGTCCTCTCCCCGCGCACCAGGAGAGGCGCGCAGCAGGAGAGGCTCTCCAGCTCGGACCCAACGCCCCGTCTACCCCTTTTTCTAAGAAGACGCGCCAGCCACCCGAGTCCTCCGTCACCGGCGGCAGGCGTGAATTCTCCCTCTCGGATCTTCAGGCTGGACGGGCAGTGGGTAGCGTCTCCCTGGCACCGCGCAGGCAGCCACGCCGAGGCCGCGCTGGGCTGGGTGTCGCCTGCTCGGCGGCACCAGGGCTGCCACCGCCGCCGCCGTGTGGGAGCGCCTCTAGGCTTCCCGGCTAGGGAGGGCCTAAACCTGGGGGTGCCACCCCGAGAATCAGAGCTGGTCGTTGCCTCCCAGCGAGCGAGATGATTGTTCAGGGACCCAGCAAGAGTGTGTGTTCTGCTTTTCTTTTCTTTTCTTTTCTTTTCCTTTCCCTTCTCTCCCTCCCTCCCTTCCTTTGCTTCTTTCTTTCCTTCCTCCTTTCATTTTCCTTCTCCCTTCCCTTCCCTTCTTTTCCCTTCCCTTCCCCCTTCCCCCCTTCCTTTTTCAGAAAAGTGGGAGTGGCTTCCAGGTCACCTGCCCACACTCTCCCGTCTCCGCTGGCCCATCCAATTGGCAGATCTGAGCGGACAGGGAGGACCGTTCTGACCGCTAGAGACTGTACGTCGCTTCGTGACATGGGCCACCTTGTCATTTCCTGTCACTTCATGCTGCTTGCCCCGTGCTCCTGCCAGCACGAATGTCTAACGGTTTCCAGAACATTCCATAACCTTTCATCGCCCTGAGCTTTTGCATATGGTGTTGGCTGTGTTTGGAATGTCTTTCCTCCCTCCGGCAAACTCCGACCTCCTCGCTGTGCCCCGGATCAAATGCAATTTCCCCTAAAGCTTTCCCCAGTACTCCCAGAGTTATCTGCGGCTCCCTCGGGGCTCCTTCTGCTCCGGTTCATGTATTTACTTGATGAAAAATCAATTTCTTCCCACTAGATTGTGATCTTTTCCAGAGCAGGGACCCAAGTTTATTCACAGCTGTGCATTCTCACTGACTTTTGCATAGCAAGTTGTCAAGAGCCTTGGATGAAAAAAAGCATGAATGATCAGAATAGATAAAAATAATGGCCTAGAGTCTGTGTAGTAGGAGGACTCAGGCCCCCCCCCCCCGCCAGCAGCACACACGGAAAAAGACACAAAAGGAGGCAGAAATCAAAACAGCCGACTTTCCCAGGACAACGACAGGAGTGCGGCAGGCCCAGCTATGACAGGGCCAGACTCTAGTGCACCGCCGGATCCCTGTGAAGGAGCAGTGGATGGAGCACAAACCTGTGGCCAGCCCGGGGCCACAGAACGAGCACGCAGAGTTCCTTAGGAACCTGACCTTGGCCTCTGCCATGTCCCTGCGCTGACTCCTGAGCTGAGACCAGCAGCAGAGGCGGGTAAAGCTGCTGCGTCTCGGCAGGAACCGAGGCAGTGGCGGGCGCACAGCCCAGCAGTCCCTGTATTCTTGCCTTCCTCACCCTTGCAGGGGAAGAAGAAGAAAGAAGGAGAAAGAAGGAGAAAAGAAGGAGGAGGGGGGGGAGGAGGACGGGGGAGGAGGAGGAGGAAGAGGAAGAAGAAGAAGAAGAAGAAGGAGGAGGAGGAGGAAGGAAGGAAGAAAGAAGGAGGAGGAGGAGGAAGGAAGAAGAAGAAGAAAAAACCACAGCCGGCTTCCCGTAAGGATGTTCTTAATGAAGCAGTAAAACTCACTAATTTTACGACCCTGGACGGCACATGGTTTTAATATCCCGTCGGTCCAAACGGGAAGGCCGCACGGTGCGCGGATGTCAGTGTGAGGGTTTGAGCCGCGCTCGCCCTGGAACGCCACCGTCCTTTCTCGAGAGAGACACGCTGCGGTTACTTGGACCGGGGCGTCTGGCAAGCATTTCTGGAAACGAGCAGAAACGAGCCGGCCAACCCCAGGAACGCCACGGACAGGACTGGTGGCCAGGGACAGAATTGGAGCTTTTCAAGCGAGGATTAGAATTTCCGAACATTCCTATTCCCTCCTGTCAGCTCAGAGAGGTCCCCGAAGCTCACGGACCGTTCCGATGAGAGGGGTGGTGATGTTAGAGAAGATGCATGCTTTTTGAAGTTGTTTCTTGGGGCTTGTCAGTGTTTGGAAGGTCCAGTATTTTCCAAATGACCAACGTGTGTGGTTCTAAAATCTGTGTAGGCGAAAGAGCCATTTGGAGTGCAAGATACATGAATAGATCTCGTTATACCAAAAATTACCGAAATTTCATTAATGTGATTTTAGATTCCACATCCCCACCAGCCTTGAAGGGTGAAACGCCACTTGCCTAGTTCCGTGCAGTATCACAGAAGGACATCCACAAGCGTCTGAAAAGGCCATTAAATGATTCCTCCTTTTTGTCCAACTAACAACTCTGGATGAGGCCACATTTCCTCCAGAAGCTCCGGTTCAAAAAAAAACACATCCCAGAAGATTTCGCGTGGAAGTATGAGAATCCAGATGGATTGTATTAATCTGGACATTAATTTGCAAAGATGGAAAACGGTGCCGTGGTTCCCCGTCCAGTTTTTTGAGAATACTGCTTTTCAAAAATTACGTTATTTTCTATGAATGCATCGGCGGCGGATTACGGTTGTTTCTAAGTGGATTAATAAACGGATGTTTTCAGCGCTGCTTGGGTTTAATTTCTAATGCGATAAACAGCGATAGCTGTAACGCACATGCACAGAAGCTCTCTGGGCTCCTCGATCGGTTAAAGGGGCTCTAAGACAGAACAGATTTGAGAACGGCCAAGGTTACTGATTGGGGAGGTTCCTGCCACTTCTGAAATGTCATTTCGCACCGGGGCAAACAATTTCAAAAATTAAATCTGTCCCATCCTTTCATTCTAAGACAGAGCCTAAAGTAGGTTATTACAAAACATTGAATTATACATAGCTTTCTCCTGGCGGACCCCATATTAGGCTCCATGCCCAAAAGTCATGATAAAAAGTGAAACTTGCATTTTTAATGTGCCTCGTGGTCCACAAAACAATTTAACATCTGGTATTTTGTTTGTGTTTCTCAACAGCCTCCAGAGGCAGACAAGGTGCAGCCTGAACTCTTAAATGCGAATTTAAAAAAGCAAAATGTCTACGGTCTCATGTAGCGAGATTTAGAGACAGTAAAGAATGCAAAAGGAATTAATATTTCTGTTATTCCCTGTTACTTTATAGAAAATAAATGAATTGTGATATATTTGCACTGACGGGTCACAATAAAATAACATAGGACTTTGTTATCTGGTGGTGAACCGCTCAAAAAACTTTGAACTGGGTTATCTTCTAGTTTTGGATTTTATGACACTCGGAACTTCGAGACACAGAAAACCACTTCAGACACCCAATCTTTCCACCAGGGCTTGTGTGTGTGTGTGTGTGATATCCAAACACTGCGGGTGGCGCTCAGAGATACGGTTTCTCCTTCTGATTGGCCATGAGTTAGTCACGGGCTCCTGCTTCTCAGCGACATCACAGGAGACTGTGGACCCGGGCCCTGCCCACCTCGTGGGGCTGACGTCGACTCAGAGGAGCCCCCGTATGTCCGAGATATGTCAGACCACCGGACAGTGATTTGCAATACAGGACGACTGCACGTGTGCCTACTTTTAAATCGGCCTTAGACTGCTTTTGTTTTTGATGGTAAGTGCTCTGCACAGAGAGAGGCTATGTGCTCAAGCTCAGTCTCATGGACCCACTGTCGTGTCACGCCTACATATGAGTGATAGGGAGTAACACCGTTAAATGTTACAAATTTGAAAGCATATGTGAAAAACACATCTTTACATTTTTGGGGGATTCTTTCCTAAAGAATTCTGCTGGAAATACATTCTTTTTTTTTTTAAGATTTTATTTATTTATCTATTTTTAGAGAGAGGGTAAAGAGAGGGAGAGAAACATCAATGTGTGGTTGCCTCTCACATGCCCCCTAGTGGGGACCTGGCCCTCAACCCAGGCATGTGCCCTGACTGGGAATCGAACTGGTGACCCTTTGGTTCACAGGTTGGGGCTCAATCCACTGAGCCACACCAGTGGATTGCTGGAAACACATTCTTAAGAGAAGGAATTGGAAAATATTTTCGAGAAAACTGGAATAACCATTCACAAGATCTTGCAAAAGGGAACACTGGACTCTCACCCTACTTACTTTTCTGAGGGTCGTAACAGTGCTCCATCTTTGGTCCACGTGTAGGTGACCTCACTGGGGGTGACGAGCTCGCACAGGATGTTGATGACCGCCGTCTTTTTCGTGATGTACACGGTATTCCCGATCCTCGAAGTTACCGTTTTATTAAAGGAAACCGAGGTGGGCTGGCTTTGCCTGGCGAGAACTGGTCCCTTCGGCTTGAACGTCAGCTTGCCCGAGTTTTTCACACTCGAGCTTTGGGGTTCATGTCCCGTGTCCCCTCTGAGCTGGGCCTCGGGAGGCACCTCTTCCCGGGTGGCCCTCCACGGCAGGTGCACCGGCGGGGCCTTCGCCAACTCGGCCACCAGCTGATATATCACCTGCGAGGCCACGTCGTCGCTGATCTCCCCTGTCTCCATGAGCTGACTCATGTTTCTTATCAGCTCGTCAAACTGGGCGGTGTCCATGCTGTAGGCCCCCTGTTTAACGGCCGCTTCGAACTGCTTCGTCTTCAACTCCCAGGAGCTGGCGCTTCCCGCAGAGCTGGGGCAGTGTCCCAGCAGGGCCCTGAGGAAAGGCTGGGGACCCATCGGGCCCCCGTCCCGATGCAGCTCATTTTTGTCGTTCCACATCTGCCTCATCTGATGCCACGTGACTCCCGAGCCGCCGGCTTGGCCGTGGTCCATCCCCGGGAGTCCCCGGGCGCGGTCTCCGAGGGCCGGGGGCGCGATGAGCCGGTTGTCCGTTCCGATGAGCTTGAGGACGACGGTCTCCCGGGCGGAGCCCGCGATGCAGCGGTACAGGCCGATGTCGGGGGCTGCGAGGCTGTGGATCTTCAGGGAGCCCGACTTGGTGACGCCCAGGCGTTTGGAGTTCTGCAGACAGTGGCCGTCCTTCTCCCACTGGATCCGCGATTTCTGGAATCGCCGCACCGGGCACTTAATGATCACGGAGGTGTTGGGCAACAGATAGGCCCGGCTGCCGACGGTCAGGTTGATGCGCTTCTCTTCCCTGGTCTGGATGTAGACTTTCTGCACGCCCAGGATCTGAGGACCCTGCTCGCCGGCTTTTGTCTTCATGTCTGCTTTCGTTTCTGCGGGGGCCGGTGGGGGAGAAAAAAGGAAAAGAAGGAGACACCAACCAATATCTCAGTACGAACAGTGTTTTGATGGTAACCTCCCAAGGCCGATACAAGCCAACGTGGGTCCTGCAGAAAGGCAGAAAGTGTCCCGTGGGCCTGCACATGAGGCACCCGGGTGGCGTAATGAAGGCAGTGCCAGTGCCACGTGTGGGAGGATGGGAGGATGGGGGGAATGGAAATTCCTTGCTCGGCTCTACCATACGGTGGGGAGAGGAAGGGGATGGAGAAGCCACACCGCAGCCAGCAGGGGCCCCTGAGCCACGGCGGGGGCCTGAGGCCAGGCTGCAGCTGGAGGGGAGGCCCCGCTCAGGGCGCGCTGGCTGTGCTGGGAGCGTGCATTCCTGTCTCCTGTCTGCTTCCGTGACCTACGCGTTGGCAAGCTCGGGAGTGGGGTGGGGCAAAGAACAAATATTACTGTCTTTTTCTTGTTGTTTTTTTTTAAGACTTATCATTTTCCTCAGCTCTCCGCTGCATGCCAGAATAATTGACAATTTCATCTTGTACCACATCGCGTGCCCTCGGAACCACAATGCGGCCCCACATGTTATTCTGTTATCTTAGAGGGAGCTGCCAGCGTTACTTTAATTTCACTCTCCTCTCGGGCAGTTTATGGTCTAGCCACACTGCTATAAAATCATCCACAATTAATGAAAATTAGGTCGATACACCGCTCGAAGCGTGACAGAGTGCCACATGCCAGAGACAGGCCTGAACTCCGGGATCCCGTCGAACCTGGCTTCTCAAGGGCTTGGAAGCTCAAGATTTTAAACATTTGTTCTCAAAGACTTCCCAGGGGGGGAAGTTCATGTCATCCATGAATCAGCGTGGAGAGGTCGCAGAGAGCGTGAGCTCAGGAATCAGACAGATTCGCGGTCAGGAGGTCTCATGCCTCCTCCGAATCTTGGGTTCCTTGTCTCCAAACAGGGATTCTATCTGTCTCGAAATGTCGTGGGGACTACATGAGTGGATGCGTGAAAGGCACTCTCCATAGTAAGTGCTCAATACATGCTGTTGCTTTTTGAAGAGCATGAAGTAAGAACCACATTATTGTGGTTCTTACTTTGCTTTGTGAGTTCCTCCAGGAATGTTGTTGGTAAACTCAGATCTCATATCTGTACGTATTTTTTTCCTAAGCAGCATTAAAATAATAATTATTTTCTGATTTTTGTTCTTATGTAAGCTCAGGAGGATACCTGAGGTAATGAATGTTACCTTACAGGCCAGCAATGAAAGGGGGTGCAAAATAAAGCTAGAAATACACCCAGAAGCTGTGCGTGTCCCGTGTGCCTGGTCCCCCCCTCCCACCCCCCCTCCCACCACACTCTGCTGCCTCGTTTTCAGCTGCTACAGGGACAGTGCATGACTCCTTTCTCGTAGCCCCCTGCACAAAACATACATATGCACACGTAAATGTATGTCCTCCCAAGTACACTGGAAATACAGACCAACGCTACATATATGTCAGCTTTGGGATATTTTTAAGCCATACTGGGAACTCTCTAGGCCAAGCTGATATAAGTCATAGTTATAACTAATTATATAATTAATATATATGAATTATATTATGTTATACATAATATATAATATATTATAATGTTAATTGTATTATATAACTAATTATATATTATTGCCTTAATAATTATAATTAATTATAAAGAATTGAAGAGGTATCCAAACTGCCATTTTTGAAAACCAAAGGTATTTCTGGTTTTAGATTAACCACAGGAAGAGATACTTGGAAAATGAAAAATGCTTCTCTCTCCCACTTTTGTCGAATGAGTCTGAATCTATCGTTAGGGAAGAAGAAAAAGAAAAAAAAAAGACCCAGAAAGTACGGTGGCTTCACTTCTACAAGGAACACTCGTGAATTCTAGGTGGAAGACACCACGGTCAAGTGCGGATGTAAGGAGGTAGCACTCCAGGGGAGGGAACCTAGAAGACACAATTGTTCTGGGGGCGGACAGTCCTCACAGCTGACTTTCGTTAGAGCTTGACCTTGGCCTTCGACATGACAGTGCCTGCGGCTTCAAGCTCTGCTGAGCTCTGGCTGGCTCGCGTGACCTACAGATCAGAACCGCCCTGGAGACACTCCGAAAGCAACGCCTTCGGAGTGTCACCGGCACAGAGACGCACGGGACGTTCGCCCACTTACCGCTGCACGCGGGCATGTGGCACGCTCTCACCAGAGGGGGCCCCGGGAGGTCGCGGCACGAGGACTCGCCGAGGGGGACGCGCCGGCCCTTGGCGGTCAGCCTCTGACACGCCCGCTCTCTGCGCTGGGTGCCCGCGCCGCAGCTGACGGAGCACTGCAACGAGAATGGCGCGGCGGAATGAAGTGCAGTGTTTGCATGCGAATGCGGCCGACGGCAAGAAGGAGCTTCACGTGGGGGTGTGCCAGGACGCCAGCCACGGCCTGGGCTCCGTGGTCGTTGGAGACGTGGGGAGCCCCCCCTCCTCTGCCCCCCTCCCTTGCTCCATGCCTTCCCTGCCCTCTTTCTGAGACAGCAATTAACCCCCAGGAATCTACCATCACTGCAAGTTTCTGACCTTGTATCTGGGATCTAACTTATTTTTTAGCTATTTTTATATAGTAAGATGACTTTGCTTTTTTTAAAAACAAAGATACGTACCCAAGACCAAGAATTCAAGAAACAGAAATGTATAAAAGGGAAATTTTTTTTAAAGATTTTATTTATTTATTTTTAGAGAGGGAAGGGAGGGAGAAAGAGAGAGAGAAACATCAATGCTTGGTTGCTGGGGGCCGTGGCCTGCAACCCAGGCATATGCCCTGACTGGGAATCGAACCTGCGATGCTTTGATTCGCAGCCTGTGCTCAATCCACTGAGCTATGGCAGCCAGGGCTAAAAGGAAAGTTTTTTTTTTAAAAAAAAAAAACGACCCCAACTACTATACACAGAGTAACATTACTATTTCATGCTCATTATGTACGTGACATTGATATTTGATCATCATTGCACGGACATGCAATTTGAAATTTTCATTAGGTAATGAGACCTTTTACATTAGGTACATTGGCCATTTTATGAGGTATATTAGGAAAAAACTAATGTAAAATTTAAAGAGGGGTTGAATGTCTTACTTTTTCCCCCTGCCATAAGTGATTCGTTCTCAAAGAATCCTCTAAAATGAAGGAAGAAAATGAAAGAAACTAACAAGAGACTCGCTCGGGTCGTTATTTTTAATGACACATTTCACCTTCCAAGAGTATCTACTGACCCGCCACTGAGAAGGAAGAGGAAATAAGCGCGTTTCCATCCCCTCCCAGCTCTCCTCCCCCGCCTGCCCCCTTTTCATTACGCTGTTCAGACCGTGTGGAGATTTCCCACATTTCGGGTCTGCTCGAAAGCGCAGTGGCTGGCTGGCTGTGGTGCGTCCTGCGTCTGCCCGAATCACCCCTCTCCCACCCTTCCCTCCCAGTGGGCGCAGCCCCGGCCCTCCGGGCCCGTGGGGGTGCAGTCCAGCGCTAGACCTTTTCCAAGGCGGCCTGACAGAGCGACTTCCCCCTCCGCATCCGCATCCGTTCCGCTGGGAGAACCACTGAGACGAAGGAGCGGGCTTGGGGGGGTGCTCTCTCTCCCATCGAAGTGTGTGAGCCCTCGGTCCCCTGGCACGGCACGCCGCGGGAACACGGGGCCAGAGAGGGAATGCTTGTTACCCGGCTGCCTCTTCTGCTCAGAGGCCCGTGGGCTCTTTCTCCTACTTTTTTTTTAATCTCTCACCCAAGGATATAGTTATTGATTTTAGAGAGAAGAGAGGGGACGTGGGTGGGCGGTAAGAAGCAGGGAGGGAGGGGGAGAGAAAGAGAGAGAGAGAGAGAGAGAGAGAGAGAGAGAGAGATGAGAGAGACACATGGGTCAGTTGCCTCCTGTTTGCGCCCTGATGGGGAATCGAACCCACAACAGCCATGTCAGTAGCACATATTTAAAAACGCCAAGGAACACCATGCAGTCAGAACGATAAAGAGTCAGACGGAACGCTCACAGGCTGCCCCAAAGCCTGGGGAGCACAAACAGCCGGCGCGAGTTCGCGGACCGCAGAAGGCCCCCGCCTGGGAGCAGTGCTCCCGCCTTAGACCTTGGGAAGCAGCGGGAGAACGGAAAGCTCCCCTGAGCCTACAGGTTCGACCCAGGAAATCAGGGCAAAGGCCAGCAGCACTGACGGAGCAAAGCCCGCATGTGCCGAGAGCGGAGCAAGTGCTGGGGAGAGGGGATGCCTGCAGCCACCGGCCAGAGGCCCGGCTCCGTGGAAAACGGGAACTTTTGGCGTGGCTCTTCGGCCCGGCTGGGGCCAGGGCGAGTGGCCCATTTCAGTGTGAAATAGGGGACAGCCGCCCCCACGTGAGCCGTCCTGCGGCAGAGGGACTTGTCTGGCCGAAAGCTGCAGGGAGGGTGGCCAATCTGCTGTCCGAGTCTCTGCCGAAACAGAGCAACTCCGGCCCTGGCTGGTGGGGCTCAGCGGACTGAGCACCGGCCTGTGAATCAAAGGGTCACGGGTTTGATTCCCAGTCAGGGCACACGCCTGGGGTACGGGACAGGTTTCCAGTAGGGGGCGCACAAGAGGCAACCATACATTGATGTTTATCAATCACTGATAAACTGATGTTTATGTCCCTCTTTCTCCTTCCCTTCCCCTCTCTCTTAAACGACAGGACATTTTAACTAACAGGGAAACTACTGAATCCAGGGGGTCCCCAAACTGCTGGCACCCTGTGTGCCTGATGAATCTAAAGGTGGCTTTTGGTGTCCAAAACTGACGTGGGCTCGGCCCCCCTGCATGCGTGCACACCTGCTACTCTGCCCAGGTGCAGGCTTCCCAGAGAGGGGGCTGGGCTGGGACGGGGAGGGCTCCCGACTGTGCCTGGCCGGCCCTCTTGGGGTGTGCCCAGCTTGCTCGTGCCCCCAGGAACGGTTGCCTAGGGAACTGACGGGCCTCAGGCCCACCCGGCTCAGGTGGGTCACCTCCTTCATCTGTGCTTACTGCCCCCAGCAACACCGCACCCCCTGAAGGATTCTCCCGTCCTGGGTGAGCAGGCCTGTGCCTGTGTAAGGACCACTACTGCGACACCATGTGTCACCCCCTGCCCCCTGGGCTTTGCAAAGACTCTGGGGAAGAAGAGCATTTGCCCGCTCAGAGCTCGGAGGGACCCACCGGCAATCTCACGGCTTAAGGACACTGGGGGCCAGATGGGACCACCACGGGACGCTCAGGAAGCGGCTGCCCGCTAACGCGCAATCACGCTGCAGGTCGCCGGGAGTCAGAGCTGAGACACGAGACACCACTTTAGGGAACGGAGACTGCACCGCACACCGGTCTCAGCCCTCGTCCTGCGGAGGGAAGACTGGGCGGCCGGAACAACGGCGGTGGGGGGGGGGGGCGAGGACGCAGGGAGCGCACGGCTGGGAAGGAGCGGCCCTTACCTCGGACCAGTCTCCCACGGTCACGTGCGGCGGGCAGTCTGTCCTGGCGCAGGACTTGCGGGACGATGCCTTGGGCCCCTGGCACAACGCGTCTGGGAGGTTCAGAAAGCTGCCGTCCGTCAACAGCTGCCGGCAGGTGACCCTCCGGTTCTGGGTGCCCCCGCCGCACGTCCGGGAGCACTGAGGACACGGGAGCAGGGGGGTCAAGGCCGGGCTCTGGCCCTGGTGGGCCTGGGGGGCGGGGGCGTCCGCGGGCGGCCGTACCTGCTGCCACTCTTCAATGTGCCAGCCGGGCGGGCAGTCGAACTGGTTGCAGGCCTGCAAGGCGTGGGGCTTCTCGTCGCCGCAGCCCTCCGCAGGGGCGGGGGGCTCCCCGGGGTGCAGGCAGTGCACGTCCCGGGTCTGGATCCCAACACCGCAGGTGGCCGAGCAGGGTCCCCAAGCGCCCGTGTGCCACCTGCACCGAAGAACAAGGGGGGACGTGGGGCGGGCTGACGAGACCACGGTCAGCAGCCTACACACGGGCACCCCCAGGCTCTCGGGGGCCCCCCCTAGCAGAATCCCCCGCTTGCAGAACCCGCAGCCTCAGCGTCTCCGGCATCGTTTGCCGTTCAAACGCAGAGAGATTGGGCCGAGGGGCAGGAGGCGTCAGGGGCGTGATTCCAGACGCTGCCGCCCACTGGGGGAGGTCCGGAGCGCAGGGAGGTCGGTTCCTCCGCCTGCTCACCTGCCACCACACACACACACACACTCTCTCTCTCTCTCTCTCTCTCACACACACACACACACACACAGTGATTCCCTTCCAGGAAGGTCTTGGAAAAATCAGGTTTTTTCATGAAACATCTGTAAAAATGAAAAGCCAGGGCACCTGCTTTTGGTCCATATTTCCAAATTGCCTGCAAGGCAGACAATCCCCGTTCACACTGCCGCCAGAAGGGGGCGTGCCTGCCTGCGTCCACCCACGCCCGCACCAGGGGAAACCACTGGAAAGACGGTCTCTGCCCGCCCGCTGGGTGAAAAGTTGTTCACTGTGGTTACTTTAACTTCTGGATGTTTCATTACTAGTGAACATGAATTTTTAACTCGTACTGTAGAGATACCACAAGGACACAGTCATAAAATGCTTAAAATGTACCTTAACCTGGCTGGTGTGGCTCAGTGGATTGAGCACGGGCTGTGAACCAAAGGGTCGCTGGTTCGATTCCCAGTCAGGGCACATGCCTGGGTGGTGGGCCAGGTCCCCACTAGGGGGCGTGTGAGAGGCAACTACACATTAACCTTTCTCTTCCTCTTTCTCCCTCCCTTCCCCTCTCTCTAACAATAAATAAATAAAATCTTTAAAAAATGTACCTTAAAAATATTTGTTCCAGCATCATTTGTATTAGCACTAAGTAAATAAATATTAAATTTTACAAAATGGGAGGGAGACGATCTTAATAAACATTGCCTGTTGATACAGCACAATGCTAGCAGCCATTAAAATAATAAAGCAGATGTATAGTTACTGACATGCAAGACATTCATAATATACTTCTATTAGGAAAAAGGCAGGCCGTATCACGTTGAGTACAATCCTACTGTTTTGTGCATTTATAAATGCACGTAGAAAAAAGTCTGGATAATTATACACCTAAACGTTAACCGTGATGGTCTCTAATTTATAGGATTCTTATTTTCTCCCTTCTTGCCTGTGATTTTTCATATAATTAGCACTCCTTATCAGGAAAAAAAATAACTTAGTTTTCTGTAAAAGACAATCGTATTAAAAACGGTGTTCAGTTTTTCTCATTTCTAATTTCCTACAATAAATGTTTTATTGTTTAAACTGGAGGGAAAATTCCAGGCAGATATAGTAGGACAGAAACTAAAGTTGTAACACACGAAGGCAGAAGCCCTCAGTGAGGACACAATAATCACGCAAGTGCAGAGACAACAAGAAGCAAAACTATGTACGAAGTGGGGGCTGAGGGCTATAAGAAAAATAAGAGGATGTAAAACAAAAAAAAATGTAAGCTGTAAAATACTTCTGTAAGGCCCTGGAATACCGAGGATGCAAACTCTAATTAAAACACAGAGAATGTAACAATGTGTTTGAAAACCTAGACAACATAGGTGAGTTTGTAGGAAACCAGGAAAAGCCCTTGTCAGGAAAGGGACTGGATGCCCGAGCTCCTGTGAATTTTCAAGGAGCAGGTGGAGCAGGTGGACTCCCAGGCCATTTAAAAGGTCCCCAAGTCCCCTGGCAACACGGCACAGCGCTGGGCCCAGCAGGGAGCGGCACCAGGGGCTGGGAAGGAAACATTTTAACCAACAACTGGGTCACCATGTCTTCCTACTAACAATGAACGACTGAAGACAGAACTTTTTTGTTTTTTAATTCCAGAACTGGGTGGCGAATTGGTACGGAAAACACACCCAGCTCCCCTCTCGCTTTGCCACTTCCCTCCCTAGCGGCAGAAGGCCCCCCCCAGACTAGTGGGCCCATTAAGTAAGCCCCCAGGTTTCTGCAGCTGCTGCCTGCCCCGCCGCCCCGGAGGAGGCCCACCCCACACATCGCAGCAGACTCCCAGCAGTTCAGAGGTCAGACCCGGGGCGCAGCCCCCACGGAGCCAGTGACCTCCCGACACCCCGGCTCAGGGAGGCCGGGCTCCCACATCAACCCGTCTGCCTCTGGGCAGACACGGATGCCCCACCGAGTGTCCGACTGGCCTCGAAGTCTGTCTCCCCCTGGGGGGTCTCTCACCGCTCTTGCCCTCGGAGCCCGTAAATATTTGCACGGAAAATATTTTGCAATCCCCGGTTCCTGTTACTCCTACACTGCTGCTTTTTAGAGCCTGAACCATTTCTTGTCAACTTTCCTTTATTTTTGCAGCAACCCTTTGTCTCTGCTGGGGGTGATGTTTGGCCCCCCCCGCAACACAACTCTCAAACCTTCAAAAATGTTGATTAAAGCTGCGACTTTGAAATGAGGAACAGTATTTCTCTTCACAGAAAAACAGACTGGATTTTGCTAAGTGGCCAAGACTTATGGGGGGCTGGGCTCCGTTGTGTGGAGTCTGGGGGCTCTGAGGGGAAGACGCTGATGGGAAGGTAAGGAGCGAGAGTCGGCTCCTGCCCAGGCTGGGGCTGGGGGCGGGGCGGGGGGGGCCAGGGGCAGGGCAGGGCATCCCGCCCACGGCTGGCTGGTGCACCGGGGAACCAGCACACACCCGGCGGAGGCAGCAGCCTGCTGCCACGGTTTCCAGACCTGGGAAGTCTCCCCATCTGCTGAGCAGAGGCAGGACTGCAGCGGCTTGGACCAGACTCACCACCCCCCCCCCCCGGCCCCGCCTTGACCCCCCGGGCAGGCCAGGCCCAGGCTGCTGGCGGAAGAACCCAGGCCAGCCCGGGCACGCAGAGCTGCTCAGGAGGAGACACAAGAGGCCAAGAGCACGGAGACCGGGCGTGGTTCTGGAGACGCAAACAGAAGACGCCAGCGGGGAGCACTCCTCCACCAGGAAAGATGGGCGCCGAGGGGGGCCTGGGGGACCCCGAAGTCTCCCACCTTCCGTCATGATTCAGACTAGGCCCAGAGAGAGCTGAGGGCGTGCCTGAAATGCCTGGACACAGGGGAACCTGGCCGGGGTCCCACCCCAGGTCCCCGAGGGACTTCCACGTCTCCGGGGACGGGGAGGGGACTTCCCCTGCTTCGAGTGCCTGGGGTGAAGACCCCATTTCCCATCCTGTTGGGTTTCTTTACTCGGCGAGAGGGAAGCCAATGGTTACTTTTACGGGAGAGAATTAGCATATTCCACGGTCAGAGAAGGGCTCCCGGCTGCGGCTGCGCCACGCCCGCGAGGCAGGACGGAGCGTGAGCACCGGGCACGGCGAAAATGACCGTGGCCACGGAGCACGCTCCTTCTGCTGAGTGACCACGTGGGTGGTAAGAGAGGCAGTGCCAGGAGGTGTGGTTCAAGAACCTAAAACTGGGGCCACAGAAGACTTTCACGCTGTTTGGGGCTGAAGGGCCCGCCCCCAAGGACGTTGAAGACCTAACCCCAGCACCTGCAGGCGAGACCTTCTTTGGAAAGGGGGTCTTTGCAGGTGATCAAGCTAGGATGCCTCAGCAGGGTGGGCTCTAACCCAGCACCAGTGGCAACCTCAGGGGGTCAAAGAGGGAATTCAGGCGCTGAGACAGACAGCAGGACGACCACGGGAAAACGCCACCCCCAGGCCGAGGAATGCCAGAGGCTGCAGAAGTGAGGTGCTGCCTCGCAGCCCCCGGAAGGCGCTGGCCCTGTGGACGGCGCCTTGGTTTCTGCCCTTCTAGTGTCCAGAACTCGGAGACAATGTTTCTGTTCAATCACACGCCACTTGGCTTGTGATCCTTTGTTGCAGCAGCCCCGGGAAACCAGTGCTATGCCAAAGTCGCGAGTGTGGATTTTAATCCACGACGGAAGGGTTTCGTGTGAGAGGTTCACACGGTCACTCTGCACACGTATCCACAGGCATCTGAGAGGCCCACAGTTCAGGCCACATGGGTGTGAATGAAGGCAGTGGCCACTAAGAATGTGCAGGAGAGATTTATAAAATATTGGGCGGTGCCCTGGCTGGTGTGGCTCAGTGGACTGAGCGCTGGCTTTTGAACCAAACGTCGCAGGTTTGATTCCCAGTCAGGGCACATGCCTGGGTTGCAGGCCAGGTCCCCAGTAGGGGCCGTGCAAGAGGCAACCACACATTGATGTTTCTCTCCCTCTCTTTTTCCCTCCCTTCCCCTCTCTGTAAAAATAAATAAATAAAATCTTAAAATATATATATTGGGTCGTACGCTGTCAAGAATGTTGTGTCCGTGTTACCGGAGGAGAACTGAAACCAGAAAAAGCCTCTTCATGGGACGCCAGTCTGGTCGCAGAAGACTGACTGAGACCATCAAGGCAAAGGGGGCAAGAGGAAGGGAAGCTCGGGGCTGGGTTCTGGGGGGTCTTGAGTGAGAAGCCTTGAGCTGCGGCCCCCGTAGCCAGCAACACCCCGGGACAGAGAAACTGGGGGGAACTTTCTGATGAAACTCCCTCCTGACGAAATTCCCCAGGATCTTCGGATGCAAGCAGGGAAGCCGACGAACCTTTAAGGTCAACCTCTCCTACCAAGGAGACCCAAAGAAGCCCTCCGCACCTAGTCCTCGAGGTCCGCACCTCGCTGCACCCCGCCCTCTGCGACCCAGCGCGCTAACCCACGGCGCCAGCTCTCGGGACAGACGGGAGATCCCTCGGCCCCCGAACGCACATGGCCCGGCCCCCTTGGGTGCCGGTGCTCACGCTGCTCAACCCTGCGCTCTGCCGTGTGGCCTTCGGCCGAGAAGCGCCCTCGGCCAGACAGGCGGGGAAAGAGAACAAGCCCGTTGGCCTCTCGGTTCTGCCAGCAGCAGGCCATGCGTGTTCATGCGTGTTTAGTGCAGGCGGAAGCGAGGCCTCCTGCTAACAGCTGGGCAGCACCTGCGCGGCAGAGCAAGAACCACGGCAGCAGCCGAACGTGAGCAGGGAGGGTGCAGCCCAGTGAGGCCGGGCCGAGCGGCCCTGTGAACCCAGTCCCCGTGCACAGGTGCGCTGCCTCCCGGGCACGGGGCGCCCCGGGGGCACGAGACCGCACCTACCTGGGTGGGCAGGGCTCCGTGTTGCAAGCCTGGCTCATGGCCGGGGGCCGGTGGAGCGTGTCGCACAGGGTGTCGTTGACGGTCTGCTGGGTCTGGATGTGCAAGCACACGGCGATGGCTTCCTGACGGCCTGCGGGTCGGAAAGAGGGAAAAATGCAGATAACTTTGACGGAAAAAAAAAGAAAGAAAGAAAGAAAGAAAGAAGGAAGGAAGGAAGGAAGGAAGGAAGGAAGGAAGGAAGAGAGAGAGAAGGAAAGGAAGAAAGAAAGAAAGAAAGAAAGAAAGAAAGAAAGAAAGAAAGAAAGAAAGAAAGAAAGAAAGAAAGAAAGAAAGAAAGAAAGAAAAAGAAAGAAAACCGAGTGTCAGGATGTCTGGCTCTTCAGCCACAGCCCTTTGGACACTATCGCGTGGGTGAAGACTGCATTTCAGGGGACACGTGGGAGCAAATCATGCATTCTCTGAGGTCCCCCATCTTTGACATTCTCTCGGTCACTTCAAACTCAGCCCCTCGACTTCCTCTCCCCAAGGACACTCCCCTTGAAACATTAAGGAGCATCCCTGACTCCCTATCCGACCTTCCAACTTGTCGACATGCCACGTGGACTCAAAGCCAGCGGGTCCCTCAAAGATGATCCTTGAAAAAATACTCCCGAGTTTCCCTAAGAGGACCTTTCAAGTCAGCTGCTAAATGGCACCATTCTCTCTGCGTCGTTGCACAGGCGCTCCATTTGACCTATAACCTCTGTGAAAATTTCCACCGCGGTCTGAGCTCCGGGGCACAGTAATTCTCCGTAGGTCTGTGCTCGGCCTCCCAGTGGGGAAGTGCCCAGGAGTGTGCAAGGTGCTTTTAGGTGTATTACTGGAGTTTGATGTAATCTCATGAGGCCAAAAGAATAGTGTCAGTGTCGCCACGTTGTTTATTCAATATTAAGGAAACTGACATTGAGAAAAGCAAAGAAAAAAAAAGTGGTAGATTAGAAACTAAAACTTAGATCTCCTGCCTCCCCATCCAGCAGCCTTTCTTTCGGTTTCCAAGGACCGCAGAACACAGGGCCCCCAGCCGGCTCCCCAAAGCACTGAGCTCGCCCTGTTCGCCTGTAAACTGTCACCGAGGTTCCCGTGTCCTGCGAGGCCACACTGGTCTGCCTGACCCCGAAGACCCTGTCTCCACCTCTGTTCTCTGTCCGTGGCCATATGAGCGATTCTTGGGAAATCAGAGCTGAGCAAAACACAAATCTAACTTCTGATGAAGAAAATCAGGTAAAAATTGTAACAGCAACTGACCACGCTACCAAATGCCATGTTTCGATCCAACCATTTTACAGTGTTTTATAGGATGCAGGATGGGCCAAAGTATATAGGAAATACATATTTGTGATGTTTCATTCTTTCGACTAAATTTTCTCCTGCTTTCTTCCTGTGTAATCTTAGGTTCCTGACCATGGCAGGATACCATTTCATATCTCTAGGCATCTTTCATAAACCTGTTTTTTTACCTGAGAATATATTTATTGATTTTAGAGAGAAAGGAAGGGGGAGAGACAGATAAATGCATCAGTGTGAGAGGGAAATATTGATCGGTTGCCTCCCGTACTCGCTGCATCCAGGGGTTGAACCCGCGGCACTTGGGTATGCGGGCCGATGCTCCCACCAAGCTAGCTGGCCGGGGCAAGCTTCATTTATTTTTAGTCTCAGAAAAAGAAAGCAATCGTGCACATCTATTTTATTTCATAATCAAAATTCTTTAGAAAACAGAGACTATTTTGGAGTGTTTTCTGGAGACCAAGCGGGTGGGCCTCAAAGCACCACAGTCACCCCGTTTTAACCGTTTGGGGTGGCATGTTAGAACACTCACGACAAACTTCTCCCTCTTAAAGGAAGTCACTCCGAAGAGAGGACACATTTAGCAGATGACTTAGAGGACTTGTTGACGCAGGGGGGTTCTCCAAGGACGGCCGCCAGAGGACCTCCCATCCCCAAACGCTGGACCTACGCTGGGATTTTAACACGTGGCACTTCAGGAGGTTCCATAAAAACCTTTGTCTTCAAAAGCAGAAGCAAAAAGGATAACAATCGGCTTCCTTCATGTTGCGCTTAACAAAAGGTGGGCAGTAAAGCCAGGAAGCATCAGAAGACGTAACGTAAGTCGGGCGTGGGAATTTCAGCGACACCCTTTTCACGAGTCCCTTTCGGCAGAGGAGGCAGCGACACTCCTCACACATGGCCTCTGACTCCCACAGTGTCACAATCGGACATTACCATATTTTTGGCAAAAAAAAAATTCAGAGACTTCATCGAGAAATTGATGATGACAGGGTGAAAACACAGACGCTAAGAGGGTAAGCAGAGCCCACCCATGAGCAAACAGGCTCCCTCTGGTCTGTGAGTGAGCGTGGAAAGTCGTGCAAACCCGTCCTGGACGATCAGCGCCCCGACAACAGAACGCACGTGCAGCGGGAGGTGCCCAGAGCTCTGAGCAAAGCCCACTGCTGGGAGCTGTAAAATGCCACCCAGTAGTATTTCATGCATCAGGCGGTGACATAAACACGGAAAAGTAATATGAAGAAAAGAGTTACGTTGATTTGATCGCCAACTAGCCTTGGCCCCTAGAAATAGATGTACCCCGCCCTCTTTCAGCACTTAATAGAACAATTGTAAAAATCAATCCTACACGAGTCTATAAAGAAACTGCAATCTTTTCCGAGAGCCAGAAATTGCAACATTCTCAGACCATACCAGCGTGCAACTATAAATGAATAACAAACTATGAAACCCTCCAAATCCTGCCATTAGAATTTCTAGAAAGTCAGTCCCTGTAAGACTCTTAGGTCCAACAGAGTCAACAGAGGACACATTGGTTGTGGCAAGAAAAAAAAAAGAGGGAAGAAGCATAAAGCAACTTGAGACCGGATGAACAACTCTTGATAATAATCGCAATATCTTCGTGAAATGGATGACTCTTTTCTCAAGAAAGTCTAAGCTAGAGAATTGACTGAACAACTAAGAACTGGAATCCACTGCAACAATAAGCGGTGGGGGGGTGTGGATTTCAAAATGAGGTCAGCAGGGGGCCGTGGTCCTTCCCCTCAGTGCTGCCCCCAAGAGGGGGAAAGAAGAACTGGACTTAGACAGGTGTAGGAGCCAGCTCTTGGCACGCTTTTAAACAGACACTTCCCATGATATGCACGATTTAAGGCGATTGAAAAGCATGGAGGAACTCCAACTTCATCTTACCCACTACTATAAATCTGTTAAAGAATACACCCACTTCACGTGGGGGTGCCTCATGCGATGCTGCGTTAACATGTCGTGATGCAGTTTCAGAAACAGACAAGACACACACAGACAAAGCACACACACACATAAGCATGTACAGACGGTACAGGTGCGTGCCCAGGGCCACAGTGGACAGCAGAGCTAGCACAAATTCTTCTCTCTGCTGACGGGCCAGCGTGCTAGGGTGCGAACTCCCGGATAATGAAAAAGAAGGAAGCCCAGCCGCTACGCTACGGACCCAGGGACGCGCTCGAGAACAGTGCCCGTCTTGACGTCTAAACGCACGCTTCAGAGCACTCCGGATAGGTGAGACCCTTTTGGAAACCGGTGGAGGAGACAGCTGGTGAAGATTAAAGATCATTGAAAGCCGTCCGGCCCTGAGTGTGGCGCCATAAACATCCGCGGAGCCTGACAGGAAGGGACCGGTTATGTCCAGAGTGGCTGGAAGGCACCACAGCTAGAGGCCAGTCACGATGGGGAGGGATTCGAGGTGAACAGAACAGCCACTGCTAATGTACCGTGTCGGGAACACCCCCCCCACCGCGCCCCAGGGAGTGGGCCACGAGGAGCCCAGAGCGGGCCGATTCGGTTTCCCTCCTCCCTCTGTTCCCCATTTGCAGGAAGGCTGGCTGGTGCTCCACCCGCTGATGCACTGATGGAGGACACCTGCGTTCATCCATGTCATCTGGGTACACACACGCACATGCACATACACATGCACACATAAAGACATACATGTGCAAACCCTGGAATTAGATACCAGTGCATTGTAGGCAGCAGGATAATACCACATCTGTCCATTCGCCCAGCAAACCATTCACCCACAAACACTCACACACACGTAACTAGGAACAGCCGGACAGAAGCCCCTAACCCTAACCCCGTTTGAGGAGCTGCCCCTCTAACTCTGCAAGGTTATCTAAGCACAGCGGTGCCTTCCAGCTCATCCCCACCCACCCTCTCAGGGTAATTTGTCGGTTCCTTTGCCTTTCACTGTCTTTTTGTTTTTAATTTTGGTTTTTCAATTATAGTTGACACGCGGTATTGTTGTCTATTGGTGTCAGGTGTCCAGCAGAGTGGTTAGACCCTGTACAAAGTGACCCCCAGATATTCCCAGTCCCCCCCGCCCGGCACCATACACAGCGTTACAGCATGGCTGGTTATATTCCCCGAGCTGTACTTTATGTCCCCGAGATCATTCAACCCGCTCTCTCTAAGGGGTGACAAGTACGTTGTCCATCTTCTGTTTTGGACTGTGTGATGGCCTCTGAGCCTCAGCTTCCCCCCCACCCCCACTGTAAAATTTGGGTGAATAGGTACCCAAAGCTCATTTTTTTAAAAAAAGATTTTATTCCTTTACTTTAGACAGAGGGGAGAAAGGAGGGAGAAAGGGAAGGAGAGAAACATCGACTGGTTGCCTCTCACAGGCCCCCAACTGGGCACCTGGCCTGCAACCCAGGCCTGTGCCCTGACTGGGAATCGAACTGGCGACCTTTCAGTTCGCAGGCAGGCACTCAGTCCACTGAGGAGCACCATCCAGGGCTCATTTTCAGTGATACTATCCTAGGACCAGACAAAGGTCATTCGACTACCCCTAGGGGTATACCCAGGAGAAACGAAAACATACATCCATACAAAAACGTGGACACGAGTGCTCTCGGCTGCATTACTCCTAACACCAAAGACATGCGAACAGCCCGAACTTCTGACGTCTGAGTGGTAAACAGAATGCAGTCTCCCCGCACCACAGAAGAGTATTCAGTCATCAGAACCAAGGGCCGAGTCGCGTTGCATCACGGGTCCACCTTGAATCCACTGCAATCACAGGAAAGCAGCCAGCCGTCCAGAACCATGTGTGGTGATTCTGTTTACGGAAAACGTCCAGGACGGACTGCGAGTGGATTAGTGGTCGCCGGAGGCTGACTCGGGCCGGGAGAACCGGGAGTGACCGTTTACCGGTACAGGGTTCTTTCAGGGCAAAGTGTCCTAAAATTGACTGTGATGGAGTGTGAAATATTTATTCATAACGCTGTTTATGGGGGCGGGAGTCATCCCAGAGGGGTGAGCCGTCCTGGGTGGGGCCAGCTCTGTGGGCACCAGAGCGTCATCTGCCATCATTCCGGCTGCATCGGGCTCCAGAGACCAGAGCTCAAGACCTGCCCCACGGAGTGGGAACTCGCCGGTCACTCTCCTCCGGCAACCCCGAGGTGGGCGCTGACGTCCCAGGACCCGGCGTGCCCGCCGGGAGGACTGAAATCGGGAGGACAGTAGATGCAACAGGGATTCCATCAACAGCAGCCTTTCCAAGCGGCCGTGAACCTGCATGCTTCCCGAGGCTGAGGTCTGACCGAGGGCGGCCTACGGCACCAGACCGACCGCCTCCGCCCATCAGCTCTGCACCCCACCCTCTGTACCCCCAATACCAGTGACTCCATTCCCTGCCTCCATTATGCAGCTGTTCAGGCCAAAGAATATACCTTTTTATGGGGTCAGGATACAGTCCCACTATCCTATCTCTTTCTACAATAATCACAATAAAAAATAAACAAACAGAAGGAAAGGCACTGTTTCCTGTTATTCCAATGATTTAGCCTCCTGTACATGTCTGCTCATTTGCATATTCGCTCACCCCGCGCAGTCAGTTCTCAGACCACAGCCCCCCCCCGCCCGCCTGCCCCCCGAAGCAAAGGGTCCCGTACCTCCCAGACACGTCGCGGTGCAAGGCGTAAACCCCGCGTACTCCCAGTGGTACGTCGTCTCGCCGTCCGTCTCGGGGAGGGAGGCGTCCGGCGCGAGGGCGGGGGGGCCGTCCTCGCAGGCCTGGAGGAGGCACGGCCGCTGGGCGGGCGGCCGCGGGCCCTCGCACTCCTCCTCGGGCAGCTCCGTCTCCGCCTGCGTGAACGTGAGCAGCACGCGGCACTTGACCTCTCGCACCTGAACGCCCGGCCCGCAGGTGGCGCTGCAGGCTGACCAGGGCTCGGCGATGAACCTGCGGAGAACCAGGGAGGCAGGTGGTCGTGACGTCCGGGCCACTGAAGGAAGCGCGAAAAGCATCTCCCCTTTGCTAACATGCAGGGATTTTATTCAACTGTCTCAAATGCACGTTCAGAAACCACACTGGAGGCTGAGCAATGCTTTCTGCAGGGCAGATGAGGCTTCAGATTCTCTCCCACGTGACACAGAAACATACACTAAGCATCTGCAGGGAACAACAGTGTCGTCCAGACGCAGTCCAATCCACGCGGAATGCGATGCATTTGTGGACGCGCAACGATGGACGTCAAGAAATTTTCAAATCTTATTAGCAACAGAGAGAATGTCTCACCGCAGAGAAACGACAGTTTTGCATCCGTTCTATAATTCAATCCGGTGCCCTGGTATTTGCATAACACCGTTAAGATGTGGTAATACAACCCTGGCTGGTGTGGCTCAGGGGATTGAGCACTGGACTTTGACCCAAAGTGTCACCAGTTCGATTCCCAGTCAGGGCACATGCCTGGGCTGTGGGGCAGGTCCCCAGTAGGGGGGGCAAGAAAGGCAACCACACATTGATGTTTCCTTCCCTCTCCTTTTCCTTCCCTTCCCCTCTGTCTAAAAATAAATACATAAAAATCTTTAAAAGAAAAAAGTTATGAAATGCTTCACTTCTCAATGCAAACAATTTTAAAAAATAAAGAGGTGGTAATAAACAGTTCTGTAGTGATAACTTCTAATCTGATTTCTTTTATAACATGAGGATTTTCACCAATATTTAGTCGTCAAATCTTTATCGAGTGTCCCCTTTGCTAACATTCAGGGATTTGATATTCAACTGTCTCAAATACATACTTAGAAACCACACCGTAGGCTGAGCAATGCTTTCTGCAGAGCAGATGAGGCTTTAGATTCTCTTCCATGTAGCATATAAACATACACTAAGCATCTGAAGCTCTTAGAAAACACGAAAGGCACAACATAATCCAGCTGGATGAAGCGTTCACGTATGTCTCATCCTGAATTATTATTACCCACTAACCCGAGGTCACCAACCTACAGCCGAAAGCCCAAACCCAGCCCACCTGCATCTGGGCAGCCTGCCAGCTAAGAAGACATTTTACAGTTTCAAACGGTTGGGGGACGAGAGGGTAATATTTTGTATCAGGTGAGGAGTACGTAAAATTCCAATTTCAGTGTCCATGATCAACGATGTATCGGAACAGAGCCTAGGGTGCTTAGGGCCGATGAGTCTTTTCGGTGACTGGCCGGTGAAGCCCGGATACTCACCGTCTGGCCCTTTACAGAGGACACCCACGGACTCCCGCCCTGAGCTTTAAGAAGAAACAGATTCAGCCCTGGCTGGCATAGCTCAGTGGATTGAGCTGGGGCTGTGAACCAAAGCATCGTAGGTTCGATTCCCAGTCAGGTCACATGCCTGGGTTGCAGGCCATGGCCCCCAGCAACCGCACATTGATGTTTCTCTCTCTCTCTCTCTCTCTCCCTCTCCCTCCCTTCCCTCTCTAAAAATAAATAAATAAAATCTTATATTAAGAAAAAGAAGAAACAGATTCAGTCGGGACGCACACACGTTACAGGTTCTGAAGCCACGCTTCCATCGTAGGGCGTTAACAGGTGACAGGTAAAGAAAGGGGAGTTCAGTGACAAGAGTCAGTTTGGGAGACTTTGGGCCCAATAATGTTCAAAAGGTTTATTCACTACAAAACCTCCCCAAAGCGTATGCTATACGAAAGCATGCTATGAGTTCTCAGCGGGGAGCTACGGGGTACATCCTTGAAATACAGGTGAATGCGGCCCTCGAGTCCAGGGGTGACGTGGCATAAGTAATTCCAGAAAATGCGGCTGGGATGCCGGCTTAGACGCAACAAGGCCTGACGTTTAAAGTCCTCAGTGGGTGGGCCTTCCGTGGTGGCTCGGCTGGTTGGAGCGTGGTCTCGTCCACCGAAAGGTCGCAGGTTTGATCCCCGGTCCAGGCACGCGTGGGAGGCAACTGATCGATGTTTCTCTCTCCCATCGATGTCCATCTCCCTTCCCCCCAATCGAGAAACATCTTCCGGTGAGGATTTAAAAAAAAATCTCACAAGGTGGGGCTGTCAGGGTCTCCCGGAGGCGCCAACCTCCCTGCCCCAGGCAGAGCTTCGCCGCCGCCGTCCGTGGCGGCGCGTCCCAGCCAGCAAACACGGAACGCCCCCGCCACACGTCAGCCCCACGAAGAAACGCCCGTCGTCCTGGCTCCCAGCCCCAGGGTTCAGGGCCCGAAGGCAGGGGCCCTCAGGAAGTGCGTTGGGAGTAAAGGAAGCTTTGGTCAATGCTCTCACTTCAAAAACAGAGACGTCCGTGGAAATGCATCGTGGATGATGTGTAGAATTAAGAAAAAAACATAAATCTGAGATGCGTCATCAGAGGTTTGCCTCTAAGACCTGCTTACTTCCTGGCCGCGGTCACCCCCTCTCCTCCACACTCAGTGCCTCGGCACCCCGGTACGGCCTCGGGGACCAGCCGCCCCGCATGCAGCCCCCAGCCCCCAACACGCGGTGCTTCCGACCCGGGGTGCGCTTCAGAAGCGCAGGTCGAGGCCCCTCCCTCCCGGGAAGCCGTCCCTGCCCTGTGCAGCTCACACCACCACCAGGCAGTCGCTGCCTCCTCTGTCTCCCCATCACACGAACCCCAGGGTGGGCGGCGAGACCCGAGTGGGGTCACCTGACCTCCACGTGGGGCTCCCCCTGGTGCCCCCCACCACAAAGTGGCCGGCTGCCACTACTATGCAGCTCAGCAATGTGGGACCACGTCTTCACCTCTGTGAGACCCCGGGTCTCCTCCTCCCTAGAGGGAGGACACTGACGACGCCCCCCGTGGGGTCCCTGTCAGAACGAGACCCCCACGGAACACCCAGCACGAGGCCTGGCGCCCACGAAGTCCTCCCTGTGTCCGTTCGTGAGACAGACGCCCGCGATGCAGCCGCAGTGGATGCCAGCGAGTGCGATTTCCACGAACGGAGACGCGAACAGGGCAGAGAGGGAAACACGGGGAGCATCCACCCTCCACCTGCCCCACGTCCTCGGTGTTCCCGCGTGGGAGGCAGGGGAGGGGGCCTCCTCTCCTGAACGCCCCCCTCCCCACACACACACACAAAACGACGAAGACTCCAGGGAAGAACTGTTCAACCGAAGAGGGGCCGGACCAACTGTCAACACATCCCGCAGCTGGAAAGCTAAGAAGGTCAGAACTGCCGTTTCCTTGGCTCAGCTTTAGAAGCTATCATTTTTATTTTCCTAATTTAAAAAAGCAGAGGGGGGGGAGTGCCTTTTGAACACGCACTCCCTATGTAAGCTCAGAGCCCGGGCCACGGGAAACCGCAGAAGCAGAAATATTTATCTTCCCCGGGCGGGCGGGTCTGGCAGGAACTACAGGTCTGTTCATCTTTCCCCGTGCTGTCAACGAGCAAGCATCCCCAGACCGCAAAAGACAGTGCTAATAAAAGGATGCCCTGGGAGCTGAGCTGGGCTGCGGTTTTGCTCGGAAATCGAGGGAGTGAGCCGTCGGAAGGGGAGGAGGGGAGCTATAAACTTCACACCAGGCAGCCAGGAACACGAGCTGGAGCGGCCAGCCAGCCGGGGGAGTCGGGGAGTCGGGAGTTGGCGACACAGGGAAAGCGTGAAGGTGGGGGCAGGGGGCGGGGCCAGGTGCTGTGGGCTCCGCCCACCTGCCGGCGGCGGGGGGGCAGGGGGAGGGAGTGGGGTCCCGAGGGAGCAGAGGACACACAGCTCCGCCCAGGGAATGTGAGAACCCACGGCAGCGACACGACATCGCCGTTTTCCAAGGCAACAGATCCAACAGTCTTTCAGACCCTGAAAGGGACCCTATTGGATCCAGTGGTCCCCAAACTTGGATGCACCCCCACCCCAAAGCCTCCTGGATGCTTTGCTAAAACCGCTGGTGACACCTGTGTAGAGACTGAAGGTAGCGTGGAGACGCCCAGGGGCTGGGAGAAGGGGACGCAGCTTTGCTTGGGAACACGAGACCCTGGTGGGAGGCATCGCTCTAGACTGTGAACCCGAGGACCCCCCCGTGGGAGACCCCCGCACACTCCCTCCCAGGCCCGCCCCCTTTCCCCCACGGGTTCCTTCTCCTGCAGAATCATGGGAGCCCGGGGCTGGCCCAGAGTTCGTGGAGCGGTGGGCCTAACACCCTCCTTGTACCGCTGGGCGGTCTGGAGACGTTAACCAACTCGTCCAAAATCCTTATTATCGTCTTTTTAATATGTTTCGGACTGTCCAAGCAGGAGCCCCCTCCCTGAGAAGGACGGCGACCCTGCACCTGAGGTCCCTCTCCTCCACCCCCGGGAGCCGCCGTCTCGGGACCCGGCACGCCGACCTCACATGTGTGACGTGGGGCCCAAGGTCCCACCGCACGAGTCCTTCGCCGGTGCCACCGTTCCCCCGACTCCCAGGAGTCTCGGGGCACCTCCGTTTTGTCGTTACTTATTTCTCACGGATTTTAGAGCGGGGGGGCGGGAGAAAGATGCACACGTGTTGTTCCACTTTTTTTATACATTCACACTGGTCGACCCCTGCACGTGTCCTGACTGGGGACGGAACCTGCCACCCTGGCGTCTGGCCACGACGCTCTAGCCAGCCCAGCGGCCCGGCCGGCCTCCCAGCGCCTCTGATGTCTTGCTCTCTTGGGGCCCCTCTGCCCCTGCCTCCAGGGGTGGCTCTCGGATCGGCTCTTCATTCTCAGTTTCCACTTATGACATCCCAATCCACATGTCCCCAATCCCATGTGGATGGAAGCCACCGGATTTCTGAGTGGGACTGGGCCCTGGAGAGACTAAACCCCACCTGAAGGGTGAGACACACAGCTACTCAAGACTGGTCTAAGGTCACGTCATTGGAAGTGGGGGGTTCTAGGCTGCACACTCAGGAGCCCCCTCTCTCGCTGGTGCCCCCCAGCAGTGCAGCTCAGGGTATCATCTGATAACGACTCGGGTCGCCCTGATGTATTCCAATGTAATTGTTTTTTTTTTAAGTATATAACCTTTCTTTTTAAGGTTTCATTTGTTTATTTTTAGAGAGAGGGGAAGGGAGGGAGAAAGAGAGGGAGAGAAACATCAATGTGTGGTTGCCACTCACATGCGCCCCCTACTGGGGACCTAGCCTACCACCCAGGCATGTGCCCTGACTGGGAATCGAACCAGTGACCCTTTGGTTCCCAGCTCGAGCTCAGTCCACTGAGCCACACCACCCAGGGCCCAACATAACTGTTTTTACAGAGACCGACCACGACCTAACCACACGTGTACCGCTGTGATGGTGCTCGGTGAGACCCTGCGTGCTCATCTAGACCCAGGAGTGATCCCCCGTCTCTCCGCCGTGACAGACCCCTGGGTCCGCCCGGAGCTAAACAAGGCGATTCTTTCGTGCGCGCCTCACAGGCCCTGCCAGAGCAGGGCTGCCGAACGGTGACTCAGAGAAGACTGCCCGCCCGCCCGCCCGCCCGCCTGCCCGGGCTCTCTGGAGTCTGCACGGCCGGTCACTCGGATTTGAAACGTTTCCCCGAACTGCAGGGGGGGGAGGGGAATCACACGGATCACGTGCTCACGGGCCGCGCCCGGGCCGCTCCCGTGAAAGGCCCTCGGACTCACGTTGGTTCTTCTGTTGCTATTCTCGTCTCTTCCAGCTCACGCGCCTGTTTCAGCCAAGGCAGTTTAGCCTCCACGGGGCTCTTTTCTAAGGGAAAAAACAAGGACATACACAACACGCTCAGTGACCGTGAATTATCCAGGGAGCTGGGCACGTGACCGCGGCTTGCTGGAGACGCCGCCCACGCAGCGGTCCCGCTTCCCCGAGGAGGACCGGCCGAGTCCTTTGCCTCAGGACACGAGGGGCCTTCGGGGCGGAGCCGAAAAGGGCCGTCGTTGATTTCTTCAACTGACACACAATCAACAGGGACCCGATGACCCCATGGCCCAGCTGCACATACTCCCCAAATCCAAACTCACGCCAGCGTGCTCTTGGCACATTAAATAAGGTCCCACTTCAACCGCATCGGCCGGCTTTCTTCCGCCCCGGCCCCTTTCTGCCCGTCGAGAGAAGGATGGAACGGAGAAACACAAATAACAGGAAGGCTGGGAGGCGGAGCATCTGTGCCGTGGTTTACCCGAACTTTCACGGCTGCTGCCGGCGCTGGGGAGGCCCTTCCCAGGGACAGCCCCCATGCAGGGCGAGCTGGGGCCGCTGCTGTCCTCTGAACCCTGCCCCCCCGCCCCCCCGCCCTGCCCCAGAGGCTAAGGAAGAAACAAACAGTCTGGCGATGAAGTGAGAAGGAAATAATCTGGGGCAGCGGCAAGGACACCGCAGACATGAGCAGAGGGGCCGTGGAAGCCACATTCCCCTCCCCCCCAGAGTGAAGGAGGAAGGAGGAGAGAGGTCAGGGGGGGAAGGTACAAAGTCAGTCTCTGCCCGTTGCCTGGCAACCCGCGGCTCTTCCAGGAGACAGGCGTCCTCACGTAAATACTCGCTGACCCGCTCACTGTGAGATGATGGGTACGGACCACGAACGCAGACATAACAAAGGGGGGTTGTACCCTCCTCTCCAAACGCACGAGGGAGAAGCCCTCGGCCCTAACAGGTGCGAATAGTCCTTTTGCCACGCCCAGAAAGAAACGTCGCGTCCTCAGGGTGGGTAACACCGTGCTAGCATCTGGGGAAACTCGAGGTCCTGTGCAGAGAGGAACACGTAACCAAGAGACGATGCGAAGGCACCCTGCCCGTGGGCGCTACCCGCTGCGGCCCAGGCATGTGGAACCAACAGGGCTGGAAAATAAATTCTGGATGCGTCTGCAGACCCAGACGGGGCACGGAAGGTCTTCACTCCCTCCGGGGCAGGCGGCAGGACCGGACGAGGACCACATCCTCCCTCCCTCAGGAGACAGGCATCGCAGGGAGAGGCAGGTATCGGACACCAGGGGACAGAGAACAGTAGGAACTTCCTGCCCTTCTTCCCCTTCCTCCTCCTCCCCACATGTTCTTCAAGGCAGAGGCTGCATCCAATTGCTGTACGTGCCCTGAGACTAGGGGCTGGACCGAGAAGCGCTCCGCACTCCCTCCCTCTGGACCCATCACACCCTGAGGTCCAGCTCCTCCGTCGAGGTCCAGGGCATCTGCCAGGACGACGACTCTGTCGGAAAGCTAGTGAGCTGCAGCGGATCAGAGCGAGACGCACTGCCCGCCTTACCTCTGGGTTTGTAGCAGGGGACGGGGATGACGCACTCCTCCTTGATGTGCAGCTTCAGCTGCGGGTTGCAGCCGCCCACGTGCTGGCCGCGGTGGTTGATGCACAGCACCACCCGGTAGCGCAGCCCCCGGCCGCAGGTCACCGTGCACTTGGGGGAGGGAAAGAGAAGCCGGTGACGCCCTTGCTCACCAGGAGACCCACGAAGGCTCCGCGTCTCGTGCAAAGGAAGAGGAGGAGCCGCTGCCTACGTCGGCGATTTTCAACCAGTGTGCCTCGAGAATTCTTAAAACGTGCCGTACCTGACTCACTCGGTCAGGGGCCCCGAGCTCTTTGCCCTCAGACTGTCGAAGGGAAAAATGACAACAGCCAACACAACGACAGCCATCGGCGTGAATGCCCCGTCCTGAACCGTAAATACACAGGTCACATAACAGGTTTGCATGTGATCGGGCACGTCACGTAACGAGGTTGCATCTGGTTGGTTCATTCTTGGTACCAAAAAGCCTTATAGCCCTGGCTGGTGTGGCTCAGTGGATTGAGTGCCGGCCTACAAACCAAAGGGTCGCTGGTTCAATTCCCAGTCAGGGCACATGCCTGGGTTGTGGGCTGGGTCCCCAGAGTGGGGTGCGCGAGAGGCAACCACACATTGATGTTTCTCTCTCTCTCTTTCCTTTCCTCTCTCTCTAAAAATAAATAAATAAAAGTTTTTAAAAAGCCTTATAAATAAGTACAGGCACCTGACTTTTAAAAAAAGACACTTTAGAGCAAAAAGTTTAGGTAATTACTATTCATTATTATTTTTTTTGTAAATCAATTAGATCGGCAAAAAAAATATTTTTTTTTGTCAGATTGGCAAAAAATGCAATTTTGGTGTGCCATGGGATTTCAGAATTAGCTGACGTGCGCCACGAGGCGGAACAGGGTGGAAATTGCCTGTCTGCGTGGGCATGAACCACAGAAGGTGGGGTCTCGGGGCAAGAAACGTTGGAATCCCCCGAAGTCTTCCCGCTCCAACAGAAGGGAAACGTCAGTTTCCTCAAATCTGATTAAAAAGTTACATGACATTTTTCGAAACAGTTTGTGAGGATGAAAGAGCGTTTTCTAAACTATTGATTTAAATTGTGAGGGACCGTGCCCAGGGATCATCTCTCTCTCCCAGCTACAGACACTGTTCTTTCAAAGCTGGTGTCAGAGAGTTTAGGGAAAAATACCGTGTGCCTATCAGGCAGTTAAAATTAATGAAAACATTGTGCTGTGTTTTCTCAACAGACGTGACCTTTGTGCTGCCGGTTTTTTTCTCGAGGGATTTATTTTTCATCTAGAAGGGGCTCTTGGTCGTGAGCGGAATGTTTTCGTGTTGAGAAAATCTAACACATCTTTTCAACTGATCTACATGTTAGTGAGGATATGTTCATATGTGTAGGCGTTTTTAAAAATCAATACACTTAGTTTTTAAGACCATCTTGGGCTGGCAGAAAAATGGATCACCAGTTCGAAGGTGCCCAAGGCCTCCTCACTGAGGAGACCTCCCCCCATTACCAACACCGTGCGTTAGGGGGGTTGGGCATCATCACTGATGAACCAAAATTATTGATACATTATTATGAACTCCAGTCCAGAGTTCACATTAGGGTTGTTGCCAGCTTTAAAAATTTTTTTAAATTTCTTTTCTTATTCTAAATAAACATTTGATTAGATACCCAATATTTTTGTTTTCTATCCTTTTTTTCTTAAGGAAGGCTTTTGTTTTTAAGATGTTATGTATTTATTTTTACAGAGCGGGGAAGGGAGGGAGAAAGAGAGGGAGAGAAACATCTATCAGTCACCTCTCGAGAGCCCCCTACTGGGGGACCTGGGCCGACACCCAGGCAAGCGCTGTGACGGGGAATTGAACCAGCGACCTTTCGGTTCCCAGACTGACACTCAACCCACTGAGCCACACCCGCCAGGGCTATTCCTTTTTCTAACGAGTCACCTGCAAACTGCCCGAGCTCAGGACTCCCCAGTTCTGGATGCAGCCCTGGGAGAGGCAGAGTCCTGCCGGTGGGGCCTCACTCCACCTCCCCACACACCTCACACTGAACGGACAGACACAGCCCACTGAACCCGAGGACCTTGGTCAAGGTCGCATGGCTCCTGAGAAGCAGAATGGAACCCCACCCCAGAGATTCCTGTTGCCATGACCACGACTTGGCCACGGCTTCGTAAAGCTCAGAGGTTCTTCCCGCAGGCCTGCCATCTGCATGGCCACAGGAGAGTTTCGGAGCGACAAGAGACCCACACGTGTCCCACGGAACCCGACGTTTCTTCTGGCCACTCTACAACCGCTACAGCCAATATTGCAAGAATCGAGGGAGAAGCAGATCAGACCCTGCTTCTGGGAAACTGACTCAACTACCCGACCTTGATCAGTTTGGAATCTACGTGATCTGGAGAGGGGGTTTTACACCGGCCAAGAAAGAAAAAAAAAAGTCTGCCCGGGGAGAAAAAAAAAACGCGGTTATGGGGGGCAACGCGACCAGAGGCGGCCAATAGAACCGAAGGGCCGCGTCTCCTCCCGCGCGGCCCCGAGGAGGCTGGCGGAGCCGGTGTCTCCAGACTCCTCCCTGGAGCCGCACGGGTCCGCCGTGCCGGCCGCTTCTCGTCGCCGAGAGTGCGTGGCAGTTTCGGTGACGCAGGGAGGACCTCCTGGGGGCGGGGGGCGCCAGCGTCACGGCGCTGAAGCCCGCACGAAACATGGGGACACGGCTTCTGAGAGCCGAAAGCCAGCCCCGCAGCTTGCAGAAGCGACGTGGGTTTTCCGTGCTGGACTGCGGCCGGACGCTCTGCACGGAGCTCAGGAGGTCAGAGCAGGGCCTTGCCCTGATCCAGTGCCCCCAGCTCGGCCTGGGTGTCTGCTGGAGCAAGTTATCTTCGTGCGTCAGTAAGTGCAGAGCGAAATGAAGGGAGAACTCAACAGTAACACTAAGAGGACAGTTATCGCGATCCCCGGCCTCACGAGGAACTGTTTTTTAAACCTCCCTCATCTTCCACAAAGACTGATTTTGGGTGAAAATTTACTTTGTTTATGTGTGATCATGATTCACCAAAATTTAAAAATATACTCATGTCTCTTGATTATGTATTAAAATTAAATACTATAATAATAATTTAACCCACGGGCACATTTTTTTAATACTTGGAGCATGTCAGCCACAGGACATTAAAATAAACTAATTTCCATTGCTAGACATTTTCTCAGAGAACAATCAATAACAGGCTTTAAAGCATAAAAGGACATTAATCGGGATAAACTCCCGTGAAAAGAGTGGGTCCAAAATGTGAGTTCAGGAGGGAAAAACGCAAAACCTACAAATTCTTCAAGAACGCGCTCGCATGCTTTTTCAGTGACAGACGGCAAGACTGGGCATCACTGACATTCTCGTGGGCGCACTTTTTAAAAATGCTCTAAGCCCTGGCTGGCGTAGCTCAGTGGATTGAGCTCGGGCTGCGAACCAAAGTGTCGCAGGTTCGATTCCCAGTCAGGTCACATGCCTAGGTTGCAGGCCACGGCCCCCAGCAACCACACATTGATGTTTCTCTCTCTCTTTCTCCCTTCCTTCCCTCTCTAAAAATAAATAAATAAAATCTTAAAAATAAATACATAAAAATAAAAAATGCTCTACCAAGTGATCTGGACATGCCAGCATGAACCGCATGTTAGCAATGGCCTCTTTTTATGTTTTTTGGTTTAAACTTGTGACAACATTAATTTTAGGTCTCAAGCTAAATATACGTAAAATGGCATGTAACATCCCAAACTTTTTTTTTCTTCTTTTTTTTTTTTTTTAGGGGAAATGTGAGCCAGCAGGAACCAGTGGCCCTCGGCCAACACTCGCGACAAGCCGGAGGCCGGGGTCGCGCGCGGCTCACCTGCGACCAGTCCATGGCGACCCACTTGGGGCAGTCGAAGAGGTTGCAGGTCTGCATGACCTTGGGCTTGGGCGCGTACATGCACTTCCACTCCTCCACCTGCAGCACCTCGCCGTGCAGGGACTCCTCCACGCACACGAAGCTGCGCCGCTGCGTGCCCCCGCCGCAGGACACGGAGCACGCCGTCCAGGGGTTGTGCTCCCAGCTCCGGAGCGAACAGGCGAGAGAGGGCGCGTTACTTGGGGGGGAGGGGGGGGTCGGCACGCCCGCTGGCTGCCCCCGTCCACGGCCACAGCCGCCCCACTGCCCTCCGACCCCGAGGCTACCGTCCAGTGGGAACAACCCACCTGCCCTCGTTCCCCTTCGTGGGTGGGACCTCGGCGAGGGTCAGGTCAGCTAAACACGGGGTGTGCAAGCACCCGCCAGCGGCCCCCCGGCTACGGAACACCCCAGGGCACTATCCCTGGGGTCCCAGAAAGTCCAGGTCAGAAAGGACCACGCCAGCCATCTGGGTGGAAACGGGGCGCAAACTCTGACCTCCGGCAACGCGGGAGCTCCCTCCGACGCCCCAGGTGGGCAGGACGCGCCCCACCCCTGCAGGGACCGCAGACACCCATCGCCGGAGGCCGCCTGTCACTGAGCTCCCTCCCTGCACTGGGTCTGCCGCCCCCCGCCCGCCCCCCACCCCAACCCCGGCCTCCCAGCCTCCTGCTGCAGACGCAGCCGTTCCTCCCAAACGAACGACTTGGAGCCAAACACAGAAAGAAAGCAGGGGCGTCGTCACTCACCGAGGGAGAGGCTGGAAGTGGTCGTAGGGCATGATCTCCTTGAACCCGTCGCTGCGAACGAGACCGCGGTGACACCGTCATTTCTACGTCCACGCCCAGGCCGGCTACACGCACTCACGCCCACTCCACAGCCCCCGGGACGCCGAGCACGCACAGTGCCGGGCACCGGTTCTCCACACTCAGCCCCCCGTCTCCTTCGTTTCCGGAAGCGTCCCCGGCCCGCACCACCACCCCCGCGTGTGCACGAAAATACAGGAAAGGGGCCTAGCGACGTGTGTTCATCGAAGGAGGAGGTTTCTCCTTATTTGGCTCCATCCATCTATCCAATCCGAGTTGACCATTTAACAAGGTTGTGCTGATAAAACCCGCTGATGGTATGACCACCGCACCATCCTACAGGCGGGTCTCCAGAAAACCACCCCCGCTCACAGAGTGAGCCCCTGGCTTTAAAGGTCTCCGTGGGCAACGGGGAGGCTACAGGAAACGGGCAGGGGAGTGACAGGAAACACAACCCTCCGAGCACGTGTCCTGTCCCAGGCGTGCACCACCCCCCGCCCCCGGCTCGGCCCGCTGGCACAGACCGGGGGGATTCTGGGCCTCGATCCCGGGCTGCTGTTTGAAGATGCTGCAGCTCAGCCGGGGAGCTCCCCCGGGCCATCCGAGTCAGCGGGTACCAAATGTGTGCACGAGGGGAGTTCACGCGCACAGCTCTCCTGCGTCGGCGTGAACACACACGACTCTCTCGCACACAGCACCGTTCACCCTGAGTTTAGGGTGAACGTGTCCACACATGGGCGTGGGTGACGCCGGGTGGAAGCTCACAGGGCAGGGCACGGACCCCGGTGACTGGCAGATAGACCGGACACAGCACGTGGGTGAAGGGGCCTTACATAGTGCGGACGGAGCTGATGCTCAGAGCGAGGTCCGTTACACAGGGTTAATATCACAGCCCAGGGGTGCCACCCATGTGGGGGGAGAGAGGAGAGAGAGAGAGGGAGGGGGGGGGAGAGGGAGAGAGAGAGGGGAGGGGAGAGAGAGAGGGAGAGAGGGAGGGAGAGAGAGAGAGAGAGAGAGAGAGAGAGAGAGGGAGAGAGAGGGAGAGAGAGAGAGAGAGAGAGAGAGAGGGAGGGAGAGAGAGAGAGGGGAGAGAGAGAGGAGAGAGAGGGAGAGAGAGGGAGAGAGAGAGAGAGAGGGAGAGAGAGAGAGAGAGAGAGAGAGAGAGAGAGAGAGAGAGAGAGGGAGAGAGAGAGGGAGGGAGAGAGAGAGAGAGAGAGAGAGAGAGAGAGAGGGAGGGAGAGAAAGAGGGAGAGAGAGAGAGGAAGAGAGAGAGGGAGAGAGAGAGAGGGAGAGGGAGAGAGAGAGAGAGAGGAAGAGAGAGAACGAATGAGCTCAGGCTGAGGGAGCCGGCGAGCCCCCTCACGGGCCCGCGGTGGCCCGTGCGCACGCAGGCCCCTGCCCCGGGGCCGGCGTGGGCTCACAGCCGGACACGGCCAAGGGCTCGCCCTGTGGCCGGAGGGGAGCGGCCCGGGCTGCGGCGGCCGCATGGCTTTCGAAGGTAGAGGAGCGGGCGGTGGCGCAAACCTGGATGGACAGGGGTCCATGCCGCACTCCTTCAGCTTGGGCTTGGGCTTCACGTTCTCGGGGTAGTAGTGGCAGTAGTGGTCGGGGACCACCCTCTTCAGGCGCGTGTCCACACACTCGGCCGAATTCAGCTGGTACCCTGCCGCGGGGGGGAAGGGGCGGTCTGAGGGCCGCGTCTGCGCTGCGTGTGCTCGGCAGAGCTCTCACCCCCCGCGCCTGGCTCTCCCTCTTCAAGGAACTTGGCTCGCTGACGCTGAGCCCCCGCTGGGTCCCTGGCCCCTGTGGGGGCCGCCACCCGGCCAGGGCGGCCCTCACACATGTAAGGCCGAGGGAGGAAGGGAGCAAACAGAACCAGATTGGAAACACGGTATGGAAAACGCAACATGAAGGGAGCGAAGTAGCAAACAGAACAAGGCTAAGAAACACAGTAGCAGCAATGGAACCGAATGGACACAGACACCCAGGTCCCTCCAGGGTCCCATTCACTCAGAAACACCGGGGCTGGGTTCAGGAATCAGTTTTTGTTGTTTTTTTTTTTTATAAAGATGCTCGGGTTCTTCTACGATGACTCGGAGATTGAGAACAACCTGTGCTCACAGTCTAAGCTATTGCAACTGTAACGTGGGGCTCTGGCTCTCCGTGGGCAAAGCGGGAGCCTCACCTCCCCCGCAGGTCACGGTGCAGGGGAAGAAGTCCGTCTGTCTCCACTGATGACTGATGGGCTGGTAGAAGAAGAACTGGACCACGCTGTCCTTGGCCACCGTGTACCTGGTCTGGACAGAGAGAGCCGTGATAACACCTCTGCTGCGTGCAACCAGCTCGTGCCTTGCACGCACGCCTGTCCCTGGGATCTGTCACACAGGGGGGCTCAGAGTATCTCCCATCTCCTCGGAGACTTTTCTCCAGATAAAACCCTTCAGAGCACAACTGCAGCCCCTCCAGTGCATGCACACACACACACACACACACGGTTGGTGTTGCACGTGGGTGTTCCAGGACGTACGTGGAGGGAACTCGAGTGACCCGAAATGACAGCTGGGGGCAAGTGTGCTGCCCCCGAGCAGAAGCTCTCCCCCTGGGAGCCCACTCGTGGGACGCCCCCGAATGCCACACACAGAGAGAGAAGGAGCTGGAAGACAGAAGTTCAGCCCCTGGAGGAAAGACCCGGAAATGTCAGTCAGCGTTACGTGGAGATCACGGTGGTCTCTCCAAAGAGAGAGAAATCACGAGGGGCGAGGTTGGCTGAGCAAATTTTCCTCCACCTTAAAAACACGACGTCTGCAGCATAAAAACACCCACCAGGTTCTGAGCAGGCCTTTAAAAAAATGACAACAACCGGGACAAAGGAAAACCCTAAAAGTTAGGAGAAAGAGACAAAACGATGACCTAAAAATCAAACAGGCACCCGATTTCTCACAGGCGACTTCGGATGCGAAGAAACAAAACCATTATCTTCAGCGATTTTTCATGTAGAAATCTGTACCCAAGTTATTAGCCACTAATCAATGATCAATTCATAAATCTATAACCAGTCTAGGAGATACACACACACACACACATTTATGTGTATGCATTTGTGCACACATGTGTGAACCCACACACGTGTAGAAATATGAGTATATTGCTCATGGGTAGGTGTGTTTATATGCATCGTATCCGTGTGTGTGTGTGTGTGTGTGTGTGTACTGCAAACAAACAATTATCTGGAAATGTTCACTTTTGGCGATTTCTCCCACTTTATCATGGTATTAATGTCCCCTACTCAGCGCAGGAATACGTAAGAGAGTTTTTTACAAAGCAGGGGTGTGTGTGTGTGTGTGTGTGTGTGTGTGTGTGTGTGTTTGCTACTCGGGCGTCGAAAGGAAAACTCCCATGACGATCTGAGCAGGCAGAGGGTTCACGCCTGACGACCCACCAGAGAGAACAGACAGACAGACAGACGCAGCTGCCGCTGCCCCGGCCCCCACGCACGGCCCATGACGTCTGTGGATGTCGGCCCGAGTGTCTCCTTCAAGGCAGCCGGGGCTTAAGGCCTCCGGCGCTGGGCACACAGGGGAGCATGCCCCTCCTGGGGAGGGTGGCCACCACCCTCCCACCCAGGGCCGTTCTCTCCCCCCCGTTTCTGCTGTGGAGCGGGTTTCTGGAGAGGGACGGGCCGAGACCCCTCCCCGAGATGCATTCGTCTTCCGAACTCGCAGGCCTTTGCGACTGTGTCAGCAGAACCCCACGCGGGGTCGCCTGGGAACCCAGCGGCCGCAACCTGGGACACCCTGTGAGGGAGGGTGCGGGGACGACCCAGGCTCGCCCAGAGCAGAGACTCTGGGCTGGTGGTCTCGGGGAGGAGGAGCCCCTCTCGGGGGCGTGCAGACAGGTGCCCCTGACGGGACGGGGCCTGGGCCGACGGAAAAGGCAGGTGAGGACGGAGCCCCTGTCTCCTCCGCGCTGCTTGGTAAGAGAACTCGCCACGGCACAGAGCCGGCTCGGGCGTGGGGCAGGCAGCCGCTGGCCGTGTGGCTCCACCCCACCCGGGGCTCTGAGGCTGAAGCTGTGGGTATTTATCACCTCCGCTTCCTAGCCCCGTGACGAGAGGGCACAAACACCCGAACAATCCCCCCCGCCCCCCACCCCGTGAAAGGGACGCCTGTTCCTCAACGAGGGAGGGAGGTTGTGGAAGGCGGAACCTGAAAGCCAGGCACAGTTCTCTGGCCTGGGGGGCCCAGAGGGAAGCACCAAGGACGCGCTCCGTGGAAATGCAGCCCTCGGGGACCTCCTGCCACCCGCACACAACCAGTTTTAAACAGCCCGAGAGGTGCAGGCGCGAGGAGCCGCGGGCGCCTGAGGTCTGGGAGGAGGGGGGTCCGCCCACCTTGAAGATGAAGTCGGCCATCAGAGGCCCCGCAATCCTGAAGGTCTGCCTCTCGGGGCTCCTCTGGAACTCCACGGTGGTGTTCTCCACCACGAACACGCCGGGGCCGCTGAAGCTGTGCTCCCCTTTGTGTCCCTGGAGCGTTTTGGACTCGATGACTGCAATTGGGAAACAACGTTTGAACGAGAGGCGTCGTCGGCGTATGGCGTCCCGTTGGTCTCCGGCGGGCACCGCCGAGAGTGGACCCTTGCGTCTGCGGCGAAACGATCGCCGCGGGAAGTCCAGCTGACACCTCCCTCGCCTGCCACCACCATCGTTTGTTTCTCGTGCTGAGAATTTTTTTAAAGTAAATTTGGCATTTCTTTTTCTTTTTTTTAAGATTATTTTTAAATTTTATTTTAGTTTTAGAGAGGGAAGGGAGGGAGAAAGAGAGAGAAACATCCATGTGCGGTTGCTGGGGGCCGTGGCCTGCAACCCAGGCATGTGCCCTGGCTGGGAATCGAACCTGCGACGGTGTGGTTCGCAGCCCGCGCTCCATCCACTGAGCTACGCCAGCCAGGACATTGTGCTGAGGATTTTTAAGAGTCTCTCTCTGAGCTACTTCCAGACGGGCGATGCAGTGTCGCTACCTGGTCAGCACACCACACGTGACACCCCCAGAGCTGACGTGCGTTATCGCTGGAAGTTCCTACGTTTTGGCCACTTTCCCCCATTTCTCCCGCCCCCACCCCCACGTCGAGCAGCCGGAGACCTGTTCTAAGTGAGAGCGCCACCTTTAACGCACTGTTATTTCAGAAAGATGTTTTATTACGTAGGATCTCTGTGGTGTCGCCACGGGATCAGAACACCCACGCAGTCTGCAAACACGGACCCTTCCAGTTGCCCTCATGGAGGTGCAGACAAGGTCCCGTGGGATCTGTCTAACTCCTCGGCGCCTTCTCTGCCACCAGGGGAAGAAGAATATGTAGCCATTTCTCAGCGTAAAGCCGTATTACTCATTTTACCCCCTCTTCAGACACTTTACATCTGCTCTTTTAGACAAAACCACCATGAATCTTAAATTTGCTTTAAAAAAACTTTATGTGGAAATCAGGAGAGTCGCAGGAAGTGGCGACAGCTGTAGAGAAGTCCTGTGTATCTTCCATCCATCACTGAATGGGACACGGCTGTCCCCGCCCAGGCACCAACCAGGGACTGAACCCACGGCCTTCCGGTGCACAGGGCAAGGCTCCAGCCACCTGAGCCCCCGGGCCGGGGCCAGGAGTGCCTCCTCGATGTCCTGCAGAGAAGGGACCGTTGACGGTCTCGCCACAACAGCATTCCCGCTCCATTTCAGTGGTGGCTGTCCTCCCCCTTCTTGGTTTCACCCGTGGTGTCTGTGTCACCGTGCGCAGGGGCTTGGTCTGTGGCCGAGAGACGCGGTACGGAAAGACACGGCGGGGCGGCGGGGCTCCTGGTCCCAGCGCTCTCCCAGCGAAGCCACCGCCCCGGGGTTTTGTTGCTGGAAGAAGGGAGGAGTCAGCCCTGGCTGGGCGGCTCGGTTGGCCAGGGCATCGTCTCACACACCAAAATGAAGGCTGCAGGTTCGATCCCCAGTCGGGGCACGTATGGGAGGCAAACAGCCGATCCGTGTTTCTCTCCCATACCGATGTTTCTCCCCCCTCCTTCTCTCTCTCTCTCCTCCTTTCCCCCTGAAATCACTGAAAACATATGCTCAGGTGAGGACAAAAACCAAAACACAAAAAAAGAGGAGTCAGATGAGACAACATCCAGGCCCTCTTCTGCTCTGAAATCTCCACTTCATTCCTGGTGTTCAAGGGTTCTTTAGCCACTTCAAACAAAGGACACAAAAGCCCCGGCTGGTGTGGCTCAGTGGATTGAGCGTCAGCCTGCAAACCAAAGGGTCACTGGTTCGATTCCCAGTCAGGGCACATGCCTGGGTTGCAGGCCAGGTCCCCAGTAGGGGGCGTGCAAGAGGCAACCATTCACTGATGTTTCTCTCCCTCTCTTTCTCCCTCCCTTCTCCTCTCTGTCTAAAAGTAAAGAAATGAAGCCCTAGAAAAGGACACGGGAAGCTGATCAAACCCAGGCAAATGGCCCGGCAGGAGCGGCTGCAGGAACGCCAGCCCCGGACCAACCGCGTGACGGGCACCCGGAGACAGTGCCGGTCACCCCCGACAGGACGGCTGGGAGCTGCGCGGGGACGACTCAGAGGCTGGACACGAGCTCCTCCCTGACCTGCAGGAGCCGTGAGCGGGTCGGTCGGGGAACAGTGCCGGCTACTCACTCTCAGGCTCACGGCACCCCAGCCACGCTGGCCCTGGGCTCCGCCGCCGCCACCGCCACGGATGTTCGGGAAGGGGGAGATGGCACTCATTTCCTGCTTCCAATGGAGACCTAACGCCCAGCGTTACAGGGTGAGTTGTCGGTAAAAACGAAGACAGGAGACGGGAGAGGGTCAGAGGGCCCCGGACGGACACGGACGGGAGGCGTGAGCCCTCCGACGAGGAGGGGGGGCAGCAGTGAGCCTCGGGGCAACAGCAAGACACGGACCGAGGTGGGGCCACACGCGCCCGCCCAGAAGACAGGCAGAACACGGAGTCTCAGGACCGGGGTCAGCCCGGAACGGCTCGGCCGAATTCCAAGGGCCTGCGATGGGCTCCGCCGCAGGGTGAGGGCTCTCCCACGGCGCTGACCCGCGGGGTCGCCGCAGCCTTCCGGGTTTCCTCGGGTGCGGGGTTCAGGTGCGGGGGTGCGGAGGTGTCAGAGTCCAGGAAGGCGACCTGGGAGGGAGGGACGACGGACCGATCCATCGTGGGACATCGGTCCTCTCCAGCCAAGGATGGCTCTGCTGGCAGTTGCGTCCAGCGTCCTGCTTTTTAACACGGAGTCTGTTCCTCCACTTCTCCAGGGTGTCCCAGACCTCTGGGGACACGAACGTGAGACCGCAGGGGACAAAGCCAGTTTTCAGCTGCACGTAAATGACCCAGACGACGGCTCTCTGCCCTGAGCCACAGGCTTATCGTGGACGATCTTCACGCCAGTCACCTCTGGGCCCCCGCCCTGGCGCGTACCCAGGAGGTGGACGCAGGGGCTCTCGCGCCAACCGTGGGAAGGGGTCCGGAGTGGGAGGGCACAGACAGGTGACGTGCTCGGAGGCAGGTGTATGGATGCAAGAGGTTCTGAGGAGGCGGACTGATGAGGCCACTAGCTCTTCCAAAGGTGTCCCTTTTATTGGTGTCAGACTGGGTCCCCCCCGAGTGCCCCTTCTGTGACAGAAAAGAAGTGTGTAGACATCAATAATGGCTCCTTTTGTAGCATTCCTGTTTACCACGGCCCCGTGCCGTGAGAGCTGCCCGCAGAAGCCCTCCAGCTCTCCGGGCTTCCCCGCTGCTGAGCGCCTGTGGTTTGCTGGGGGGGGAGGGGGACCTGCACACACCCTCCCTCCGTGAAGGGCAGAGGGTGTGAGGCTCCCTCCCACTGCCACCCCCCCCAGACCCCCTTCTCCTCCTGATGCTCAGCGTGGCGGGGGGCGGCCACACAGGGGACAGTCGGGCAAGACACGGCATACAGCCTGCAACAGCTGAAAACAGGATCAGAAACCAAGACGCTCTTCAATCCCCCAACCTGTCAACTCAAGTCCGTACAGACGCCTTCAGAGACCGGAATCCCTGCTAGTGATTCTGGAAAGAAGCGATCTTTTATCTTCTTCTCGCTGAGGGGCTTGCCCGGGAAGTACCAGTCCGGGCTTCCTTCGAGATGCGGGGTCTGGCCATCCATCCCCACAGGGGGTCTCCTGAAATTCTGAGAGGGCCACGAAAGTATCGCTAGGAAAACGTGGAATGGGCGTTCGGCACGGCTTAGTTACCCGTGCACCAAAGTCCTGCCTTCAGTGGGGTTGTGTGCGGTGGGAGACGCACGCTTATTCAGCATCCGTTTCCTCCGGTCGAAAAGCGCTGTCCACGTGTATGTTTCTACATCTCTACACATGAGGTCATCAGACAAGACGCAGACGACCAAAAAAAAAAAAAAAAGAATTCTTCCAGTTGACAATGGAAGTTCTCAATTTTCTGGCATCTCGGCTTCCCAAGTGCCCTGCTAGTCGAACACATTCACGGCTGGAGTTTTGCGACAGTGACGCCCCTTTGGCAGGGATCCGTCATCCCTCCCCTTTCGGAGGGGCGCACCGCCGGGAAAGTGGGAGCTGTGTGTTTGCACTACAGCGGGGGCCACACTCGGGACAGGGCTGGGCGTTCAGGATCCGGACCCCTGCGGGCAGGACCAAGGCGGACCTTCTGGGAGTCCATTCCATCCCGCAGCGGAGAGACACTCTTAATGCCGCCTTTCGGAGGGCCGTAGTCAATGCAGGTCTTTAAAAAGCCTGACTTCTCACGGCCAAATAAGATGAATGTCAGGACTCAGCACTCTATCGTTGTTAACAATGAGTACCAAGAAAACAGCGGTACAAGCCAAGAAAATAAAGAGGCGTCTATATTTAGAAGTCCAGAAACGCCAGCTAAACCCTTTATAAACAAAGCCAACGCCACGGCAGCAGAGGGTAACTTCCAGGCACACTTCTCGGGCCCAGTGTGGGGCTGCTCAGGGGCAGAGGGGGTCCAAGCCGCAGACCCGTCCCCTTGGCAGAAATGGGAACTTTTCCCAGCCCTGTTCTCGCCAATTCTGAGTGTCAGCGTACGCGGAATGTGCCAGAAAATACAGGCACGTGAATGAGCGTTTGCCCTCAAGGCTGTCACTGTTCCTTATTTTGTTTCACTTTTGTACTTATTCCCTTCACTGTCTACTTACTCTGTTTTTAGGGCTTTTAAACTATTTCTGGAGCTGAGTGTTTGGGAACTGCCTTTCAGCGATCAGGCCCCGTCACGGCCTATTTTTTTGTTTGTTTGTGCCATAGAATTCACAGGCCATAATATCCGCCCCACTCATCTTAAATGTGGTTTAATGGTCCTGGTGTGTTCGCAGGGCTATGAAACCATCAGCACCATCCACATTTAGAAGGCTTTTATCATCCCCCCGAAGACATCCGTATCCACGAGCTGCCTCTTCCCTCATCCCCCCCCTCCAACACCACCCCACCCCGGCCCGGGCAGCCCCACCCACTTCCCGTCCCCACAGTGAGCCGACTCCGGACCCGTTCTGTCAACGGCATCCCGTAGCCCTCCCCACCCGGCTTCCCTCACGCCGTATACCGTTCTCCAAAACACCCTGTGTCGTGGCCCGGGTCACACTTCGTGCTTTGTTACAGCCCAGCACCACTCCACACCCGGCCCGCTGTGCCCCCCACCCACCTGGTGGCGGGCTGCAGGCTGCTCTCCGTAACAGCAGTGAGGCATGACGGTCAATGCTGCCCGGAGCAGTGTTCGGCCCTGCGTAACTGTCTAGCCCAGCGTGGGTATTTTACAACGTGCGTGATTCACGCGAGCGCCGCACGGCACTGGGAACCACAGGATTCTGGCCTGTTCTCAAAAACTCAAATTGGCTTTTATATGGGTCAGGATTTGCTATCAGCCCAGAGCTGTGTGGGCTTCCAGCCATTGAAAAACAAAAAAAGGTTAAAAAAATGTGTGGTGATTGCCCTGGCTGGTGCGGCTCAGTGGATTGAGTGCCGGACTGCGAACCAAAAGATCACCAGTTCGATTCCCAGTCAGGGCACATGCCTGGGTTGTGGGCCAGGTTCCCAGTAGGGGGCGCATGAGAGGCAACCACACATTGACGTTTCTCTCCCTCCCTTTCTCCCTCCCTTCGCCCCCCTAGAAATAAATTAATTAAATCTCTTTTAAAAAGTTTATTTCACACATAACAATTTCCTATCCCCTGAGGGATTAAGCCCAAACTGGAATATTTCCTACTGGCGGTGTGAGAAGAAAAAAGTTCTCTACTGATCTGGACCATTCCAGAGTCCAGGCCCTTGAGCTGTGTGTCCCCACCCCCACGAACACAACGACTGTATTGGTTTGTCTAAACAGACCTTCAGGGAACCAGAGCGACGCGAAGACGAGAGGCTACTTACAGAGGTGGGCGGGCCCCTTCACCGTGATCCTCACACTGCGACTCCCCAAAGGGACGGCGATCACATTGTCTTCCCCTAGGAGAGGATGCAGGACAGGTGGTGGTCAAGCCCGGGCACTGAAGGCCCACGAGACACGCACGCCCGTCAGAACCCACGACACGCACGCCCGTCAGAACCGCGCACAGGAAGGGTTCTTCCCCTGGTGCAAAGACTCGTTTCCCTCGTGCGGTCCAAACGTCTGCGGGAAGCACCTGCTACGTATAAGGCCTATCGCTACCACTCACATCATTTCATCTGGATACACTGTTTGGTGACGTGAAAGAGGAGGTTGAACATGTTTTGCCGGGAGGAGGCCACTGCAGCCTCAGCTGCTCATGCCACCCCCTTTGGAGACAAACGCACGCTGTGGCACCGCTGGGCGAGGCCGGGGGCAGCGGGCTCCTCTGAGGGACCCTCGTCCTCAGACTGTGGGACAAGCCGTGTGCACCGCCCAGTTTTCAACGTCTCCCCTCCTGCCCTGCCCTTCCCTCTCGTCTCCATCACCCTCCAGAACAGGTGGAGCACCCGGGGGAGAAGTCTCTCTGACACCTTGATGGGCCAGCCCCTCCCAGAGTGACCTGAAGAAACGGTTAAAACACAGGTTCTCCCTCCCCCGACCGCACCGAAATCCTGACCCAGAGGTTTAGGGTGGAGGCCAGGGAGTTGTCCATCTCCTGCGTCATGGGTGGTCCTGGCACCGCACGTGTGTCTGTGACCATGTTCTTTTTGTTTTTTTTTTATGTATCTTTAAAGATTTTATTTATTATTTTTAGAGAGAGGGAAGGGAGGGAGAGAGAGAGGGAGAGAAACATCCATGTGTGCTTGCCTCTTGAGCACCCCCTCCTGGGGACCTGGCCCACAACCCAGGCATGTGCCCTGACTGGGAATTGAACTGGTGACCCTTTGGTTCGCAGCCCGCGCTCCATCCACTGAGCCACCCCAGCCAGGGCCGTGACGGCATTCTGAGCGGCCCTGACACAGGGCGCGCTGAGGGCACACACAGGTCACAAGGACGGTGGGAGGACGGTGCCATCGTCACACCTGTCAGCGTCTCTCCGCCAGCTCTGCAGGGAACGGCACGGCTCTGGCTCGTTGGGAAAGGGAGGGAGAGCCCCGGTGAGGAAGAGGGGGATTGTGCGGCCGGAGGGGCCGTGGCACCGAACGCGGCACCGACCAGGGCTGCGGTAGAAAGGTCGCCGAGGGGCTTCGGGAAGGCAGCCTCAGTTGTGCGTGCGGGCGGGGGCGGGGGGCCGTGGCTTAAGGAGTAAATGACGATGACACAGTCGAGACGTGAAGTGCCCGCGGTGTTCCTTCCTTGTCCGCCAGCGAGGGTGAGAGGTTAGAGGTTAACGCTGGAGGTGCGCAGGGTTAAAAGGAGACACCACATACACACACACACACATCTGGACACTCTCATGTATGCACATCCGGACACTTTAAACTTGCACCCTTATGTAATGTAGACCTCATGCAGTCTAAAAAAACCCATTTCTACCCTTAAGAAAACGGAAGTTTTGCGAGTTTAAGCGACTTGCTGAGAATCAGAGAATTTGTAATCCGTAGAGCTGGGGTCAAAACTGAAAACGACACTCTTAACCCCGACAATCTTAACCCCAGAACGGCCAGACCGCGTTTGAATTGTATTAACTCACACTCGAGCGTTCGTTACAGTTCGTCACACACGTTTACCACCTGGGTTTCCCTTGTCTGATTTCGCAACCACGGGCTGAGCGAAGGGCCGTTACATCGTCTTGCACTCACTCCCTCCCACACAGAGACTCTCCCGCCCAGCTGGTCCGTCATTATTGCTTTTCTGTGTCTCATTTCCTGCCGCACATCGCAGCTCCGCTAAGTGGCAAGAGGCACAGGAAACAAATTGTCCACACAGTAGTAGCTCGTCAGTAAACATTCGTTTCCGCCCAGAAGGACTGGAGTTTGTATCGGGTCATTGTTTTCCCTATAAAGTCCAACGAGAACTCCACTGACCTAAACAGATACATGCCCCCTGGTCGTACCAAAGATGTTTTAGTTACACCTTGACAACCTCATTCCCACTTTTTTAAAGTAAATTTATTGGGGTAACATCGGTTTCATTTCGAACCTTCTCCGAGTGTTTTTCGCACGGACCGCACCCCTGGAGGACTGTCTACAGGCCGCCTTCTGCAAATCGAGGGCGGAGACTCGGAATAATCCAACGATCAAAGATGGGGAAGGCAACCGCCACAAACTGACCGGTTCTTTAAAGGCAGCGGAGGCACCCGGTGGCAGGATCAGAACCAGCGGCCAGGGGACGCCCCCACGCCCAGCCCCGAGCTGCGGCGGGAGCACATCTACCCCCGCAGAACCTGCATTTGTGCCTCCTCCGCCTCAGCCCTGGAGTCTGAGCAGAAACGCCCGTGACCCGCCCCCGGCGGCCCCCAGCCTGGGGGCCTGCTCATTTGCAGCCTGGACGCGCCTCCAGCTCCCAGGCGCCGGGCACCCAGTCACACACCCATCTGTGCCCATTGCAGGAGCAGCCTGTGCCCAGCACGCAGGGAGGGGCTGTCACACACAGCCTCGCACCACCGCTTCCCGTCCAGGGGTCCCGCGGCGTCACGGCGCACCCCGGCTTGTCCGCCCCTCGCGCCTCATCCAGGCCACGGAGAGCCTGGCGCGGGTTAAATGATGGTTTGCCCTCGGGGTCTGCAGTGGGATGGGCGGGTTCGGGACACGTCGCCCCAAAAGATGCCACTTTGGCACAGCGATTATTGTGAATTTTGGGAACCTGAGAAACAGCCTGTGAAAGGAGGGCCCTCCCGCCCGCCCGCGTCCCTCTGAGAGAAGGGGCATCTCCGCGGAGAGGGGACCCTTCCTGCTGCAGGAAGGCAGGAGGCGCCCTGTCGTCGGACACGGAGCCGGCAGCCCCGAAGGCTCTATGAACCAGCTGAGATCCTTCTTCACCGCCGGACGACCGCCCCCAGCCCAGGCCCTTGTCGATTCTTCTTTGATGCTATTGGCTTTTTATCTAAAAGCTTCCTGAACTGGCCACTTCCTCGAATCGCTTATCTTTGTGGGTACGTTACACACCTACATGATTAAAATCACTTCTCCCCTGTTAATCTGTCTTTATATTCTGGGGCGAGGGGGCGGGCAGTCTCAGCCGAGAACCTAGAAGGGCAGGAGGAAATCGTTTTCTCTGCCCCTGCAGGGACATCGGAGGCCGAAAAGCAGAGAGGTGAACCAGAGGCCCCTGCCAGAGGCGTCTGGGCAACCTGGCAACATGGGGTCGCCCCTCCCTGCCCACACCCCCTCCGCCCCGTCCTCTCCCCGTTCTGGGGCCGGTGCCCACGTCTCCAACAACACGCCTTCCTTGACCCGATTTCACTCGGCTCCTACCCCGGTTCCGCTAGGGTTCTCTCCGTTTCTGATCTCTTTCGGGCCCTGGCCAGACGGCGTCTTGCCAAATGAGCTCCCCACACGGTTTACCGCCCACGCTTAACCAGCTCTTCGCCTGCCGCGGGTGTGCAGCCCCGGGGAGTCCTCCCCTCTCCATTCCCACCTCGTCGGCTCTGCGGCCCAAAGCCCTCAGGCTTCGGTGTCGGTCAGTCGGCCTGAAGTTCTCCGAACCCCCCTCGTGCGCCCACGTCAGAAACGCTCCTCCAGCTGCCGAAGGGAATGCGGGCGCCCTCGTCTCGCCAGGCCTCCCAAGTGGGTTTGACACGGCTGCCCATGGCCTCCGTTTTGGAACCACTGTATTTTTCTGTGCATCAGGCACCCATTTTCGCCCAAATTCTTGCGGGGAAAATAAGGATGCGCAGTTTACGTGGGCCACACTGATTCCATAGTGACATAAATGATTTTAATTCTTTTATTTATGTGTATGTGTTAGAAACATAGCTGAAGAAAGCAATGACGGAATCCGTATGCAAAATAACGCCCTGGAATAGGGTCATCGGTTTTGTTTCTAAATAGAAATAAATAAGAAATTAAAACAAAGGTTTTTGCTTTTTTTTTCCCCCTGAAAGTTTGGGCCACAAATGGGGCTGTGCCTCATACACGGCAAAATACGGTACGTCCTCCTCTGGCTTCGGTGATGATGCTCTTCAATCTGTGGGCGGTTCTAAGGAAGAGGTCAGCAAACCACCCTCCGAGGGTCAGACTCAGCCTGCAGCCTATTTTGTAAATAAAGTTTTATTAGAACACAGTGGTGCCCGATTGTTCACAGACTGCCTGTGGGAGCTTGTGTGTTGGTGCTCAGTCCGTGAGAGAGACCACATGCCCCGCAAATCACACATTTACCATCTGGTCCTTCGCAGAAAGGTGTACTGACCCCCAAATGAAAGGGTTAACAGAGGCAGAGATCATGGAAATGAAAAGGTGGAATTTTCTGGATATATAAAATTTCAAAACTGTGGATTCTAAAAACACAGACAATATTTAAAGTCACAGGACAAACTGGCAGCACGATCTGGAATGGGTGCGACAGGTCGAAGAAGGGTGGCATCCAGGACACACTGCCAGTTACACGAGAGTGAGGGCAACCCCCAAACGGGAACGTGGGTCCGCACCTTCAGGAGCTAACGGAAAAACTAAAAGTAGGAATGAGCAACAGTGGCCGGATTTTCCACCTCGAGAGCCGTCCAAGGGAGGCAAATAAAAGAAATGATCGCTTCATGGTTTACCAAAAACAAAATCAGCAAATATTTAAAAGTAGTCACACTCTGTGTCGGCAAAGGTTCAGAGAACAGGTACTGTCCGAAGAGGCCGTGGGGACAAAAATGCGATACTCCGTTTTCAGAAGATACTTGACTTTCAGGAAACTGGTCACAAGTTTTTTCCAGCTGAAAGGCTTAGCATTAGGACGGTGTTATTGTAGCAACAGACAGGCTAAAGCGCGCTTCGTCTTACGGTAACATTGTATGGGGTGTCAAGCGCATTTTGCTTCACGGACACACGGTACGGGAGGGGACACCTACTTTTTTCAGGAGACACGTGCGCCTTGGACTGTCCCCGCACCAGCCTGCAGGTGGAGCCGTCGCCAGCGCAGACGCCGCAGTTGTCTTCCTTGGCCTGGCTCCCCAGGTGCCGGTCGCAGCCCACCGCCTGGGACAGAGCAGGGGGTCAGGACCCGGTGAGAACACGGCAGGCGGAAAGCGATTTCTCTCATACTCACAGGGTTACCCTTAAATGGACAAGTCGGCTCTCGTTTATGAGAACACAGCTTATAAAAATATGCATCATGGGAAGCTAGTCTAGGGCATCGCTCGATTCTGTGCCGGGCCCAGATAACTAACGGCAAGGACTGACACCGGCCCCTCACACCCCCGCTCTTGCTCCCCTAGTTACAGCTCTATTCAGGTACTGCTGCGTGCACACAATGAGTGGAACTTGGCAGATACTGGACGTTTCCCCCTCCCCCCCATCCGGTTCTACGCTCTCCCATCGTCCCAAAGGAGCACTACCCTGAACTCAGCGAGTACACCTTCGGTCCACAGTTTTCAGTGCTTGTTTGTTTGTGCCTCGGCCTCCACACACCTGCCTCTCACCATCCACATCCATGTCCCCTCTGTTCTAGATGTATGCCTTATTACCTCCTCCTCTCTATCGTTACAGATACCTGTACCTACGGATTTCCACCTCTGTGTCATTACGTTTGCGTATTTGTCCCTATAAACAACATTGTTAATCCTCAACCAAGGATATGCTTTTTATTGATTTGAGAGACAGAGAGGGAGACAGAGATGGATATGAAAATAAACAGCTATCAGTTGCCTCCCATATGCACCCTGACCGGGGATCGAACCCACAACCTTTTGGTGTCCAGGACAATGTTCCAACAAACTGAGCTACCTGGCCAGGGCTGTATAAACAATTTTTAAAATATAACAGAGGAGTGAATCAGAGAAATGGCTGATGCAGAATATGCTCATACTGCCATCTTTCATGGTCCTGAGAATTATGGTTTTTGTGGGTTGTGTACAATGCATTATGTATTTGTTGACCGTGCCCTTCCTTAAATGAGAAAAGGGGCTGTGTCCTGCATTTCTCCTCATTTCACAAAGGTGACATTTCTACAACATTAACTAATATGATCGTGGACTGCCCTGCACTCACACGTCTTCACTTGCATGCATTTATCTGGTGCTGAAAGGCACGCAAGGGGCTTTGGAGGCAAACGGCTCCATGGACAAAGCCTGACCCCTCCCGCCGCCCCTTCCCGGCTGCGGCGTGTGGAACAGTCCAAACTTTCAGACACACTCTCCTCAGGAGGAAAATAGGGGTAACAACACATATTTCACGTGGGGGCTGGTAAGGCCTCCGTGAGAAAGTGCATGAGGAACTCTCGGGACAGCGACTGGGGCGTCGGGAAGGGCTCGCACCGCACTGCGGGCTGCAGCGCCCTGTGTGGGTGCTCTGGCCTGGGGAGGTGCAGAGTCGGACACTCCACCCCAGGTGCTGACGAGGGTGTAAAACCGGAGGACGTGGAAACCACCTGCCTGTAAGCTACTCCCCCTGGCCCCCTCCCCAGTCCTGGTGCTGAAGGGAAGGAGAGACAGCAAACGCAAGCTGCAGAGAGGGCTGAGGAAAAGCTCCAAGGACGTGTAAGCAAGAGCCTATGATGACAGGCACTTTCAAGCTCGCACAGCGCTGTCAGGGGAAAGAGTGTACGTCTGCGCTGGGTGCCTGCACGTGGCGAAAGCTACAGACGGAAGCCTCACGGAGCTCACCGTGGAAGAGCTTGAGAAGTCAGAGGTGTCCGAAAACAAGTGCCCAACCCTGGGCCAGGCAAAAAGGAGAAGAGACCAAATTACTTGATGAGCAGTTGAATCCAGCGACTTTTAAGATACTTTCATCCTGATGACATGGTTTTATAAAGAGTAATGAAATATTAAGAGCAGTAGCCGATTTTTATTGAACGCTTGCCACATGGCCGGCCTTGTGCCAGGTTCGTCACGGGCAGTATTTCACGGAATCCTCCCAGCCACCTTGTAGTGGGCGTGATGCCTTTGATCTGTTTTACAAACAAGGCTTCTGAGTGGGGCTGAGGCCGGGTGACTTTTTGACATCACATAGCCAGTATATCATGTCAGCAGTGGTTTTCATTTTTTATTTAATGATGAGAGAGAGAGAGAGGGAGAGACACTTATTGTTCCACTTATCTCCACATTCATTGGTTGATTCTCGTATGTGCCTTGACCAGGGATCAAACCTGCAACCTTGGCATGCTGGGATGACACTCTGACCAACTGAACTACCTGGCCAGGACCACTAATGGTTTTAAAACCCAAATCTTAGCCCTGGCTGGCATAGCTCAGTGGATTGAGCTCGGGCTGCAAACCAAAGCATCGCAGGTTCGATTCCCAGTCAGGGCACATGCCTGGGTTGCAGGCCACGGCCCCCAGCAACCACACATTGATGTTTCTCTCTCTCTCTCTTTCTCCCTCCCTTCCCTCTCTAAAAATAAATAAATAAAATCTTTAAAAAAAAACCACCAAATCTTAACACTGTGTTACCCCTCCCCCACCCTTTCAATCAGCCCATGGACCTCAGGGAACCCAGTGACAGGGGCCATGACATTAATATCTACAAGTACATGTGGAACAACTTAGGAGTGATTGATTTTGGAAACACGCTTGGAAGGCCGGGATTCAATAACTGAGTAACTCGTGTCCATGCACTCTCTCCAGCGGGAGTAACATTCCCCGATTCAATGACAGACACACGGTTCCCGGGGCCAAGCTCTGTCCTCACACACCCGGGACCCCGAAGGCTCCGCATTTCATGAGAGCGAGCGAGCGCCGCCCTCTCTCCCGCCGCCACCCAGGAAGGGTGCGGGCCCGGGAGTTAGGAAGGGCTTGTTCTGGAGAGTGTTTTAGGGCCCTGCATGATCTTGGGCAATCGAACACCTCCCTGAGCTCGTGTGTTTGTTTCATACTTTTTTTTTTTTTGAAGTTACAGTTCATCCAACTCTCACAGCCAAAAAAAGCAGGTGGAAACATCACAGAAAAATAAGGGCTGAAAAGGAGGTCTGGCTGCCCTCCCACTCAGGGCGTAGAAGCCAGGACGGCCTTGAACCTGAGAAACTACTGGATTCTGGCTCTCGGGTCCCCTCCTTGTCAACAATGAGCAACTTAACTGCCCAAAGTAAAGTAAAAAAAAAAAACCTGCCTGAAGTGTTTTCAACTCCTGTGGCACCTCCCCGAGTCAAAATCTCTAATTATAATGATTTAAAAACCACGAGTGAACAACTTTATCAGTGAAATGTATTTGCATCTATTAAACAAGAATTTCTATACGGCCAGGCACGGCAGAGTATAAACTAATAAGACAAGATTTGTATCCTACAGTGTAGTTAATGAGACGGGCTCCACAAGATTGGAGACAGCCTCTGCAAATCTTTAAAACATATGAGCCTGCAGAATCCACGCTCATATATAAATCATCACTTTGGCTGAGGGCCGCTTCACAGTTCCTGCCTACGATGTCCTAATCAGCTGAAAGATAGTGTTTAAAGAGGAGACATTCCTCCAAATTCAGCAATCGATGAAATTCCTAAATAAGTCCACTTTAATCCTCCAGGAAGCAGGGTTTTTATTTATTTATTTTTTTTGAGTCAAGGCCTGCTTGAGATCTCTGAAAACAGGTTTCTACATTAGAAAAAAAATGCTATCACAAGCAGGGATATACGGAGTTGTGGTTTCCAGCCCCTGGCAGGACAGCCCCGCCCCTTCAGAAAGTGGGCGTGGTCAACGGCTATCACTGGCCAATGAGATACGAGTCTGCACAACTGCACGTCTGTAAGAATGGGGGTCCTTGCACATGAGCCACATGCCCCCACTCTGGGGGCCATAGTTATTCTGTAAAACACGTGGGTCTCAGACATTCAAAGGGCAGCGGCCCCTGCTGACCTACGCTGGAGGAGCAGCATTAGCCGGAATGAATCATTCACCGGTTCAAACCACTGAGCGAGCTTTCAGGGCTGCTGGTCACTGCAGGAAAACCCAGCCTGCATTAAAGGGGAGCACGATTTAATCTGTAACAGATAAAGCAGGGTCGTTAACAGCAGGGTGTTGCTTTAACTTGGATGGTTCACATCCAGACACAGATTGCTGCCTCTGGGGACACATAGAGACTCTGACGTGTTTATGGGTAGTTTGGGTGATAACGAGAGGTGGACTGCGGTTCACCGGCTGAACACGCGGACCCTGCCACGTGGGAGCTGACAGCGGGGCCGGCTGTGCCTACGTGGGGGGCGGGGGCGGGGTATGGGGACTCCCTGTCAAAGCTTCCAGTCAATTTGACTGTGAATTCGAAAAATCAAGTCTATTTTAAGAAAAGGCAAGGAAGGGGAGAAGAGAGTTACGAAACAGCCTGGAAAGGCAGCCAGGGTCCTGGTTTTGCCATCAGGGCACTGGTGAGCCCTTGAGGGGTTCCAGGGGGAGGAGGGACGAACTGATGTGAGTTTCAAGACAGTCGTGATGGAGCTGCGGAGATGACAGGGTCAGCACTGTCCCTGTAACTGCGTGCGTGGTGACAGGTGGTCACTAGATTTACTGCGGTGATGGCTTTGTAAAGCGTATAGATGTTGAATCGCCACGTGGTACACCTGAAACTAACACGATATTGTATGGCAACCAAGGTCACAATAAATGAATAAAAATAAGGAGCATATTTCTTAGCCAAAATCAGCAGTCACTTTGGCTGCGGTGCGGGAGTGGATCTCAGGAGGACAGAGCGGAAGCTGAGGCATCGGGACAGGAGGGTGCTGACAGAGTGTAGGCCAGAGCGGCTGGTGAAGGCTCAGACTTAGGACGTCTGCGGGGGGTTCGAACTAGACTTTGAAACTAGACTTGACGGGACTTGGCAGGGGATTAGACATGCACGTCGAAAGAGGAGAATCCAGAATTGAAACAGTGCAGCCAAGGGGGGGCCCCAAACAGGGGTTTAGAATAGGGTCCAGAACTCAAGGTGTCCAGGAAATGTTAGAAAGACATACAAGATGTCCTCACCGCTTGCCCCCTCAGGGGTGAGTTGGGGGAAGGGACACATGGAGCAGGAACTTGGAGAGCTGTTTTGCATAGCAACAGCTTTGCAGCTGACCTCTGGTGTGGTCATTTAACATATCTGTAGCCTTTAACTGTTTGCATAGATATGTTAAATAGCTGTGGCCATGCTCTGAGCCATGGAGAAGGGACTGACTTCCACCCAAGATGTAACTGGGATGCAACTCCCCCTGGTTATAGCGCCTGCGTGAGAACTTGGAGATGATTGGCTCCATGCCATGGGGCCGCACCTGCCCAGACTCATTACGGCAGCCCAGTAAGGCTGGAAGGATAGGGGAGTGCTGGCAGGTGTAGCCGATTGTGGGAGGAGTCGGAAGTGGGGCTGCAGAGGAAGATTGGCGTGAGGATTTAAACCCAGATGCAGCAGCCATTAAGGAGAGGACTACGCGGCTTTGGCCAGAGTGGGACACACTCCCCCCCCCCCGACTTTGCCAGGGAGAACCACGTAGCTTTGGCAGAGTGAAGACCCCCGCAGCTTTGCAGAGGAGAGAACCACGTGGCTTGATCCTGGCCGATGACACAGCTGAGGGTGTCGGGGGCCTGAATCTACTTCTTTTCCTGAGATACCGTGCCCCATATTAGGGCAGAGGAAGAAGGAACCACTGTGCGCATCTGTGGGTACCCTAAAGGACTTTGATATTTTAATGAAGACACTGGGTCACTACTTTAAGTCTGTACAACTTTAAATAAACATTTCCTTTCCTTTTCACAAATCTCTGGCATCGAGAGACGTCTTTCCTCTGGTGGCGGACAAGCGAGAACCTCGTGGGGGGTCCTTTTGGTAATAGTATATCATCCTCCCCCCTCACCCTGGTCCCTGTTCTGTGACAGAATGACCCCAGAACTCTGCGATGAGCGACTGGAGTTCATTTTCTGGATGAAGGAAGGAGAAGCTAGCTAGTTTGAGGGGCAAGATTATGGCTCATCTGTGAGCCTGACATTTTAGTGGGCGGTGAGGTTGCTCGCTCACTGTGGTTGCTTCCGTTTCTGATATGAGCATAACAAGGCAGGTGGATCCTAGCCACTCATTATCTTAAATTCTCCCCCCAACCCCGAAATTAAAACAATGGAGGTGAAATCCTCTCCTCTCCCGGCCATTCCCGTTCTATCTGAATACCCCGTATCCTCACACCCATGACCGCGGTGTGGGGTTCTGCTTTGTCCACACTCATCACCGCTGGGCAGAGCCCTCTCCGAAAATCTTCTAAGAATGCATTCACGCACCTTGTCCGGCAAAGAAGTCACTGCTCCTCAAGACCCGAGCCAATGAATTCATTTCAGTGAAACCACAAGTCACCGGGCCCAGAGAACCGGGTCATGTTCTCCTTCCAAAGCAGTGGTTCTCCGAGGGGGGGTCCCGGGGCTCAGCATCTCCAAGGCACTTGTTATTAAAAATGCGAGTGCTCAGGCCCCACCCCACGCCCACTGGACCAGAGACTCTGGCGCTGGGCGAGGAGGGCCCAGCTCACTGTATGTTAACAAGTCCTTCCGGTGGTGCTCCTGAGCTTGCCAGCTGGAGAACCACCGGCCTGGACAAATCCCAGGAGGCCTCATATTGCCGTCTTTTCAATCCTGCAGTGGACACCAGTTGAACTGTTTTAAACAAGCAACCCAAACCTGAACAGTGAGGGCCACTCTCCACGATGTTTTTGACATCAAAACGCTGAAAAACAGTACACCAGGCACACAGACCAAAGAAAAGGAGGAAAAGAATCTCTTTACTGAGAGTGGGCGTGGCGCCTCGGGGAAAGGGGGCGGGGCGGAGGGGGCGGGGAGCAGGCGTGGCTCACCTGGCAAATGCCGCTGATGCACATGTCCAGCGAGTCCGTGTGGCAGCGTGTTCCATCCAGCACCTTGGGAGCCAGCTCCACCACCACGTTCTGCCCCCGCGCGTGGCACTTGAGCGCGCAGGGGGCGGCGGGGTCGTTGTACCGCGGGAGCCACTCGTAGTAATGCCCCTGGTACTGGACGTCGTTGTAGGCAGAGCACTGCTGAGCGCGGAAGTCCTCGGCATCGGGGGGACAGTCCTGCAGACGGACACAGAGGCCACGAGCTCGTCACGTGGGCAGGTGGGCTTATCCACTGGGGTCCCGTGAGACCAGACCCCGCCCCCTGCCCCGCCCCTCTTCTGGGAGTCACCTCACCCCCTCTACACATTCAAAACTGCAGCCTGCACCCTGCACAGTCACCTCTGCAGCGGACCCCCTCGTGCACGCCCAGCACTCTCCTGCCCAGGTGGGTTTCCCCAAGTACCGCATTTTGCCCTGTATAATGCACACTTTTTTTTTTTTGCCCACGTTTTTGAGGGAAAAGTAAGGATGCGCATTTTACAGGAGTAGGACTAATTCCGTAGCTATGTAAATGTTTCTAATTCTTTTATGTATGCTTCTGCTTACTGCTTAGGCTCTAGCAAGCAATAACGATATCGGTATGCAAAATAGTGCCCTAGAATAGGATCATCGGTTTGGTTTCTAAATATAAATAAATAGAACATTGAATTAAATAATTAAAATGAAAGATTTTTTTTTCCCCTGAAACTCTGGGCCAAAAACGTGGGAGTGCCGTATACACGGCAAAATACGGTAATGAAAGCATCCACTGCGCAGATGCCATGTTCGCGTCTATTTTATCCGTCTTGCATTCGCAAGTTCACACGCCTGGTGCAAGCCCTTTCTTTCTGAAACAAGGGGAACGAAATGCTTTTCACTTTTCCGGGTGACTCAAGGTCTCCGGAGGGAATGCGAGTTAACACCTGCACCTTTGGGAGCCATTTCCACGTGACGCATGATTTGGCTCTACTCTGACCGGAACCTGCTGGGCTTTTAGAGACCCTGTGTTCCGTTGTTGTTTAATTCATCTTTCCTCCCTGGTTCCCCGGGGCCCCCAGCTCTCTCTCTCGCTGGGAACCGAGTGGCTGCCTCCTACTGGCGGGAGGGTGGAAAGACACCGTGTTGTGTTTTCTCTGTCTACACTAGTAATAAAAAGTGTTTATGCAAGTCTCCATGACGCAAGGAGATTTTAACTTAACTAGTGACCCCACCCACCCAATATATCCAAAACAAGAGGCTGATGTCAAAAATGTTACGTTCCTCTTCAACGCTGCGTGGAAACTTCCCAGTTCATGGGAACTAATTCATTATAGAGAAATTTCCCAATTGAAGACAACAAATACAGAATGGCAACGTTATTTTATATTTTTTCTTATTACAAAAGTCATAAATGTTCACTGTACAAATGTTGACAAGTGGTATCTAGTCAGAAAAAGAATAAATAGCAAAGATTCTTGTGCCTAAATCTTTACAAAAATCTTTGGTTATTTTCCAAGGACAAATCTCTGCAAACAAAATTTCTAAGAAAAAGGGTGTGTTTCCTAGGCTTTTAAAAAATATTGTGAAATAGCCCTTCAGGAAGGCCTTATTAATTGTTAGGCTACATAAGTTCCCCTTTTCAATACCTTTTCTTAGTTTGAATATCATAATTTTCTAAAATTTCTTCCAATCATTAAGTATTAAATAGAATTGTATTTTTTTAATTTGTATTTTCTTTTAATTATTTAGGTTCAATATGTTTTCATGTATATTTGCTTACTGTATTAATTCTTCAAAAATGTCTTCTTTTCTGTCTTTAATTTATCTATTGGAATGTTTGCTGTCTTACTATTTTCAACAGATAAAACTATTAAACTTCCCAGTGAAGCAATCAGCTCTCTGTCACTTGTATTGGAAGTATTTTCCCCATTTAATTTTACTTGTGGTGCTTTGTGAAGTCAAGTTTTAAATTTTTATGTCGTCAGCTCTATTAGTATCTCCTCTTCAGATTTCTTTTCTGATTAATGAGCTCAGAAATGCTTTCCCACCACCCTAAGAATACATAAATACCTAAATGTATTTTTCTTGTTCCTTCATAGGTTAACAGAGATATATTGTCATTTATTTTCCGATTACACGTGACATACAATATTCTGTGGGTTTCGGGTGTGAGCAGCATCATGATCAGACATTTGTATTCCTTACGGAGTGCTCATCCAAAGTCTCGTGCCTGTCGGACACTGCATAGTTATTACAATATTATTGACTATATTCCCTAACGGCAATTACATGTAACTCTTTGTTACACCTGAAATTTATTTTGATGTATATAGTGTAAGGCAAAAATTTAATTTCATCTTTCCCCACAAATAACTATTAATACATTATCAGCCAGAATTTTACATTTTAATTTCTACTCGTTCTCCCTTTTTCACTACTGGGCTTTTATATTTTATTGTGTTGATGCCTTTCGAAAGTGGCTCAAGTCCTTTGTAGCTGTCCAGTAGGGACTAAATAAAACATAATAAATAAACTTTCTTTTGGGACTAATTATATGAGTTTGCTGTGAATCGTCCCGAAACCCTCTGTTGCTCTTATTTCCGCAAGGCCACACCTCCACCTCGGTGCCACAGGGACACACGAGACTCTGGGTGGTGAGCATGCTGTAACGTGTACAGACGCCAAATTGTAACGCCGTAAACCCGAGACTTGTCTAACGTTACCAACTGATGTCGCCTCAATGAAACAATAAAGAGTAAAGTCTAGCCCTGGCCGGGAAGCTCAGCGGGTTAGAGCATCGTCCTGATTCGCCCGGGCTGCAGGTTCGCTCTCCAGTCAGGGCACATAGAAGAGTCAACCAGTGAATTCATCAATAGGTAGAACAACAAATCAATGTTTCTCTCTCTCTCTCTCTCTCTGTCTCTCTCTCTCTCTCGTCTTTCTGTCTAAAATCAGTAAATAGAAAATTTAAAAATAAAAAAGAGTAGAGCTTATAAACCCTTCCTCAGGCGTGATTTTCTTCGGTCACCTAGCATCCTTCCACTGGACACATTTCGTGGTGGGCAAGGCAGGTGTGTGGGAGCAACAGAGGCCGGTTTAAGTCTGTCCTCTTCCTCTGTGGCCTTTGGAAATTAATTTCACCTCCCTCAGCCCCAGTCCCCTCATTTACAAGGGAGAAAGAGCCGCACCTCGTGCGCCTGCCAGGGTCAGGTGAGATGCTGCACATAAAGCACTCTGAACTCCAGAGGCATTTACAGGCACTATGTATCATTTCTATGAATTCAGAAATTATTTTTTTAACTAGAGATTTTAAAAATATATTTTATTTATTTAATTTTAGAAAGAGGGGAAGGGAAAGAGAGAGAGGGAGAGAAACATCGTGTGGTTGCCTCTCACACGCCCCCTACTGGGGACCTGGCCTACAACCCAGGCATGTGCCCTGCCTGGGAATTGAACCGGCGACCCTTTGGTTTGCCGTCCGGTGCTCAGTCCACCGAGCCACACCAGCCAGGGCTGGAGATTATTAAATACTTACCAAATTAGATCATGAATGTGAAACGGCCTGAAAAGGTAGTATGAAATGGAAGGTAAGAAACATACCAAACCTGCTGTGGATTAAGCAAATATTCAGAATTTCCACAAAGGGGACCAAGAGACCATTAGCTTTGCAGCACACGTCACAATATTGTAACTTCACAACACGAGTACTTTAGCTTATCTATTTTCATTGCAGGACTTACGTGATTGCTGCATGTCCTGTATCGGATATTCTGCCCTTCACAATTCCTACAGGAAAGAATAAAGGGAAAAAGGAAAACAATGATTTCATTAAAGTGGCGAGCAGAAGGAATGAAAAAGGCACTGGTAAAACTTTTACGGGCGCACGTTACCTCTCAGAAATTCAAAGCTTAAATTCTAGGAAATCCCTTTCATGCGTCAGGAGGCTACAAAGCTTCAGAGCAGAGCAACTTGAAATAGAGAGTGGATTCTTTTTTTTTAATTATATTTTACTGTTTACACTATTACAGTTGTCCCAATGACCCCCCCCCGCTCGGCCCCCCTTCACCCAGCACCCCTCTTCCCTCGGGCACCCCCCACACACACCGCTCTCCGTGTCCACAGGCCCTGCACCTGTGCTCCCCGGCTGCTCTGCCCTCCTCCTCTCCTTCCCCCATTGACGTCCTGCTGTTATTCACACGCCGTTCTCACCTCGGGGTCCACCCACCCACCGGCACGCAAGGATAGTGTGTGTGTGTGTGTACTTTTTTTCTATGAAAAAGAAGGGAAAAGCCACCCGCAGAGGACAATTTCTCTTCCACCCTCACCGCAGGAACTAGCCCACGATGGCTGGAGATTCCCAGGGACTTCCCGTATCAGTATGGCCGCCTGTCCTTTTGTAATAGGACCTCCCCACATGTGAGCCTCCGACTCCTGGTTGGCTGCATACTATTCGGTGGTTGCTCTAAGCAGGGCACGTGGCGGGCACGTCACTGAACCTCAAGACCTGTAGCCAGACTTCGCCGGCCTTTGCCGTGAAGACCAGAGAGGGGGCCTGGTTTCCATTATTTTGTGCCTGTGTTTCCTTCTGATGCCTGAACACTGTTGTCGTTGCGCATGTGTTTTAGCATTTGAAGTAAAAAGTGCAGTGTATCTATCCACTGGTGTTTCTTTCCGTCGGTGTTGACCGAAAGCAGTGAGCCCTTTTGCCGGGGATGCTCAAGGTTTTTGCTCGTGGGCCCACGAGTGATTCTCAAGGGGATGGTTTCGAGGACAGCTCTCGTCCCAGAAACAAGAAGCCCGTGGTTTTTGAGGGAGAGTTCCCTCCCACGGCCCAGATGTCTCCGGTCTTCCCTGAGATCAGTCTCATGGTCCTGACCTTCTCTCGTGCTCCCGGGAAACCTGCTACCGAAGAAGCCCTCGCCGTGACCGAGTTTCCTCTCCCGCTTGTGAGTTGTTTGTGTTTTACTGTCTGGGACACTTTTTGGCTTCCACAGCCTCACCCTTCTCCCTTCACCTCTCACGCCGTCCCCGGCTTCCTTTCCGTCCCTGCCGCAACATGTCCCTAGCCTCCTCCCGTCTGCTGTTTGGAAGACACACGGGAGACAGAAGGTTCAGAGTGGGGAGAACAGCATGACAGCTTCCCCTGAACGCGGGACCCCAACGACAGGGCCAGTTCTGAACTGGGACACAGACAAGGTGCCCAATCGTGTGCTCCCTCTCAGCGCATTCTCCTCACTCATGGTTCAGAACATCTCCCTAGCCCTGGCTGGTGTGGCTCAGGGGATTGAGTGCCGACCTGTGAACCAAAGGGTCACCAGTTCGATTCCCAGTCAGGTCACATGCCCGGGTTGTGGGCCAGGTCCCCAGTAGGGGGCGCATGAGAGGCAACCACACCTTGATGTGTCTCTCCCTCTCTTTCTCCCTTCCTTCCCCCCTCTCTAAAAATGAATAAATTAAATCTTAAAAAAAAAAAGAATAGTTTCCTAGATGATCTCAATCAGTTGGCCCCGTCTTAGCCTTTTCCAACGGTGTGCATTCCCGCCTCTGTGACTTGTCACAGGTATATGATTTAAAAACCTATTCAACCCTCCATGAAGCTACGCCCAGTTTGAAACGCCGCACTAGCACCGTGCTGGGAGGCCGGCGGGACCACTGTGTGAGGGCAGGGAAGCCCTTCTCTTGGTCAAAGGCACGTGGCCGCCCTGCCCTGGGCAACAGCACGAGGCCCGTGGCTCACTTTCACTGTGCTCTCTCCGCGTGGATGAAAGGAGAAAATAAACTACAGGAACAGTGAAAGGGCGGTTTCCAGCGCTCTGCTTACTTTGGACAAGCCCCAGCCGAGGAAAGCAGCTAATAGATTCGGGAAGTGATAGCCAAAAGCTTTTTGTATCACGATGACTTATAACCCTAAAAAGCTTTTGATTCTCATTTCAAGGGGGGCCGGCCCATTACAGAGGCACCGGGCGAGGGACCGCTCGAATCGCCCTGAACACGGGAACGCAAACACTGTTGGGACTTCCAAGAGTGGCCTTTCCTTTAAAAGCGTCTGAGAACTTCAGAAATGATTTTTCAGAGGCACATTCAGCGACTGCTTCCTCTTAGCTATTTACGTGGAAAAACAAAACTGCTTTTGTAAAAAGAAATTTCAAACTCAAAGAAAAGGCCGAAGCCGGCTTATGGCTGGCTTTCTGCCCTGCCGTGTGGACCGCGGGGTCGTGGGCTGCGCCCACCACAGTCCGCCGTGTCCCAGTCGTGTGGCAGTAACTTGCATCTTGAGGGGGGAGCCTACAAATCTAACCCTAAAGTGTACGTGTAGCTCCAGTATGAACGCCACGGCAGCTGTGGCAGAGTGATGTCGAAAGAGACCCTTTTATTTCGCGAATCCTCCAAATACAAAGTACCGATTTGGACTCACTCCTTCTTCGACGACTTCTCACGGTGAACCTACTCTAGACCGGGGGATGTGAAGGTTCACGGAGCCCTGGCCAGGTGGCTCGGGTGCTTGGGGCATCGTCCCATTCACCGAAAGGTTGTGAATTTGATTCCCAGTCAGCACTCTGCCGGTTCGATCCCTAGTCCGGGTACGTATGGGAAGCAACCAGTCAATGTCTCTCTCTCCCTCTCTCTCTCTGAAATCAGTGAACATCCTCAGGTAAGAATTTTTTTAAAAAAAAGATGCATTCTCTCAAGTCCCTTAACAAGTCAGTAATAAGATTTTTTTTAACCTAGCCACCTGGCTGGCGCTCCAAACACTCCTCTCCGCCTTATCCACGCCAGCACTCACGGAGCCCACGGATGGGTTCCACGCCCGGGTCACAGCTTAGTGTGGACACGCGTGGCCACTTTCTGAAACCGGCATAAAAGGAAACGCAGGCTATCTGAAAGGGAAGGACACTGGAGTCCTAATTCCCGGAGCAGGAGCCTGCCAGCTTACTCTGGAAAGAAATTCCTTTGGCTCCAAGCAACGGAGCTGCAGAAATATCATGTCCAAGTTTTTAATTTCATTCTCATTCTGACCCGCAAGAGCTAACGGTCATCGAGAGGATACGAAAACGCAAGAACATCACATCACAATTGTGTGTTCTCTGTGCCGTACAACATTCATCACACCCTGAAAACTGAAGGTTTTTGAAGCTGTACATTTAGGAATATATAAAAAACACATGTTGATTCCACATGAGGGTACATTAAAAACACGAATACAATTCCCCTGGAGTTTACAACACTATAATTTATTACATTCGCCCGATGATAGATCGACTCAAAAAGTAGCATCTTAAAAATGGAGAAGCATGTCTTTTAAAGAATAAAAAAAATGTATTAATTTTGTAGAAATAGTAGTTCACTTAAACCCGTGGTCCCCGTGGTTGGCGCCTGACCAGGCCGTATCAACTTACAAAGTCCTGCAGGAGAAAGAGACGGGTTGGCGGGTTGGCAGGCAGACAAGGTGCCGTGCAAGAGAGCTGGCTGCATTCAGGCGTGATCAGATTCTGAAATAGCTCTGTCCACGGAGAAGTAAGTGAGCAAAATAGCTACATTCACCCGCCTTCCCGAGCCGCAGATGGAAAGGAGCACACTGATAAAAAGAGAGAGCTCCGAAAGGCACCAGAGTGCTTCCGAAAGCTCTGGGACAGCTTTCTGTTTGGCTGTACGTGGAAACACCTCCGTGTTCCTCTGCCAAGAAAAACCAACCACGAGAACTCACTGTTTATGAAGGTTTAATAAGTCTCCAGGCTGCTGGAGGATGAAAGACCCGATAAGCTTTCTAAGGAAAAGTAGGCTTCTTTCTCCGTTACCTCGAAGGACGCCCTAAATTACGCTGAAAGTTCCTCACAGGAGTCTGGGTGCCCGAGGTTGGGGGTTGCCACGAAGGTGGGAAGCAGGAATGAGGGAGTTATGAACACACCTGCTGCCCTTACTTTGAAATCATCTACTTTAACGGTTAATGCAGAAAAAACGATGGGACCGCCCCCGTTTCTTCCCGGAGACAGAGAAAGAGGGAGTGTCCGCAGGTCTGCGATCATCCCGCACTTCCCGCACGGTACGTACTGCCACAGAACATACTATTTACCGTCTCACTATTTAAAAAAAAAATGGTTTAGGATGTTTTCTAGTCTCAAACATTGTCCAAGTGAAATGACAAGGGGGATCGGGCAGAGTGGGGGGCTCGAAGACCTCAACGCCGGCTTCAGAGCACAGGCTGCGGTCTGTGCGTGAGCAGACTCCGGAACACAACGCAAGCCCTGAGAAACGTGAGAACACTCAGGGAGAGCTGCTTCAGGGACGCCGACTCGGAACACCGTCGGGTCTTGTTTGTGCTTTTCTTGTCGTCCTTTCTCAACCGGATGAAAACTGGACGACGTTTTGTCATTTCCAAATAATACGCTTTCTGGGCCCTTCCTCACCCGTCTCCGACACGCGCAAGTCTGAGGATCAGACTCGGGGGCCCCCCCCTTCTCCTCCGGCCCCGGCCCGCTCTGCCTTCTTTCCCCCTCGTGGCTCCTGCTCCGGCACAGGAGCCTCCTCCCGGGGGCGCCTGGCCGCCGTGCACGCCCCTGCCCCACCGCCGTCTCCTTCACGACCGGCTTCAGTCCCTCGGCCCAGAAGACTTCTGGGTCGGGCCGCCGAGTCCTCGACGCCATTTTTAATTACTTGTCATTTCGTCACGCCCTTCTCTGTTGTTCGCCCGCGGGCTGGACCCATCGGCAGGGCCGGCTCGGTGTGAGTCGAATTCAGGGCTGTCCACCTCCTCACCCACATCTGGGTACAAAGAGGGTCTGGAGGTGGGGGTCTCAGGCAGCGGGAGGACTTCGGGAGACTTCTCTGCGACAGCGATGCTGGGATCCCACCGCTGAGGGCGCCCCACCAAGAACAGGGAGGGAGGGGGCCTCCAGCGGCCAGCCCCCAGCCAAGAGGAAGACGAGGGCGTGTCTCCTGCAGAGGCTGCGGTCTCGCTGGCTCGCCCCCAAGGAAGGGGAGGGCTGACCCGTGAGCCGCGGGGGCTGTGGACGCGGAGGCGCTGTGGGCCCCAGGACTCAGAGATTGTTTCACGATCCAGGAGAACGAGATGGACATGGGCCCCATGCGGGAGAGCCCACAGGGGCTTGTCTGGGGAACAAGTTAGCCTCGAGGGGTAAGCACACGCAAGGAGGGAGAAGCTGGGAGTCGGCCTAGCTGTCCGAGAGCTGAGCAAAGAGCCGTCGACCCCAGGGAGGGGCTGCAAAGGGCGCATTTCAGGGGCGTGCAGGTAGCAGATTGTGCAGGATTCGGGGTGAGGGAGGTGGTGTCTCGGGAAAGTCTCTCGGAGTGGTCGCACTGGAAGGAGCCAGCGTAGACACCCTGAGCGCATCGGGTCCTGCACGCCGCAGCCTGCTCAGGCAGAACTGACTCGCCTCCTGCTGTTCCTCGCCTGTCGCCCGGGTGTCCGGTGCGGACAGGTGCAGAGGAGGCGGGACTAGCCGAGCGGCTGGTCCCCGTCAGGAAGAGCAGGCGTTAAGCTCACACACCCACACGGAGACCCACCACTCAGCAGAAGGACGGCAGCTTCCCTGGAGTGAGAAAGACCCCCCGGGCGAAACTCACGTGACTGTAAAAATCAGTAAGAGACTGGACGGACACGTCGCGTGTTGGCTGCAGGACCACAGGATACGTGCAATCGTTCACACATTCCTGAATATAGTCCTCTAACTCCTTCACACAGAAACGAGGGCGCACTATTTTTTACACAACCAACAAATGAATGACACACCTTCCCCACCCGAGTCTTACCATTAATTATTCAGGACCCCCCCCCATTCGGAGGCCACGGAGATGCTCAAATGGGGCCTTCCCCTGGTCCAGTCTCCACGCAGGAAACCTCTCCTTCAAGTGACCCAAGTCAGGGTGACTTCGGACCAGTGGCCGGGCCGAAGGTCATGCTGGGCCGACCCTTCCTCCAGGCCCCTGGCTCCCACGGGCGGGGAGCCCGTGGCGATGGGTGTGGCCACACCCGTGCAAAGGGGCCACGGCTCTGTGGCTAATAAATACTCAGGCAGCAGACCGCACACCCATTGCGGGTCCTCGCCAGGCGGTGGTCTGCCCTCGCCCCGCCTACCCCGAGGCCCCTCCCCCCACCCCGGCCCACCCCCCTGAGAGCAGCCGGGGCCGCAGCCGCTTACCGCCCGGTCAGGCACCGCCGCAGGGAGTAGGACGCGCCGCCGCCGCAGGTCCGCGAGCAGTCGCTCCAGTCGCCCCAGGCGTCCCAGTTGCCGTCTTTGTCTTCATCCGCCCGGGTGTTTCTCGAGGTCTAGGACACAGAAACCCACACACAATGCACAGTACAGACTCGTGTGCAGACACACCCCCGACCTCCCCCGCACCCGGCTTTCCCAGGGCCTCACTCCCAGCGGCTCCCCGAGACCACAGTCGCCTACGAAACTCTTTGCTTTTTGGAACGGCTACATTCACAAGGGCGGTGCACGAGGCCGGTTTACAGGGAAAATCGGGGCGTACGAGGCCTTCCCACCGGACAAAGGTTTTGTCCAGACGGCTTCTAAGCTCAGTTTTAAGTGAAATTTTAACATCCCCAAAACTTAAATAAACGGCCTTACACAGCAGTAATGTCTATTATTATTATTATTTTATTTGATATTTTTTTTTATAACTTACACAGCGAGGTCCCAGCTTGTACCTAACGAGTTCTCAGCCCTGCAATTCTGTGGCGCCGGCCGCCAGCCGGGGGCCAGCTCCAAGCAAACCCTTTCGCACAAGGGTCTGTGGCACCTCCCGAGAGCCTCCATTCCGAGGCTACAAAGTCAATGACACGCCAGGGGGTCCAAGAAAATAGGGAAGGGTGCTTTGTGAGCGGGGTCTGGTTTAATGTGTTTCCTGGACACGCCACCCCGGACGCCCATCAGCATTCCCCAGGGGAAAAGACGAAAGGGAAGTTCCAAGGTCAACACATGTGTAGGCAGACGCAGGTACAGGTGAAGATGGGTCGCAAGGGATGTTTACTATTCAAAGTCACAAAGCTTTACGAAGGGACCTAGGGCATCAATATCCCGGGGGTGGGGGGGGGGGCGGGGGTGGAAGGGGCCTTCATCCTAAGTGGGTAGACCCAACCCCGTAAAATGTTCATTCTCTCCAAATTCATCTATAGATTTATAGCAGCTCCAATGAAAACCCCAAGGGGAGTTTTTCTGGAACCTAACAGCGCGATTGTAAAGTTCATCTGGTGGAGTGAATGCCTCCCAGAGCCAAGAAGAAAAACTGCAGGAGAACGGAAATGAGGGAAATTGCCTCAATTAGACGAGTGTGGGGTTGGCCCGGTGACAGTGGCCCGCGGAGCTGGATTTAAAAGCGCAGACCCCAGTGTCAGGATGCAGTGTGGGGCCGCACGCAGGGCCAGGGATGATTTTTTTTAAAAAAAGTAATAGATAACGTCTTCACAAAATGCATTGAAATGAATTCCAGATCTATCAGATACTTGATATGAAAAATGCCCAAACCATACAACGCTAGAAGAATGACAGATTAGATACAGGACGGGCAGCCACCACGAAGGAAGAGGCCGAGGCAATGAGCCACGGTCACGTAAAAACACACACCGAGTGTCTTCTGCCCCTTCGCCTGCAGAGAGAGGTGCCGGCGGGTGACCACACACACGCAGGAACCCGGCACAAACGCACGAGCCCACCGGCTGGAGGGCGTCAGACTGAACTGCCCCTGAGGAGGGAGGACGCGGGACCAGGAGCGGGACTGTTAGGGAAAGACACACAAGACACGCCAACGGAATGTCTTCCTCCCTTCAGCCCCTCAAAGTACCTGAAGCGATTAGGACAGAATCGTTACGTCGACGAAGGCAGGTGATACTATAATGGATGTTTGTTGAATCTGAACTTTGATGGTTTTTGAAATTTCTTTAATTTTTTTTTGGGGGGGAGTGGGTAAAAGGCAGTCATTAAAGCACCACAGAAGCCCATATTGTTGTTCAATTATTTTTAATTTATTGATTTGAGAGAGAGAGAAACATCGATTTGTTGTTCCACTTACTGATGCCTTCATTGGCTGCTACTCATAGGTGCCCTGACCGGGGATTGAACCTGCAACCTTGACGCATTGAGAGGACGCTCTCACCCACCGAGCCACCCAGCCAGGACCTGTGTTTCCAATACAGGTTCACAGGTACGTGCACAGAGAAGGAAGCGAGTGGCCAATGGCTAATGAAAATGTTAGCGGGGGGCGGCCTCTATGGGGAAGGATTCCGGGCGATTCTAACGTCTTCTGCGTCTGTGACTGTTTCTCGGCATCGTGGAAACGTTTCCGTTAAAGCAAAGGCTTTACTCCTGCACGTGCAAACAGGCAAGCAAACAAACAGGAACCTCCTTCTCGTGGCCCAGAAGCAGAGCCCAGGTCAGGCCGAAGTGAGCAGGTACGTTCCACGCCAGGGATCGGGAGCTTTTTAAGAAGGCAACGCCGGCATACAGCCGGCGACTGAACTCGATACTGCCCGGGCTTGCTTAGGCCCACTTACCTCATCCAGACAAAAAAAATTAAATTAAGAGGCGGATCTGTAAAAAGGACCTTCAAACGTGAAATGGAATAATGACCACAGGCAAGGAGGGGCCTTTCCAATAATTTTCACCCCGGTCTCGGCAGACAGTGGGTTTTGTGGACTCTGGCCAAGCTCCCTATTTATAGCTCCGCGAGCAGCCCCGGGGAGAGGCAATATTTCGGGAACAGTCGAGCAAAAGACGAGGATAAGGACCTGGCAACTTATCAAATCTGTCATTGGGAATAAGGGCTAATTAAACCCAGACTATTTGCTCTTCCAATTAGACCACCGTTCGGTTCGGTTTTCTGCAGCCGGCGTCGCCAGATACACAGCCGCGTCCTGCCCGTAACACAACATAAAGTTTGAATTCGCAAAGAACCCAGCGGGCAGTTTAATACATTTGTCGGGGCTTTTTAGGCGGGTAAGTCCACACCACGGAGGTACACGTTTAAAACACACACAGCTGCAACTGATTTTTCATGCTGTCACTCGATACGCTGATAGGTTGGATGTGAAAAGTTGAAAAACATCATCGTATATATTTTACAGTGAAAGTGGAGAGTCCTCTGCAATGTTGTTTTAATTTATTTTTACCCTCCCATCTGTTCGGTCTACAGTGCGAGTCAGGTTTCTTTCCATAACTTCTCCACCTTTACTTACCCCCGCCCCAAAAAATACATATATATCTTTATTCTAAATAACTGAAATAGGCATGTTATAAAGGCAGACATTTGGCATTTCTGGCTGGATCGGTGAGGAAGTGACACCTCAGAGGAGCCCTCCCGTTTCCCTCCTGTCCTTGGCCTTGAAGACGGTGCAGTTTGCCTTGGAGCCTCCTCCGCCGCTCTCATGCCTCCTTCTTTCTCCGACGACTAGCAAAGAACGTGCTGGACTCCTACCCAGTTCTCCTCCCCTCCCTTTGATGCAACAGCTTCATAGTAACACAAACGATAAGAAAAAGAAAAAAAACCTCCCCGGGAGCAGGATAACGTGTCACCGAGTCATTTCTGAACATCACGCTCGTGGGTGCTTCCCTGCAGCACACACAGCCTGCTCCCCGAGTCCCGCCTTCCAGAGCAGGGGACGGCGAGTCCGCGCTCTCCGCCAGGAGAACCCTCTCCAGCCTCCTCAGACTGCCCCCTGCCTTCGCCTGCTCAGCAATCCCATGAATATTCTCTCTCTCTGCACGCATGTGAGTTTGCATTTTTCATCTTAAAATGTAGTGGCAAGAACACAGTTCTGTGTCTGAGAATAAGAGACCACACATCCCCTAGGATTCAGGTTTCTTTTCATGAAATCTAAGTGTCCCTTCCTCCCTCCCTCCCTTCATCCCCTCCCTCCCGCCTGCAGTCACCATGTACCACATCTCACTATGTGAGATGAAGCCACATCACATAGTACTTAAAGGCTGTGTGCCTCCAGGCACGTTTCTTCAACAGTCTGACACTCCGAAATAAAACGGAGGTGGTAGCCTTTACCCTGAAGTAAAACCACACATAAACCTAGATCGACTCACACTGCATCTCCATCGATGGGATGAGGGAAGGTTTCGGTAAGTGGACGCTATTATTACTGCTCTTCACAATAAATGCCTTTTTCCAAAACGACAGTAGAGGCAGCCCCCTCCTGTTTTCACTTCTGCGAGATTAACATGCATCACCACTGCATTTCCTCTTGTTGGTTTTGGCCCAGCCAGCCCCGCAGCCTGCTGGGAGCTGTCTGAACCCGCATCCCGCCGCCCCATCTGGGAGCTGCTCCGCTGAGCTCTGCGGCTTCGGTGCTCCACCCAGACCCCTGATAAACAGAGGCTGGACGGAGCTCCCTAATCTGACAGAATCCCATGGATGCACGTTTCTGCTCTTTCAAACTGGGAAGCAGCCCCTCGTGCCCAGGAAGCAGCCAACTCATCAGACTTGGAATCGGGGGACACAGTTTAAGGTTACAATAAAATAATTATTGTAATTTCATACAATCCGTGTCCTCCAATGTCAGGAGGGAGAAAGGGCTGTGGGAGGGGGCGGGGCCTATACTCTCCAGTGGTGAGGGTCCCCCAGGAAGCCCCTCCCACTTCAGCCAGCTCCAGCTCTGACGTCTAGTGACGGTATAATAGGATGACAGGCATCAGCTCCACATGTGGCCTGACTGATGATAACCCCACAGGGGCAGCATGTACGTCAGTCAGTTCACTGTCCCCAACTGTCCCCAACTGTCCCCCGCCAAACATCTCCATGAGCTGTCTTAAGTCATTATTTAAATTCTATGTTATCACAACTGGTAAGGTCCAATGCTTTCGGAAGCCTCTGTATACCCATTCCCCCCAGCCTGAGTCAACCAAAACGCTGTCCCAGGTGTGGGGGAGAGGGGCCGGGCAGAACCCCTTTCCGCCAGATCCCAGACAAGCCCGAGTTTCCTCCCGATGCGCCTTGCGGACGAGGGCCCCAGCCACATGCCGCACCCAGCGAGGGAGCCCGGTCGGCTCCCGGCGGCGTCCGGCCCCTGGCTGGAACAGCCCCGCTGCTGGGACAGAGGACCACAGCACTCCTTCGGTGCGCCAATGAAGCCTCTCACTTTCCATGTTCTGACCATGGGCACACGAGCTACACGCCTGTTTTCCCAAAAGATTTGATTTTATCGAGATTATTTCAGGAGGAATCGGCGTTCTTGACCGATAGTCCCAGCCCCAACCGAGTGCATTGGTTGGTTTTCCCAACCAAAATTATATCTTGGGCTGGGGACGGTCAAGGCTGGGTGCC